TAGAACACAGATAAGCTTGGCTGCATCGAACGGCGAAGCCGAACACAACTTATCCTGAACGGTGACATCGGCTCACTGAAGCCGATCCATCCGGGATATTACGGCGTCTTGCAGACAGCCACGCAGTGCGTCGTTAAGACGTGACCACCGCCGTTTCGCTAACCCGCAGGTCAACGAAATCCTGTCGAGAACGAGGTTAGGCTTAACGAGTCGTAATCGTTACACCCTGCCTGCGTATGCCCTAGTGCATGCTGACTGAAAAAAAGTACGAATGCCCTCTTCTGCAACCTCAGGAATGTCCCCACCCAACCAGCTCATGGTTACACTGAAGATGGTTTTAGCTCTCTTTGCTTCCTGCTGTGTCAGGGCTTCTGCCCCGTTTCCTGCGTTCGCTGATGACGCTGCCTGAGCCCTGCGATTGGTCGGCCACATGTACAGGGGGAGATCCTCCCTGACTCACACTTCCGGAATCTCGCTCGGAATGACTGGGACCAATGACTGGCTGCCTGAGCTCGCTGACTCCTCCAGCTGTGACGACATTGTCGCTATTCTTGCTTTGCTTCTTGCGCAGTGATTGCAAATGAAGCTGTACAGACGCCAACTCTCTGCTAGCGGATTAAATCTGCTGCGTAAGCACTGCACAGCGTCCCTTGGAATTCTTGTAAAGGTCGTTGATTATCCTGTCTCGTTGCCGGTACAAATCGCTTTGAGCTTGTTTCACACGTAGATCAAATTCCTTGGTAATGCTCTGCGAGTCAGCTAACGTAGCTGCTTTTTCAGCTTCTAAAGTCACCTCCAAATTTGCAATGGTTTCTAGAAGCTCCTCGCTCTTGGATTGCAACCCAGCGATGTCGTCCCGTTCTGCCGCCATAGAGGCAACGCTGTGAGCTCAAATGGCTCCCCAGCTCGTTTTTCAGCTCAATCGGAGCATGCAAATCAGAATGTTCTGGAACCCTAATCTGTATGTACGCAATGGACGGCCACAATAAAAGTAGGTGTATATACACCTACAGACTGGAAAAAACGTACGCAAAAAGAGAGTACGCAACCTGTACTTCACTAGGTCTAATGAGTACAGACCCGGGGTGTGAATAGGCCTAGCGCACTCAAAAAATTTCTTCCCCCGAGCCTGCGCAACTCTTTTTTGAGTCTGCCCTCTTATTTGCCCTTATCTGCCTATTCCCACTTTCCTCGACTCTCCGTTCTCCCGGCGTGTGGAGGATTCGAAATATCCTAATTCGTCACATGGACTAGAATGGGTTGCAGGCTGCAGACAAAGACGTGGTTTAGTTGTAACCCTGACAGTACTTACTTCTGACTGACATAACCCACTAGAGGTCAAGGCAGACTCAGGCTGCTACGGTATACCTATGCGTGCTTAGTCTTTGCTACCTAGATCATAGTCACCGCATCCTATTCGGGGAAGAATAAAATACTAGGATTTTATAGGATGATAGGCTCCCGAAAAAAATCCTATAAAAATCCTATCCAAAATCCGACTTGAGTCCAAAGCGCAGGCTGTCCAGCCTACAAGAACGACGATTCACACCAGGAAGGTTCCAACCCTGACACTGCATATTCTCTCGTATATAATGGCATAACTTGGTAATTGTACTTTCAAATCCAACGAATATATACCGCAAACTAAAAAACCTTGTTGCCTTTAATATCTGTTTCCGAGCATGTTTGAAAGGGCCTTGAGAGGGGGCTGCCGCGCACGGCGCGCATAGGATTCTATCGAATTTGAGATCTGCTTTGAATAAAATACTAGGATTTTCAAGATTTGAGGGGTCTGAATAAAATACTAGAATATAGGATGCGGTGACTATGACCTAGATGCAAAACTCTCGCAAAACTTGGGTAGCTCGAGCCATGTACGGTAACTAACCACATATAGCTGGTTGACTTTTCTAATGCCGGCCATTGGCTGAGCCTGAGGAGACCGAGCGATTGAGTCCGGCCGGGATGGCATCGTGCATGGCTCTGACACAGCTCCAAGTAAGGTACACCTGTGTTTGTTCGCTCATCATTGCCGCGATGCCATCCCGCGACTTTTCCGGGGCTGTTGGAAAGAAGCTGGAAGCCCAGAGCAGAGGCGAGCCCTCGCTTAAAATGTCAGCTTGCACAATTCAGACACAGTCGATCACTTCAAGTAAGACTTGGTTGCATTATGCAGCAACTGGGTAGTACACCTATATCATCTACTCGATTGCCATCTTTCAGGCCACATAGAAGTACTCTTGAAAGGTTACAAAGGGACGCGATCAGCGCAGCTAGGGAGCTGTCTTTCAAGCCACCCTTCGAGGCCCGCCCTTCCAAAAACTCAATTGAGACTCTAATTTGAGAGCCTTCTCATAATTCTAACTATGAGATCTTTCCGGCGCCGCACCAGCTTTCTCAGAGCGTCCCTCTCAGCAGCAGGCAAACTTCCGAAGCAAACTGTTTCTTCCTGATCGGCCATGGGTCCATTTGCGAATTGCTTTGGAAGACCCCGGATATCAGCGGAGTTGCCCGCTGTTGATGACAGCAGTGAGAAGGAGCCAAAATTGGATACCGAGAAGTGTCGTCATCAAGCTGGCTGGGAGAAAAGCGACGATGAGAGGCCAGCATGGGACGCACCAAGCTGCCCTTTCAAGCACGGGACTGTCACAGTTACACCCTATCCAGGTGAGGCGTGCTAAGATGTGCAAAAATACCCCATCAATAAGCGAAAGAAAGACTGCAAGCTGGCTGTCAAAGACGTCCTCTCATCATTCTTGAAAGAGGGCCTGCTTAAGATGAGCAAGGTTTTTCTTGCTAAGCCGAAGTGTTGGGAGGAGTTACAACAGATCATGTTTGTTGAGTGACATCCAGGGACCATGTCAAAGGTAAGCAAAGAAGCCAAGAGTGTAATCTCTGATATTGTGGGAGCAGTCACTGTCAAGCTCTTGCCTGCAAAGACTAGATGTTTAAGGGAGTTGCATCAGAGACTTGAAGATATTGACATGATTCCAGAGCCTGGTGAGTGTCTGAAGCAGAGGGGACTCACCAAAAGCTGACTGAGTTGGTGCCGGCCAAAACTAGAGTGGGATGCACCGCAAAGCCTGTGATTCAGAAGAAGTTGGTTCTGTTGATTTGAGAACCCTTGCGGTCTGCCTTGGTGCATCAATAATGCAGTAGCAGTCTGAATTGTAAGCGGCACTCCTTGCTGATTTGCTGATTCAAGCATCTGCCGAGGCTCTGTTTGGCAGCAGCAAAGGATAGCCTCCCCTCTCAACCAAAGCCTTCAAGTCCGCTTCGAAAAATCAGCACCCTTAAGTGTTAACAACCCCTTATCAATTGCTCCAAGCAGGTCTTTCATATTCTTCCATCTTTCAAAAGAGCGACCAGAAAGAAAACCTGGTTGCTAACTGGTTCAGCGCACTCGTTTACCAAGCAGAAGGTTTGGATATTGCTGGCTAGAGCCCACTTGAGGAACACGAAGTTAAGAGTGCAATAATCATGTTTATGCAGGTTTTGTTCATGGAAAGAACCCTGCAGTCTGTTCGTCTGGCTGCAAGCCAGTCGTTGACCTGCTCGAGACGCCGAAGGAGAAGCTCGTCTGCGAGGCGCTAGAATTCCAGGTTAGTGGCTCGTAAACCAGGAGTAATCCTTGCCGGATGCTTTTCACGCTTTTCTGCTGGCTGACGAAAGTAGAGTAGATTCTTTCTAGATTCATTCTGGAAGCACACTACTTCTGAGAATGTCAAGTTGCCAGAGCCAGTATGGCGCGCCCCCTCAAAACTTCAACCTTTGACCAGAATTACGAGATTAGAAGATCACTACATTGACAGTCCAACTTCCACATGCAAGGTTTTGGCTGACTACCCAGGAGCCTTCTGTTTGTTTGACATGTAGCAGCCTGTGACGTGCCCACTGGCAATGCATTATGACAGTGTCTGGCCTTTGACAAAACTCTGAAAGCTGTCATAGTACTCGTGCAACGGTTATGTTGACTCATGCTGACCGTGACCAGCTCAGTCGCGGCCCGCGCCTCGGGGCTCACCTTCCGAGTAATCAGGCTGGCAAGAATGAACTTCCCAACTTCACTTGCACTGCTCTTTGATAGAGGGTGCTCCCTCTAGGGCGCTCTTCCTGTAGTAGTTTAAAGTACTGTGTATTGAGTATCTAACAGCTCTTCCTGCCCGGGTCTAGGAACTGTACCACCACGAGAAGCAGTCCCCGAAGGACGTCAAGGCCCGAAGAGTGCTTGAGATCCTTGCCAGCATCGACAAGGAGGGGACCTATTCACACACGACGGACGAACTGGAGCATGGTGAGGTGTTAAACACCCTGCTCTCGCCCTCGGAGGCTTCTCATTCCCTCCGAAAGTGACGGAACTGTAAAGTCTCCCAAGAGGAACCCTCTCCAATATTCTATAAAGCTGAGTCTTTCCTTTTCTCTCTCGGCGTCTGCCAATAGTCGTCTGTAATGATGCACACAGGACCTTCAATCAAAGAAGTTTTTCCTCTTTCGGTTCGCTTTCGAAACCCCTGCATCGGACGTCGGTTGCCGATTTGGGAAGCCGCCTTGCCCCATCTTCCGTTCTCAAGGTGCTCAGATGGATCCAACCAAGCATGATTTTCTTGAAAATCCAACTCTTCCTTAGAGACGTCACTGGTTGTTTACGAAAAGCCGTCGATTTCATGCAGTCTTCTTCATTCAAGATTCGTCTCATCCTCAGGTGTGCGTGTTGCCTGGAGGAACGCGCCCAAATGCTCCAACCGGAAGTACTGGAGCACTCTGCGGCTGCTAGACAAGCGCCACGTGTCGACAGCAGAGGTACGATTAGACAGACGGCATCAATTGCACAACCCAGCGTCAAGATAAATCGTTTCCTGTGTTCGCTTGCTTCAGTCCCAACCCAGACCGCCCGATGCGTCTGAATGCACGGTTTCACTTCTAGGAAATCGGTTCAGATCAAACGGAGTGCTGCACGGACATATCGGCCCAAAAACGTGGGCTCACAGGGGTCTTACTAGTTCCAAGCGAAATTACTTTCTCGTTGACGTGTAATGAACTCGTTGGATAGACATCAGTCGTGGGTTGTTCGAAGCTACTACCGTGCTTTTGGGCTGATCAGACGACCAACGACGTCGCCTAAGTGAGCCTTCCACCACGTATTAAACGTCGTTGGTAGAGCCGTACCAGCCTGCTGACGTCACACGCACGGCCACTGGGCGACTGCACGTCAGACTTCACTTGGATCTCACACCGTTGCTGACGCAACACACGTGGCGTCATTATGCCAGGGCATGAACGAGGCGTGTCTGGAGATGATGGACCTCGCCGTGAGCAGCGGGGCCGCCGAGGTTTACGTCACCGTCTTCCGTCCGGAGCATCCGCTGACGAAGCAGGGGGGGCCGCGGGTGTGGAATTTGCAGCTGATGCGGTTTGCAGGTGGGTTTACAGCCCCAAACGTCTGGTTTGGTCCTTGATCTGGTCGGAGACACAGGACTGACTTGATACAAGAATCTGAATCGGCCCAGCCCACTCAGTGGGTACCCCATCTGAGGGCCATTTGAGACCCTTCTTGGCTCAGAGGCCCGCAGAGGGACCCGAGGGCCCTTGAGAATGCTCACTTTCAAGAAACAGTTGGAACTCGAGTGTATGCTTAGATAACGTTTCCTCCGGTCATGGAAGCGTCCATTTTATTGAAGGCCTCCGTTTGAACTACCAATGTATTTTGTTTTTTGCTTGTAAGTCTAGCAACAGTGGTAGCTTTTCTTCGTACTGCCGTTGATAGACTGGATAGGCACATACAAGTCTTAAACGATGAACGGTTGTTACTTACAGGCTATCGGCAACCGGATATGGAGGTCAAGGGGGATCCCTCCGAGCTGGCATTCACCGAGATGTTGACGCGGCATTTCGGCTGGAAGGGCGAAGGTGACGTCACGGCTATGGACTCTCACCCCCCTGACAAAGAGTCATTCAGCATGAATGATGGGTGCGGGGCCCAAACGTTTGTTGGATACTGGTGCCACTTTTGGAAGTTTTGCATCTGTAGGATCACCAGCAATGAAAAAGCTGAGCTCTGCATTCTGTACATGTATGGGGATTGTCCGCAGAGCATGGCCAGCCCTCTCTGCTTCGTTCAACCACCCGCGCAGTTTTCCTTGCGAGCACGCCTTTTGATCACAGTTTAACGGGGCAAAAGCGCTCACAGACGCTTCCTTCCGCCAGGTTCGGTCAGGACTCAGTATTGCAGAGATACTGCCGAAGCTCCGGGTGGAGAGCGCGTTAGACCTTGAGGCACACAATAGATCGGTCCGCGAGCGAAATTGCGTTTGAAGGTTTGCAGCGACACAACCAAATGTTTTGAGGGAACTGTCCCCAAAGCTGACGTCAGGCGTTGCGTGGATTACACTACGCTCTTCACAAAATCGCTCCCAAAGGAACAGAAAAGCGCCCAGTGCCGGCGCTAGAAAAAGACCTTCCTAACGGCTGCCTTTCCCCCTGCAGGCACCAATTTCGACATCTTGCCCCTTGTCCTCCAACCGAGCCCAGACAAAAAACCTGAGCTGTTCGAGGTGTCCCCCCAGTACGTGCCCCTGGTGCCGCTAACCCACCCTAACCACCCATGGTTTGGGGGCCTGGGGCTCCGCTGGTACGGAATCCCCTGCGTTTCAGACATGCAGCTCACGCTCGGGGGGCTGAAGTACACCGGGGCGCCGTTCACTGGCTGGTGGGTTTGCCTTAACCCTGTGGTTTCTCATTCCGCAATCTGCTCTTTGACGTTGGCGATGACGTGGGTGACTTCAAGTCTGGAGAATTGAATCAGCACAACATATTTGTTCTTCTCGTCATCAAGGGTTTCGTACTTTTGGCTTTTCTGTTGCACGAGATAGGCCTTAACCCGAAAATCATCAAAGCTCTGAAGATCTACTTGCCCTGTAAACAACTCATCATCAGTCTATAAGACGCCTCGACCTAGTGCGCTCGCGCGTAAATCTGGCCGGTTTGCAACCCTCGGTTATATCTTAACCCAGGTACGCGGACACGGAGATCATTCGCAACCTGAGCGACGAGTCGCGCTACAACGTGTTGCCAATTATCGCAAACCATCTGGGGTTAGCAGTTAACGACAACTCTAGCCTGTGGAAGGACGCGGCGCTCCTGGCGCTCAACCAGGTGAGGACACGTGGCAATTCTGCCAGCAGGGATCGTGAGTCCTCCGGCTGGCTCGTTTGTACATCAAACGCTTCAACAGGCACTCAAATGCGGAAGCTCTTACGGCGAGATTTGTGCCCACATGGGGAGAAGCGGTGGCCTTCAAGCCGCAAAGGCAGCCGAATTCAAGCCGCAAAGGCAGCCGAATTCAAGCCCGCAGAAGGGGTTCAGAAAGGGGCCCTGTTTAGCGAGTAATTGATGGGGTTGCAATCACCAACCAGCCAAGCAGGCTGGTAACTTCGCCAAGGTTGCTGGTCCGTACCTGGAAAGGCGAGAGAGAAGCCTTCACTTGTCGGGACGCCTCGAAACGACAGAGTCTCGAGTACGCGGCTACGGTTCAACCGCGAACAGATGCTTCAGGATGTTCCAGAAGTGGACTGGAATATTGACCAGACGAATCAAAAGTCATCACGCGGCGGGAATGGAAAGAAACCCAATCCATTTCCAAAAGCTACTTGGCTCTATGCCACCGCACGCTCTTTAACACCAAGATATACAAATGCTTCCGTTGCTGACTCAACTCTTTCGGTCGCTCTGCAGGCGATCTTATACAGCTGGCAAAGAGCCGGCATCGCAATGACAGACCACCACACGCTGATGGAGCAGTTCTGGAAGTGGCACCATGTAAGCCCAGTAAACATTTGACGATTCGAGTTTACACGCGATTAAGACGATCGCAACGTACTTAGGGTGCTGTTTCAAGTGCCAAAGAGCAGATCAGCTGCTGAGCTTTTGACCTTAGACGAATGTTTCGAGTTTGAACGCCCTGATGGAACCTCACATGGCTTGGGTGGAAACTTTTGAGGTGGTCGAAGTCTCGAAGTGGCGGGTATGAGCGAAATGAATCCCAACCTTATTCAGTCTCGATTAAGCAACCTCCGTCGGGCTAGCCGTTGTGCTGTTGTCGTGCAACTCGAGCAAAGCACTTACAATCTTTCACCGATTGATGGTAGTGGGCACTTTACAGATTCCAGACAACCTCCGAGTGAGGATCTCGGGCTGGGTAGCTCATCCAAACCAGCCGATGTCACTTTAAAAAACCATTATTGCCTCTCTTTTCTAGCTTTGCTTCAGGGAACAAGGTACAAGCGTTCCATCGACGGCAAGCCATTCACCCCCTGATAAACTCAAAACAGCTTTTCAGCCGTTTGACTAAGCGATGCCTGTCGACCACGACCGTCGTTTGCTCGACGGCCTCAAAGACGAAAATTTCCACGAGCCGCAACTTTCAGAGCATCTGGCGATCAATCAAGAGCCCACTCCTAGCGAATCAAGAGCGGGTAGATGATCTCTTTGGCCCGCTCCAAAACCTCAAAACCGGGACTTCCAAAATCTCAGAATCCAAAAGTCCAGCCATATTATGCCGCCTTACAGGACGAAAAGGCCGCGCGGGGCTACACGCCCACCAACTGGAAGTGGATCATTCCCCCGGTCGCTGCGTCCACGAGCAAGTGCTATCTCGGCCTGTCGAAAGCGACCGAGTACACTCTCCAGCCTGCTTACATTCGATCGCCGAAATTCAAAGTCTACGCTCGCGAGTGGTTCGGGGGGAGGTTTGAGTACTCGCCAGGGGCCCCGTTGCGCCCCGCGTTCCTGAACCCGTACGTGTGCCGCTTCCTGGGGCGCTGCAAGGCGCGCGTCGCGGCCGCGCGGCCGCGCGCCGTGGTGATGTACGCGAGCATGACGGGGACCGCGCGCGAGTTCGCCCTGAGAGTGAGATGGACATTCGTTTCCTTGTTGAGGCGCAGAGAGCGTCTTCGGTGAAATGTAATCAGCGAAGTGAGGTTGGAAACAAGACGCGCCTTCTGCTTGCTTGATGGTTATTTTATTAGGTGGATGTTTTCCCCATTGTGATCAGCTGCCAGATCAGCGCACTTTCCGTTCTTTTCTGCCTGTAGCTCATGCGTATGATCGCTCAGAAGTGCTAGGAAAGTGCTTGCCCAGCGCTCAGCCTGCTTTTCGTCAGATCTGCTAACCGCTCTCAGATAGCTGATCGGTGCCCGTCTCCTTGAGTGCAATCACCAACGAATTCCGTATGATATCAACCCACTTGAGAAGCTTCGCCTGATCTTAAATTCTCGCCACGCTCGTGCACAAGGGATCTTATTACTCTGACGATTGTGCTGCTTACTTTGTGATTGTTTGTTGCAGACAAGTAGCGCGCTGGGAAGCGCGTTCGATGTCACCACAATCAGCATCGAGGAGTTCTCGACCGTTGACTTGGCTTCCGCCAACCTGCTATTGCTGCTGATCTCCACTTGCGGTTCGGGATCACTGCCGACGTCAGCACTGAAGTAAGCCTTTTCAACTTTTTGCTAGCAGTTCAATTGACCACGAGAAGACAAAAGACCTTCAAAGCGGTCGTATTGAAGACACGGTCACGTTCTGATCAGACTTACAAAGCGGACTGCCTTAATCGTTTGACTGGTTAGAAGTATCATCTGTTTCAAAAAGCTTCAGCTCCCAGTGCGAGGTACCAGGTGGCGACTTCGACGCCAGTTGACAGGTCCAAACCTGTACTCCTTTCCACCGTGTTGAAGCCTTTTTAACCGCCCTTAACCAGGCCCGGTTAGCGCCTCGATTGCTCGCGCGAACGAGGATCGACAAACCCCCGATAACGAGCACCACACGCCCCACGGCCCAGTGCATTCGGCGACCGGTTCAATTCCCGGTCTCTAAGGCTGTGTCCGTCTCGCAGGTTTCTCGAAGTTCTTGATTATAATGATTATTTGATAACACTTCTCGCAGGTTTCTCGACTGGGCTGCTGCTCACGGGGGCAGCCCAAAGTCCCCTGTCGCTGGGCTGAGGTTCTCCGTCTTTGGGCTCGGCAGCCGCGCGTACCCGCGCTTCTGCGCGGCCGCGGACACCGTGCACGCGGCCGCGCGCGCGGCAGGTAATCGACTTCTGGTCCCTCTGCTACATGCACTGGAACTGAAAATTTGTAAACGGGCGATTTCCGAGTTGTTCTGTTGCTACGTGGCCTCCAGTAAAACTGATTCTGCCGATCCCACCCAATCAAAAGCGTACACCTTTCAAAGAAAGGTATCACCGTAATTGGAAAAGCTGATCGGAGGTAGGCTTCGTTCCAGAACTTTGTCACCCGTTGCAGGAGGCGCGTCGTTGACGTCAGTGGGCAGAGGGGATCAGATGGGCGATCGAGACTCTGCCTTCTCTCACTGGATGAGACGCACGGTGGAGAGCTTTGCATCGGCGGTCAAGGTGAGTACTTTCTCTACGAATGCGGTGTTGGTTTTGTAGGTCGACGCTTTGCCGCTGGTTTATAAAGGCATTCGGTTTGCTGGGACGCCACAAGTTTGCGTCTATTGTTCCAGTGGCGTCGTATCTCGGCCTCCTCCCTCAATTGTTGTTGATCTCGAACCACCGAAGAAGATGCATATGCTGGACTGGTGCCAGACGGAATCCAAGTTTGTTCGTATCACGTGCTTTGCGCACAAGAAGAACGTTTTCCTGTTACTAAATAGTTTTCACCTACGATATAATGCTTATGTCGCTTCTTCAGATCTTTTCAACCAAGCGAAAGTGCTAAGCTCAGAGACCACTGAACCGAGAACGCCCCTCGAATTGACGTTGTCTTCAAATCGTGAACGTCAATCTTGAGGACCGAAATGACGTTTTCTAAGGGACTAGCTGGTTTCCAAAGCTTTCCTAGACGTGATGTTAGACCACGCTTAAACCCAACGGTTAACCTGCTTGGGTTAATCACACCCCTGTGCGGTTGCAGCCTAAGTACGAGAGGGCGACCAGTTGCGTCCTCGCCCAGTTGGAGGAGCGGTCGCCCCCCAATCCGTCTTTCACGTGCCGCTACCAAATAGTGCCTCTGGCCGGTAAGAGCTGACCTACGCTTCTTTTGGTTCCTGACTTATTCTTGGTTTTAGTTCTGAAAGATATGATCACGAGGAAAGCCTGAGGGCCAACTCACTGCAGTTAGAAAGCACCTTTGACACTATCAGCACCCTCAAAACTCACGAGAAGCTGGTGAAAAGAAGAGGCAAGCAATATCGAGTTGCGTTCCCTTCTACGTCATATGGCCACTCATTGAAGCCGCTTGCCAGTCAGTCGAGATAACAACATCGGTAATATCCTTATGTGTGAGCACTTTCTCGAGAGCTCGAGCTCGTTAGGCTTGCACAGCGCCTGCCCGTCGCGGTCGGCTTGTCACCTTCTTATGTAACCGATTTGACAGCCGGTTTGTCTCCTGATCTCTCAATATGCTTGTTACCTCTTCGCAACGTACAAAAGTGACATGTTCGCTTCTACAGAATCTAAAACGTTTTTTTCCTTTGAAATACTTCAAGCTTTCCTGACTCTGAAACCCCAAAACTCCTCTCCGCCAGGTTCACAACGGATCGCGCCCGTGGCCGACGGCTTCCTGACGGCGCGAGTGCTGACGTGCGAGGAACTCCTCCCAAAGAGTCCGGAAGGCCGCTCCAGCAAACTCATCGGGCTGGATCTCTCGGGCGCTCCGGAGGCCTTGTACGAGCCAGGTCAGCTTCTAGCTTCCCAGGTTACGCTGTGACCAAGCCATGACTTGCCGTGACCTGCTCAAATGCCCCGCGTGCAAACCGACGGACGCTGGGATGCAAATGGATCACTCTTGTGACTGGTACGAAATAGACCATGATTTTAACAGTCTCCTTGCTTTTTTAGGAAGGGGTGAGACCTTGTGGTAGGTACAATACGAGAGACCGTATAACTGGGTTACTATTCAGCGCGAAGAGGGTCTCCTCCCCGTGCAAAACGACAGCTTGACAGTTCCCACGGACGTCTAATGCTGTGCAGAACCCTCAGAGATCCATAAGCGATTCATAACGTGTGAGCCAAACAACCGTTATCAGCAATCATCAGCTGACACGGTGCTCGCATCCAGGTGATCACGTCAGCGTACTGCCCACCAACAACCACGTGGACCGCGTAGCGCTCGCGCGCTTTGCCGCGCACTTTAGCATCCCGCTCTCCCAGCCGTTCGATCTGGAGCCGCTCTTTGTGGACGGTCCGATGGGCGGGGCTCCACCGTACCCCTTGCCAAACACCCTCTGGAACTTGCTCACGAGACACGTGGCACTTCTTGCGCCCGTCCGCTTTGAGGCGCTTGCGCCCCTCTCAAAGGTAAGCAACCGAATGCAAAGAAACCATTAAGAAGCAAGTGATGGATATTCCAGCATTTCGTCTTTGGCAATGTGTCTAGTCCGTCAGCGCCTTGAAACGAAATGTCTTTGTGTAGAAAGTACATTCTGGAATGAACTTGCGTCAGGAAGAGTTTCACGTCTAGATAGCAGGGGTTGCATGGCTTTTGACAGCGGAATGGATGGGGGCAAGGTCTCTGTGTATCTTTTACCCGGATGACAGATCTCATTATTATTCTGTGCCGACCTGCATCTTGGGTTGCCTCGATCAGCTGGCTGGCCGATTAAATCTGGAACTTTCCGCATAATCCCGGATTATAAAACTCTTAGGTCAGGATCTGTGATTAACAGCGGCTTCCCTACGTGTGCTGATGTATAAAGTGCGCTCCTTTCGCAGTATGCGGGACAAAAAGTTCAGATTGACATTCTCGCCGAGCTTGGGGGCGACGAACAGCTGTTTGACACTTGGAACGACAGCCGCCAGACAAGGTATTTTTGATTCTCTACGATCTGCAAACAACAGGCATGTCTCCAGATCCCAAAAGACGAGATAGCGTACTGATCGACGAGTAGTCTCGTAGAGTACTTCCGTCTTTTCTGTCTGCTTTGCGGCCGAAAGAGTCGTCAGATTAGCAAGAGGACTTCATCACTTTAGAACGTGGTATCCAAAGGTTTGTCGGATAAAGGATGGATACCGAGGTACGCAAAGAAGCCCTCGTCGAGCTTCAACTCAGGGGCTGTGATTCGACGGAAGTGCCAGGAAGGGTGGTAAAAGTACCGGCTCTGTAGACCGGAACCGATCTCATCCACCATTGTCCAGCAACCGTTATGGTCCTCAAGAACCCATCTGACTCGCAAGAACAGTCAAATCTTCCAACCTTCTCCTCGCAAACATCACCTGTCCTTTTCCCTTGAAGCTTTCATTGGCGGCTGTCCAAACACTGTCGCAATCGTTCGCGCTTGAAACAATCCCCCTTGGAAGTTTCAGTGGAATGAGACACAGACTGATTTGAGTTGCTCGCAGGTGGCTCGACATCTTCGACCTCTTCGCATCCCTCTCCCAAAACCTGCCCGTGGAAGTGTTCCTACAGCTCGCGCCGCCGATCCACGCGCGCCACTACAGCGTCGCGAGCAGCGCGCTCGCTTCTCCGGGAGAAGTGAGAAAGCCAACTTTTGTTTTCTCTTCTTTTTTTGCTGTTTAGTTCTCTCAGAGTCCAGTCTTACGGATTGGTGACGATGTCAAAGCGGCCCAGGATCTCTATCGCTGCGAGTAAGGCTTGCGTCCCGTGTACCACGCTTGAGAAAAGCTGTGGTACGAATTGCCGAGAAAAGGATCGAGTGGAAAGAGGGTATATTTTTGCTAGCGCCACGTGTCGCAGGCTCATTTACTGTGCGGAAAGACGGCGTGGAGCGCCCCCGGCGGCGGCAGACGAACCGGGAGCTGCTCGGGCTATCTGACGGAAGGCGTACAACCCGGAGATGACGTCAGAATGCAGATTCTGAAGGTGAGGGCAGGCGACTCTCGTTGGCCCATGACTAAGCAGGGTGGCGGAACGGAGATAGTTATGTGCTAAAGAAGCACGCTGAAGAGACTATGAACCCAACTTGGAAGATCGTAAGGAGAAAAGAAGGCTAGGAAGCACCTCCGGCCACCCCTTAAAAACGGGGCAAGGACGATAACGACCCAGGTTTTGGAGACGCCGTCAAGATACTAGTTTGGGTTAGCGACTGTTGCTTCTGGGTTTGTCAGTGATCCGGGAAAACACCGGTCGTGGATGTGTCTACCGGCGTTCAATTCCAACGTATGCGAGGACATTTTCACCGTTGAACTTACATTCGTAATTTTGAGTCCCCGTTCAAACTTTCGAGGCTGATTGCATAGATTTCCTGCCTTTCGAATCCGTTCAGCTCTCCGGCGAGTATCACGCAACTCTCAACAGCCCACATTCCTAGTAGCGGAACTCGTACTCCCCCCGTGGTTAGGAGATTTTGAGGTAAGCGCTCCGCAACCTATTTCTCGGGCTTCAATCTGCTCGTGTCTTCTCAAAAGGCAACGGCTGACTTCCCGTCTTCTCGCTTTGACAGGTGTCCAGCTTCAAGCTACCTTTGAACTCCCAGCACCCGGTTATTATGGTCGCGGCCGGCACAGGGTTTGCTCCCCTTCGAGGGTTCCTGCTGCAGCGGTCGGTTCTAGCCAACCGGGCACGGGGCGTCGGTCCTTGCGCGCTTCTGTACGGCTGCCGCAGCGAAGAAGAGGACCTATCCAGGTGAGGCGTCCCTTTAACCAGAACGGGTTAGTCGTAACCCGTATTCATTGAAATCAGGCTTCCAAGAACGAAGTGACGGAGGGCGTAATTTCTTCATGGCCGTGGTGTCTTTGAAAGGTTTCACGCGGATGATGCCATCGAACGAATGTCAGCCAAATCGAGAATCAGGATTATCTGAATTTCATTCTATCGTAGGCGTGAAAGTCGTTCGAACGCTTTTCTATCAGGATTCGACCGCAAACTCTCTGCGTTTATTTCTGAAGAATGTGAAGGATCGTTGCCAGACAGAACATCAAACATCTCAGCCGACCGTTTACAAAGGATCAAGCCCTGCATCGAACGCCCTTTGAGAATTGCGTTTTTTGGAAACCTCCGCAGAAAAGAGTGCAATACCGCGGCCGCGGCAGGCGCGCTGTCGTTCCGCTCGGTGGCTTTTTCCAGGGACCGGAATCACCCCAAAGAGTACGTGCAGGACAAACTGCGGCAGGTGAGAAAGGAAGTCCGCGAATAACTCGACCTGGTTAACGGCTTTGTAACCAAATTTCTATCCGGAGGGCCGTGTAACCCAAAGGGCCGATACAGAGCCGGTAAAACCCAGCCAGGACGTCCTCCTCTTGAGTATGAATATAAGGTTTCTCTACAGTATCAAGAAACTTATCGAGAATGCGAACCGGTTGCAAGGGTCAGCCCATGACACTGGCACGCAAAGAGTCTTCACAGCTGCAGGCGTTTGCAGAGTTTACTCAAAACTTTGCCGTCGAATCGTGACACAGGCGGCAACGGCGCATCGTACCAACTTGCCCTGACAATTGGCTTGCTGCTCATTCAGTGCGCGGAGCGTCTCGCTCCTCTTTTGGAGAACCCAAACTGCCACGTGTACGTCTGCGGGAGCTCGCGCATGGCCGACGGAGTCGCGGCCGCGTTTCGATTTCTTCTGGGTGAGATCCCGGTCAGATGTGGCAAAGGGCGGTCGCCGCGGAGTCTGCTGCAAAGTGCTGAAATGACCAAGCCACTTATATTCTGGAGTTGCCGGTCGTCTCCGAATCTACCCTGCTTCTCTGATGCTAGCTTCAAGCGAATCAAGTCAAGTCAAGGTCTACGAATGCAAAGGTTTGGAACCGTGTTGCCATGAGTGGACTGCATAAGCAAAGCTGATTACAAGCAAGGGTGCACTACTGGTTGTAAAACTGGGGGCCGGCGGAAGATTGGTCTCAGCTAATGACGTCAGTGTTAGTAATCACTTTCTGTTCGTATCTCAGGACCCAAAAGATTCGGCGCGATGGCGTCATCGGGCCGCTACCACGAGGAGGTATTCAGCACGATGGAGCCTACCGGTCCAAATGGAACATGACCAGACGAAAAGCAACGGCAGAACCTACACTCGAATCAGCGCAAGCTTAGCTACCGGTACCTAGCTCGATCACGAACCACGCCTACTTTAAGGTAATCGGTAGAGAAGACGCGACGGGAGCGCTCTGCATGACCATGATCAAGTCTCGGTTATGCAATGGGGCTGAAAGGGCCCACTGTGCGGTACAGGCGCGCTCGTTTCGTCTTACAAGATGGTTGCTTTGTGTTCTCCCTAAGTTCCTGAGGGTCTAAGATGAGAAAACTTCTGCCAGAAACCAGAAATCACTCAGTCAGGTAGGTAGGCGAAATCGCTCAGTGAGGTAGGTAAGAAATGAGTTTGTACATCAAGCAGCCATCACGACATGTGTTGGTCGCACTAGCGGGATTACGGTCAGTAAGTTGCACGAGGATCCGGTTTTGGGTAGATTAATGCGGCTCATAACTCCGTGGTAGGTAACTCCCGTCGTGGCTTTGTGATATCACTCTTGTTTAGCGATATTGAGAAGCCATGACTGTTTGAAGGCTCTCAACCATGTTCAATTTTAGACGGATCTTCGGGAAAGCAGGCTTCAAGTAATCAGGAGCCGTGCAAACAATATGTCAACTCCACCTTATGCATACCGTCTTCCGACCTGAATATAGGATGAATCATTGCCCTCGATCACACGTTTGTGATGTCGATCATGCCCCTGCCATTGCAGCTTCTATGAATGCGAGTCAAATGCAGCACACAATGCACCGCATCTTCAAGATCAACCTATTTAGGACACTGAGACGGTCCGACCGTCGATGAAGCATTCAAGCGATCTCGCCAATCATGCAACTCCATACAATTGCAAGCGGCCGTCGCTATGTAGTTGTCAACAATCAGCCACGTCATGCATGTGGGGGTGGACCGTCTCGAACTTCATCTCCATGCAAGGATTCATGTGGGCTTCAGTTGAGATTCAAGCATGCATATTCTGGCAATTTGAAAATTCGTCCATTTGAATCTGCCAACAAAAACTCTCTGTCTTTTTGGACTAGAGAAGGCAACTCGACCCAGCGACTGGCACCGATGCTCACCGTCCGCGCAGCAGATAAGTGTATCACAACGCTGGAAGCACAGCTAGGAATTGTGAACTTTGTGAAGGCCCCAAAGAAGAGCCATGGCCCCAAACCGTACACCTTGCTACGCCATGCCGCTTTAAGTAAGTGTATAGCCGGAGTCATGTCTCACTTGGATCAGCACTTGCGCGAGATTCGTAACTCATGTCGTAGTTGCTGGAAGTTGCAGTAATGATTGAGGGCCTCACTCAGATATTAGTTTGACAAGATAGTCGCCTCAACCCTAACGGTGATCTCGCCAGATGCTCCCACCCACTTCTTGTTGCTACATATTGCTTCCCAAGAATCTCCAAAGATGTTTGGATAACCCCAGTCTTTCTCCTCAGATTCAAACAGGTGCAGTTGGGGCTTCTCAAGTGAAACCCATTCACCTTCTGCCACTGACTTTGCAGAAAAGCTCATTTGAACACGGAGAGAATGTTGTGCAAATTGCTCCTCATAGGTCTCATATGCACCCAAGAAGAGCCCAACAGTGCTTGGTTCTTCTTCCCGGTCCATCCTTTTCACCATCAGGTGCCACTTCCAATTGTGGTTCACAATAGCAGGCGACACCTGTTGGCTTTCCACTTCAGCATCTTCGGCTAGGAGGGCTCTGAAATAAATCCTAAAATCAAAGCCTCCTCGCTTTTGAAACCGGCTATCCGTCATCGAAGCCTTTCTCGACAAGGAAGATGCAGCAAAACCAAGACCTTCTCTTATCAGACGTTGCGCGGGGAGAGAGTCCATCTCGGGAGCATTTGCTACTTGGGTCTCGATAAAGTCGGCCGACATTTGTGCAAACCGCAGATGTGCACACAGCTTCGACACGGCGGTCTGCCGATCTTCAGTGGTCTTGAAAGTATTTCTAACCCACTTTAGAGTCTGCTCGAAGACTTTCTCTTCTGATTCCGCTTCAAGCTCCTCCTTTCCCAGCAAAAAACTGACTGACTCTAAGCCCACTTTCATGAATTCCAGATCATCCCAGGTGCCAACACCCTTGAACCTCCGAACGAGAGCTTCCTGAGCTTTTTCCTCCAGGTTTTTCACCTCTCGGTACAGCGATGTATACGTCTCAGGGAGAGAGAAAGCGGCAAATTGCAGCACATCGACATCGTCGAGCAGCTTCTCCCAAACCTCACTGACAGCGCTGACCAAGCTGCTGACCGCATACTTGTCGGCAACCGCTAGCAGCTCCAAAAACTCCTCTGCACGATCCCTACCAATGAGGCTCGAAAGTGTAATCTCGCCTGTGTAGACAAATCGCAGCATCCTCAGGAAAGCTCCCTTCTCGTCATTGCTGCTCATCCTGATGATGACTGGACGATCTTTGTCGGACTCTGCCATGCCGCTGGAAAGCATGTTCAGAAACACTGAACTCTTGGACGCAAGAATGGCGCTGTTGATCGGCACGTCCTCTTCCACCAGCGTCTGCTCTTCAACAAATGTCTCCAACTTCCGAAGCCACATAATCCTGTCGCTGAAGCAGGGGTTGCCGTACGCAAAAGCAAAATCATAGCAGGCGGGCCCTGTAGGCACAATGCTGCCGCTGACTCCAGGCTCAACTTCGTCATTCCTCTCTTCTCGAGCAGTTTCTTCCATGCTGTCAGACAGTTTTTGCCTCTTAGAAGCCATTTGCACTGCCAAGCACGATTGGCGCCCCCTCGAAATTTGAGCAGCTGAAGAAATGATGCACTTTTGCCACAAGTTTTGGAGCTCTGAGTCTGATTCTGAATCTAGACGGTGGCCGAGTCGTTGCCTGGTTCCTTAACCCGTTTCTTGTGGTGCTGGTCAACGTACCAGGGGCATCCATCGCTTGCAACGGGAGTTACGGAATACTCGTCCCAGACATTCGTTTGGGTCACGAGGTCACGCGACTGTGTCAAACGTCTCGCCGGCGACGTTCTGCTGACGGTTTTCAAGCTCAAACTCAGAAGCCGGGTTATGTTGAAACCTGGTTTCTGCTCTCCTGGCAAATCTGGCAACGTTCAAACCGTCTACCCAGACTCCAGACTGGTCAGCTCGCATTTGCAACAGTACAGCCAGCTTTGTAAACTGAACGCAATCTCGTCTCCCAGCAGATCATGGCGCTCGTAAATAGGCGGCTAGCTGCTCTGGTGCTCAAAGCACTGGCAGGCCTTGCGTCCTATGCGTAAGTTGAATATGAATCACAGGGGTTGAATAGACGCCAATTGATTTCAGCTGCATTGAAGTGCATGTCTGGTCACGTTCAAATGACTCTAACTGTATAGTAATCATTTCCCCCATCAATCATGCGGTGTTGGCGTATCGTGAGCCCATGGGTCTTAATTGTGCATGCTGACTTTGCATATCAGTGGCGTTCTCCACGTGAAGCTGCTGGTCCCAGTTCTTCAAGCTCTCCGCCTTCACACACCACGGTCAAGGAAGCTTAGTGCAAGGCCCAGCTGGCTATGGATCATGCTGAGCTTGAGGCTAGCATAAATGTACGGTGCATTATACGAAAGTCAGCTAATACGAAGACGACTTGCGCTTGTGCGTTGGTTGCAGACATGTCGCATGCAGTATGGGGATGTGGTCCAAAATTACATAGAATTGTACTCTTCGAGTCCCTAGCCTAGGTCCCTCGCTTCAGCTGCATTCGTTTCGAAGGGACGAGGCTGGATAAGGGGATGCATTTTGCAAACACAACTTGTCATCAATGGGTCATCAATGTGCATGAAAGGATCGCATGCAGTGCACCTTACCATGCGCCTCGACCGTCTCGTAAGATTCGGCCATGTTTACCCGATCGAGCATGCAGGTTACCGCGTCGGAAGCACTCGAAATTTGATGTCACGCACCAGTTCCGAGATTGCCTACGAACTCGGAATAGAGGTTGCGAAGCGCTACAAAGATCGTCACAATCAAAGGCCCGAAGATCGCTCCCTGTCGAGCAGAATACAAAAGATTCTGTCAGAAGGAGCAAGTAGACGTCAACTAAACATGTTGCGGATGCGAACAATTGTTTAAATTCTGACAACGCGACCCTGAATGCGACGGCCGCCTGCGTGTTGCATCAGAAGATCATATCCCAATGCAGAGCCGGCGAGACTGTTCTGACGGAACCAAAGCACAATCTCAGTACTCGTGCGCTCGCGGTCGCGGTAATGAGATTCTCAAAGAAAGTCAAGGAGCGTTTCTGTTGAAGCAGAACTTTGGGACTGTTCCGTAGTGGATGGCAGGTGATTGTTCATGATTACCACTAGAGGAGGGGAATATTTCGAATTCCAAGGAACGGATAAAAGCTAGACACCATCGTTACTTTCTGCATTACCTGGATCGGCGAGCTGAAGACCGACATCCCACCCACAACGCTCAAGCCTGCAAGGCGTGAAAAGCGGCCAGTCCTTAAGCTTTTCAACATTCCTTGCACCTTCTTGTGCTGCAGCTCCTCATCTACGCACTCTCTCCCGGTGCATCTTTCGGGGACATTTGCAGCAATTTCTTGCACCAAAAGCCCGCTATTTGGGCTCGTCGAAAAACGCAAGTGGTGCTGCTTCGCGGTGCAGCGAGATCTAGAAGGCCCAAGACAATCAGACGCCGCCCGATTGAGAAGGGACGAGCAAGTTTCTATTCAATTGGTGACTGCAACGTGGATGCAGTCGAACCCTCCTTGAAGCGAGTGTCCGTGCTTCACAATCAAACAATCAGGTTTTCAATACGATCCAAACTTCGAGAGCGGCTGCTGCTGATTAGGCTGCGGCAAAACCTGGTTCCGGTGGCGCGGTCCAGAGTTCTGCCCTAGCTGCTCTCACCCGTCAGATATGGCTGGGAGCCCGGACAGTGTCGCTGTAAATGATGTCCGAGCCTTGACCCAACATCTGCACAGCCGGACACGTGTCTCAAAGTTTGCCGGACACGTGGCTCAGTCTCAGATGCTGTCCGTTACAACGAACTTGGTCTATATGCACTTTTTGATGTTAAAGAAAGCCTTCAGGAAGGGACGACAAAATAAGGGCTAGGCGTCCGCGAATCGGTACAAAGCGGACTTGTGACGATGATATTGAGAGCACGCCCGCTAACGAGCACAATACCCGTGTGCTTATGCGTGCTCAGAGCAGATGCGGCGATACTGGTGCGCTTTTACGATCAGAACCTGAGCCGCTCACGTCCGCTTGTCTGCGAGAAGTAGCGCTCGGCGTGCAGAATCAGTGACAGTGACAGGTTTGAAGATGTTTCTGGGAGAGAGAAGTCGGGGGGGAGTCGGTCATCTCCGAAAAAAACTGGCGCCAAAGTGACGTGTTCGGAAGCTTCCAAGAAACACGAACATTTGCAATTGAAACGTCAGCGAGTAACGACTTTCAGGCCCTAGGTTACGGAGAGTCCACAATCTATCGTGGAGCTTTATGAAGCAGAGCTTCTGGGATTGAAATTCTGATCTAGGAAGGTATGTAATGATTTTTAGTACTTGACTCCGGCCGCCGCTCACCAGGTTATGCGCAACGACAAGAAGGACGCCCCCGACGTAATTTCCCCGGGCGACTAGTTGCAGCCCCGCGGGAAGAGAGGACTGCCACAGAAAAGGGAGCAACTGAGAAGCGACAAACGGGGAAGCAACCAGTAGCGAGGCACCTCTTGTGAGAACTGAAGATCATGCGCGAGAACGAATCTTGGCCTTTTGCCTTCGGAATTTGGACCGTCAACATCGACTCCTCATATGGCTGTCTGGGTTTCGACCCGCAGAGAAGGAGGGGGCCTGCATTTTTCCGTGAGATTCAAGGTCAGCAATCGCTGATTTCATGTAATCACGGCGTAAGGAAGGAAGAGGCAGCTCACCAGCCAGTTGGGCAAGAGCGGAAGCACAGCGTTTAACCCAGCGAGCAACGTGCATGTGTACCTGTTCCAGAAACGGTATGGTTCAGAAACGGTATGATTTAGAAAGGGATTTAGAAATGAGGATTTAGAGACGGATGATTCAGCGACAGTGGGAACAGCGTCTCAGGCTTGCGTCCAGCGCTTCATTCACTATGTGATTTGATGACGTACCCGTAGTACCGGAAGAAGGAAATGTGCGCTAACTCGGAACTGCCGACAAGAGGTCTCTGCCTCGTCCTGGAGAAAATTTCATCGTTTTGAAGGAATCCAATCATTTGATCTCCCTAAGAGAATGTCTCTTCCGTCTAACGAGGAGAAGCCGACTCGGCCGATCGACCCCTATTGTTGACTTTCATGCAGCAAAAGACTCACGCAGAGACCTTTTGGAGAGCGCTAAGAGCGATGCGGCTCACAGGAAGTGGATGTGGAAGGCCCGGAAGAGGAGCCACGTGAAGGCGGTCTGGAAGAGGGCCAGCTTGACGGAGCACAACAACACGCCGCTGATCTGCACGGGCAGCGCGCGTACGACCTTGTCAGGCTCGAATGGCTTACGAGTAACTGACTTGGGAATGGTTCAGACGTTCCGATGGTTGTTCTCAAGCCCCGGTAACCAAGAACAGGACGATGGTCATCATTGTTTAGAGAGAAGCGCGGTCGATGCGAAAATGGAGAAGAAGCAAACGCTAAGGAACGAGAGGCAGGATCGGACGAAGCAGCAAGCGCAGCCCTTAGCAAGGCCGACGAAGGGAAGGTTTCTATTTGGCGGATGAGATTGGGGCGCCCTTTCTAGGCGAAAGGGAAAGAGGTCGTCCGTCGTTAAACCTAAGCAGAGGCGCACAGTCGAGCTTAGATTTACTGAAACGATTGGTCGCTTCCGCGTCTAAACATGCCCAACTTTGACCGCAGCAACATCTCAGCCTCATGGTGAAACGGGGGGCTCGTTTTCCCAAGAGACGAGAGCCTTACTGCCGTGAAAAGCGCGTCGCTGATCTTGGCTTTCTGCTTGTCCGAGACGGGGAGCAGTCCCAGGAGCTGACTCGAGGCGGCGCCCTCCTCTGCGACCAGCAAAGGCAAAGCACGGCTCGTTTTTTCATGTGAGGTCTTGCGTTGCCAGAACTCAAGCCAGCTCATTGCCGTCCTTGAACTGATGAAAAAATTTGTACTTTTGATTGCTTGGATAAGGGAATGTTAAAGCCCTACACTCAAAGGGCTATTCGGACCACAAATGGGACACTGAAGGATTCCAGCAGCTGTCGATTGACGCCAAACCCGTATCCCCCAAATTTTGCCAAAGTGGAGAAACGGGTTTGTCCGAATTGGTTTCGAGATGAGACGCTCACCCGCGGACAGCAGCGCATACAGGATGGTAAGGAAGAAGCCGGCCTGGAGCGTGAAGTTGACGAAGCCCAACGCGCCGCTCAGGACCATACGGAAGCTCGTCACGAACAACGTCGCGCCGCTGCACACGACCGAAGGGGACTTGAGGATTTCAGGTTTCTTGACTTTTGGTGGCGTATCTTTAACTAGGCCTTTGGGTTCACAGTATTTGGACACCGAAATCGAAGCTTGATAATAGTAATCTGTTCTGATAAGAGCGGTAGGATTTGCGGTCTCATAGACTCGCGGGTCGCAACGCAGAGTGCGGTCACCTCGCCGCCTTCTTCAGAAGGATGCGGTTCGGTCTTGTTGCAGCTCGAGGACTAGACGGAAATGCGTTTTGCTTTGCCTGGCCTCTTTCACTGCCGCATCTCCCTCCTCCGCTCCTCATGTGTTTGCAGCATATAGTCTGTGACTTTGCTAGACAGCGGACGAAAAACCGCTTATACAAGCATCAGCGCTTCTACTATTAGCATGTGCAAAGCTAGAAGAGAGTCGGCTAAACATTTAACAAAAGAAAAAATATATAACTCTCAGCAAACGACGCTCGTTGTTCCTATCCTCTGGCAAGCGTCGCCTGCTTTGTTTTTGAGAAAGAGAAGGACGGGAGACTGACCCCGTGAGCATGTTGGATCCCTGTCCAACAATGAGCCGGAGAGCGGCAGCGCCAGTGCTCTGCGCGATTTGCAGGTACTCGCGCAGTTTCTCTGTGACAAGCATAAAACAAGGCGACATCGCAATCGATAAGAGAGTGTGGTAAGATTGGATTATCACAAGGATCGAGTACACTGGAACGACTAGAGGTTTAGCGAAGCCTGGTTTCGAAACGACTCCTCAACTTCTAACAAAAAGACCGCTGGCGAAGATAGACTAGGACTTTGGAAGTCAACAGCAAACACGCAGGGCGAAAGTTGCACAGAAACGGAACAATAGAAACCAGAACCTAGGGAAACGAATGACTGTCCATTACACCCTTCAGATTCTCAGAATGAAACACTCTAAGTTGGTGAAACGTGTCAGGATTTTGTTTGTAAAGGATCCAAGAAGGGGGACCGTTTTGGTCCAAGCAAGTACCTATTTGGAAGCGGGACTCAAGAGAGCCCGGTACCGTAAGTTCTTATCGAAACCGGTAAAGAGTCACACGTGTTCATCGTCGTAAAGTATTGGCATTCATTCAGTTTTCTTTTTTGGACTCATTCAGGTTTCGAAGGCGAAAGCGCTCCAAATATGCTTATAAGAAGACTTGAGCCAGACAACAAGAGATTCTCAAACAACGATTGATCCAGATCTGCTGCTCTCCTCACCTGCCGACACCGGCAGCTTGGTCACTGGCCCCAGAGCCACGACGGCTTGGATCTCTCGTACCGCGTCGTGAAACTGCATCAACCAGTAGGCAATCTGCCACGTGTTGTCAGCTTCTCGCTAGCGAGGGCGTTTGCGATAGACGGCTCCCCACAGACGTTTTTCGTGATTCGGATATTCCAGAAGGACGCAAAACGCTGCTCAGACAGGTCACGAAAGGAGAGCGAGGGGCAAGTCCAAGACAAACTACTGACTGACTCCATGTAAGTACAATGAGCTCTTCATTTCCCGACTGGTCAATCGCAAACCTGTCACAAAGACTGGTCTTAGTAGAGCCATTTGTCTGCTTTGATGTGAGGTGAATCAAAGCGCAGCCTGCGGAGGACTGCAAATGACACACGTCTTACGGCCGTCGCTCTCCTGACCGTCACATACAGGAAATACGCGGCCCTTTAGGATAGCCTCCAAATCAGCATAGGCTACTGAGGGGCCTTACCTGATACGCGATGAGATTTGCTTTAATGACCTGCAAAGGGGAAGGCTGCTCAGTCGCGGTGCCATTCCTAGATTCAAACGTGTGATGAAGTTCAGAGATATGGGGCCAGATAAGGGGACACATAAGGGGACAAAGGGCTCGAGAATCAGGGGGAGGCAGCATTGATTCCTGAGCAGTGGCAAAAAAATTCAACTCCTAAAGAAATTGGGCGGTGGGTATCACGACAGATTGCCTGTTTCATTCTAGGCCGTCGCGAAGAAGGGCGATCAGGTCTGGTTGTATTTGGCAAAGGTCCAAAGTAAAGGTAAAGCACTGCTCGGTTTTCCAGCACTTCTGCAAAAGTTCTGAGAAGTTGGATCCCACCAATCCGGGGATTCTGGCAGATCCGCAACTTCACGAATGCATGTGAATCTCAAAGCATATTAGCACCAATCAAACCCCAGCACGGCTGTTGCAAAGTGGCGCGAAGAGAAAAGGCGACAAGTCTTGCATTACCTGGACTCGTTCAGCTAACTCCGAAGCGGGCCTGGTCGCCACGAGCGTCCCGTTCCCCGCGCCCTCGCCCTGCTCCCCCTTTGCAAAGTAGAGATCCAAACTGTCGCGAACAGTGTCCACCACCTCCGTCAAGTTGTACCGCCTGCAGATCAGGTTTCGGTTAGCCGATATTGGCGATCGATTCTATACGAAGTGTAAGCGCAACGTAGGGTAATGCCGAGGCCCTGGAACGGTTGAGGTTTGTGAGGGGGGTAGGGTATGTGCGGATGTGCCAGTGGAGCAGGTGGCATTTGGGTCCAGATGTACAACAAGTTCTGCTCTTCCTTCATTGCGCTGACTCTTCATGAGTTGAAATCTTCTTAAGTCGTGAGCAGCGGCCACGCCAGCGTCAGAGGTCGAGGAAGCGTTGAGGTATCCACCGGATTTTGGTGCAGACTTCTAAGAAGGTCAGCGGGTCAAGCAACGCCACGCTGTCATCGACTCGCAAGGAAACCATTACGTTTTTGGCCGACGTCGAGCGACACAAAGAGATCGCCCCAGGCAATTTAATGTGCTACCATGATGATAAAACAACCAGTTAATCGAGCTTCTGACATCCGCGCTCTTTCCCCCATCCGACAATTCGCAGATAATACAGCGACTCGTCTTCAAGCGGAGCAATAACGGCCGGCCAAAGCAAGAAATTTCTTAGGAACAGAAGGAGGGGCACGATGCGGTCGATGATCGGTACGGAGCTGAGAGGAAGGATCCAAGGTTTGCTGCACGTTGCAAGATTTAGGTGTGCCCCCTGAGAAAAGAGGGAGGAGAATACGCCGTCGGCGTTAAAAAGCTTACACAACCAGATCGTCGAACTGCTCCTTGGCGGTCCCCAGTACCTTTTCGTACGTCCGGTTCACGAGCCCCGGGACGTCATTCTCCTGCAGCCACTGCGGACGAGACGGAGGAATAGTCACCTCCACCACCAGGAATAGCGGAGCAGTTTCTTAGATGTTACAGGACTACAGGGATTGCGTCCGAGCTTCTTGTTGGTGAGTACGTTTGCTGGTCTGAAGAGGTGACAGGTGGGAGCATGCGAATAAGAAGCTTGGCCAGTGACAATGAAACAGCAAGAAGATAGACCGGTTCCGTCTTAGCTTGCAGGTGTTTGCTGAGCTAACACAAAAGCTGCCGTCGCCAATGGCTGGGGTTTGCTCCTGAGAACAGCGCTTTCGGTGCTTGACTACCAATCTGCTTCCGAATGGGCAAACGCTTCCAAACAAGTGAGCCGTCCGGAAACCGAATTAATCTGAAACGACCGCCAGGACTCATGAAACTTGATGTGCATGCAGCCAGGCAACAAACACGCTCCCTGTCCACTTTCCGCCTCTGGATGCGCTTCCAGCCAACCTGATTTGTCACTGCCTCGGAAGGACGAAACCCCTCGGAACCCGGACAGTAAGACCCTGAAACCCGGTTAAAGCTCTAAAACTCAAACTCCATAACCAGACCCACCTTGGTCACGCCCATGGAGTCTGCGAACTTGCTGCCGTGCTGCTGCACCTGCTCGTTCAGCCCCTCGACGCCCGTCTTGGTCTCCATCACGATAGCGTATGAGAAGAAGGCCGCGAGCGCGAGCGCGCCCAACAGGAGACCCGCCACCAGGCCGACCGTCACCAGCGTGTGGAGGCGGGCCAGCGCGCTCTGGCCCAGCGAGCGGTCTGCCGCCTGAGCGGAACGGTTACGGAGATCAGAGGGAAAACGGAAGAACGAAAGAACGGAAGTTGGTTTCCGTTTAATTCATGTTGTACTGCACGCTCTGGCCCAGCGCGCGGTCCGCCGCCTGAGCGGAAAGGAGGAAAAAGTCAGAGCGGAAAATGGAAAAAGGTAACCACGCTCTGGCCCAGCACGCGGTCTGCCGCCTGAGGAAAATATAAAATCAGAGGGGAAAATGAAGATGTTGTCCGTTCCTGTCCGTCAATTTGCGACTGACAGACCCTGCAGGCCCGTCTCAGAGCGCGACCTGCCGACCTGAGCGGCGAGGGCGGAGATAGATATATCAGAACGGAAACCGTGCTCTGTTTTGTGTTTGTGAGAGGGCGGTTCACTCCTAATAGGAATGCCCTGTGTCTGAGCTGGACCTGCGGCACAGATGGGACGACGGGAAGATGTAACAGAGCGTCGGTTGGAAAGGACGAACGTCTTCTCAAGTAGTGGAAAGAAAGGAGCGACTCGCTAGGAAAGTGGGGCGTCCACGTGAGAACCGTCTTTCGGTAACACTTGATGGATAAAGAAAGATTTCGAGATAGATCGAGAGCCGTTGTATCATTAAAAGCGGGTGACAACAACAAAGCAGCAATGCGAAGCCGCTATTCATCATTCCCCACCTTCACTCGCTCCGCCACCCTGCCTGCAACCGAGCCAGCCGCCTTCGGCTCTGCTGCCGGTGCAGCTTTTTGAGAGGCGCCGTTTTCTTTTGCAACCTCCATAAGCGTCCAAAACCCCAATAAGCAGGCGGCAACGAGTAGGCCGTAGCGCAGGCGCAGACCGCTCCACAGCAAGCTGCCTACGCCAAAGGCCGCCAGCCACTCGAATAGTATCTGCACGTGCAGAAAAGGGGCTATAACTCAGCACATGAAAAAACGTAGAACTTCAAAGTCGAGAAGTGTGTGGTTGCAACCAGCAGAAGCAACGTGAACGAAAGACCGCTTCACGGTTCCCTCCCGACGTCGTGTGGTAGCAATTAGAAAACGTCTGCAATTTGTCAAGAAGGATTGTTGCGGGGTCCTCGAATGCTCTGTCGACTAGAAAGACGAACAATCGTTTACACGCACTGTCCAAGGAGGCAAGCACAGCGGAGGTTTTCTCTGCTTCGATCACTTTGCTTTTGGACACAACGCAAGTGAGCCAAGCTTCGCAAAACTCAGAAACACTGTTCAAATCCGGCTTCACATAAGCTCGTTCACTGTCACCTATTCACTTAACGTTTCGCCCAACGCAGAAGGTATCTCGTACCCACCTCAGATCTTGTGTGCATCTTCATTTCCTTCAACTTGTTGGCAGGAGCGCTCCGCCTCCGCTTCAGCGGAACCTTCTCATCAGAGCCCTTCTCCTTTTCATCCTTCTTCTTCATAAGGGGTCTCAGGTACGGGCTCAGATTGGCCCACGTGTCAAGTGCGATATTTATGTACAGATCTCGTAGCAGGAGGAAGGGGACCGAAAGGACGGACGAAAGGCCTTGTTCTAGAAAGGGGACCCAGAACTCAACCAAGGAGTCTTTGTATCCTGCAAGGAAGCACCGGATACAAGAGTTCATGGAATCAACTGACTGGAGCATTTTTAGAGCACTGAAAGCCGAGAGCTTGGCTCCAAAAACAGAATGGGTGGATTCAGACGATTGCAATCGCTGAGGATGCGATGTGGGGCAAATCCACGTGTAAATCTGTCAAAGGCGGAAGTGATCTAGGCGCAGGCGTTGTATCGGACCCAGCTTTTCGAAAGCAACCTGCGCAAAGGTCGTTCTCGCGAATTGCATCATTTTAATTATCTCTTCATACTCAGCCAAGTCCTTTCGTACTACATGTCACTGATATCGGCACGAGACACTATCAGAAAAATGTGAAAGTTCCTCTCCTCGATCTACGCCTGTAGGTCGCCTTATTCAACGGGGAGATGCTCCGTGTGCTTGCGGAGCACTAGCTTTGCACCAAAGAATCAGTGTACGACCACAGCCAACTTTAACCTCGTCCAACAGCATCCAAGAAACATTCCGCCACGACTCCGACGCCTCACTGAACACTTGGATTGTCCCAATCTCTTGTCGCGCTCACGAAGGCCTCACCTTTAAGGAGCACTGCACAAAGGCCAGCCCATAGGAGGGGCTGCAGAAAGTCGTTGAGGAGAAGGTAGAGGCCGAACAAGATCACTCCAAACAAGATCAGCGCCAGGTTGGCAAACGCGAACGTTGTACATGGCCATGCGCAGGTACGGGTCAACAGCGGGGGCGGCGCCAGGATCATCTCTGGACAAAAGATGGGGTGTTTGCTTTAAGGAGAACTTGCTAGAGAAGAAAAGGGAGCTTCAAGTCTAACTTCTGTAGCTCAAGCTCTGGGGGAAGAGGGGGTGATTCGCCCAAGGGAAGAAGTTAAACTCAGAAGGTGGAGCTTCGACCTTGTAGGTTGAGCTGTGGAAGAAGGGGGGATTGTTGCTCCGAGGAGGAACCATAATTTAAAAAGGGAAAGCTTCAAGTTTCATCGTTTGTAGCTCAAGCTCAGGGCATCTGGCATGACGAGTGTGATGGACTTATCAAGTGGTTGGAAAGGGCGCTAATCAACCCCCCCGCTGGATCACATTGAAAGAAATCAGGTAACTCAGTTTCAGGTCTAAAAGCTTGGAAGTAGTTCCCACATCCCAAACTTCCTGAACTCGAATAGAATCATCAGATCGTTGGTGCCAGTGGTGATGTGTGCTTGCGCCTCAGAGGGGCATCATCTTTCAAACTTCATCATGGCCAAAAGACTTGCACAATTGACAAAAATCCTACACACGCTTGAAGAGCGCACATCTGCTTGTAGAGGTTTTTGATCGTGTGGTGGTGGTACACAACCAATTCAACCCAACTTTGGTTGAATGAGTGCCAGGAATACTCACGAGTACAGTCCAGTAGATTGCTGTCCTGGAGCGCCATTGGGAGCAGTCGAACTGCCGGCTCTTGCATCCTCCCCCATCAGATTACTTGCCTTAGAGAACATCCTAGGCTAGGGGAGAGAACATCCTAGGCTAGGGGACTATGTGGCAGAATGAGGTTGCGGATCATGCAGCAATGCATCAGTTGGCAGAGCTACCAGGATTCAATGAATGAACGAAAGAATGAATAAACCCCAAGACAATCAACGCTCTGTTGGCAGACGGACGGATCAGGCAAAGAATCCAAGCCAACCGTGTTACAGATTCTCCATCTTTGTAGTATGAAGTTCATCATGCGCCATTGCCGAAGGAGCCGCATTGCATGAAGAGCTTAACCCTTTGTGGCCGGATGTTGCCTTTTGTTGCCACTCTTTACACAATGTTGCAAATAGGCCCAGAAAGCAACGGATGAGGCCCAGACTTCATAGGGTGGTGTCAAATGACTAAATGCAACATACAAAAAATAAAAATAAATTATGGGGGGGTCCGGGCCCAGGTGCGCGGCCCCCCCAGTAGGCTGTGTGTTGCCTGCAGTTGCCACGCTGTCACGCACATGTGGCAACATTACTTAGGCAACAAGGCCACAAACGGGGCCTCGACAATTTAGCAGGCGCCCAGGCAACTCCAAGCAGCGTTTCGGTCGAGAGATGCTGGGCCTCCCTAATCTTGTTGCCATTCCCCTGCCAACCGGGTTGGCAGGGGAATGGCAACAAGATAAGGGAGGCCCCACATTGTCGACCGGAAATGAGGGCAACAGACTGGGAACTAGCTAGGCAACAGCTAAGAATTGAAAGGCCTTGCAATCGAAACCGTGCTTCCTGTTGCGGCGCACCCCGGCCGCCGCACCTGCAGGACGTATTCACTCTGACAGAAGCGTAAGTGGCAACACGGGCAAACCGATTGTGGCAACAGATGGTGTGAATGTAGAAGGCAGCGCAACGTGAGGATATCCCCTGCCACTGTTGGGGGGAGGCAACATGGCCCCCGGTTGGTCACAAAGTAGGTACCTACTAGGTAACCTAGGTAGGTACCCGGCCAAGGGCAACAAGCTGTTTGTATTAGCAATTGTGCGCATATATTGCGCTTCCATCAGCCATATAGGAGGGACAACTGGCAACAGAATTGGCATGACAAGGCCTTACGACTAAGCCGACTTCAGCTTGTTAGCATTCGTGCCTGTATGGGGCCCGCTGAGGCCTTGCGAACGCGTTGGCAACATGTGTAGGAGCTAGAAAGCTCGAAGGAGCTGACTATCGAGTCAATATTCACCTTCCCCTCGATAAACCGGCACGCCGGACCGGCAGGTTCTGCGATCGGCACCGTACGATCGATCGATCGCGCGATCGTAAATTTTTTGAGAATTACCGATGATTTACGCGGACGGTAAAACTACCGTAAAACTCCCGGCCACAAAGGGTTAAGCGCCAATTGGATTGTGGGCAAAGCTGATCGAACTGCGGCCCAGGGTTTTGAGGTTTTATGACGTAGGTACGTAAGTTTGCTAGTCTTGCGATATGCGTCACTGATGATGTCACACAGGGTTAACTTCCTAACGCACACTAAAACCCTAAGGGTAAATATTGAGCAGTAACCCGGTTTTTGACAAACCCTAAGGCGTTCCGCCAGAGCGCACCCTTACCCACCCTAACCCCCCAGCTAACCCCACCAAGATCACAGGTTTGCCCTCATTGTAACCGGAATCTGCCCCGAGCACTTCAACCGCACCCGGTGAAACCTGGCGGTATCAACCATACCGACAGGTACCGTACCCCACCACTGGTATCGCTGATGTCATGGATGACGTAGTTTAGAAGACTAGCTAGTAGCAAAGTTATGTAGTCTGCTGGGTTTTATTAGCCTGGGTACAAAACCCTCAAGAAACCCTAGAAGCTAACCTCGACTAACCCAGGGCCAGAGCTAGGACTCGGAGAAAATCAAAATTTAATTGCTCAAATACCAGCTTGCTTGAAGTTGTAATTGAAAATACGCATTTTCCCTTGGGCGACTTCCTTCCTTCAATCCTAAAAGCTGGGACTTGTAGCAAGCTAGATATCGATCAAGAAGGGCCTCTCAGATTATAGTTTGCAGCTATGGCGGCAGCTGATGCAGACCCTCTGTCTGACAGCAGCGATGAAGAGGTGGAGGAGGTGGACATGGAAGCTTTGAAGAAGTTGGAGGATCAATTGGCCGCGAATCCTGCCGACTACAACACTCATGTCCAGGTATGTTCTTGCATTTTCCGGCCCACTTTTCAAAGTGTTGTTACGATGCGTTGGAGCGAGGGTGGGATGCTCTTGTTCAGACCTTATGTATAGTGGTGCCGTCTGCTGAGATTGTGACGGTGCTTTTTGATTGTAGTGCATGGGCACATCCTTCACTTTTTAAAAGCATCTTGAAAGAAAAGTTTGTGGTTTGCAAAGCAATGCATGGTGGCGTTTGCATATCCTCTATATTTTAACTATAGAAGGCCATGCAACTGAACAAAAAAAGCTTCAAAAGGAACCTGCTTCAAGCATCTGGTTCTTCTTGCAGTACATCGCAGCCCTGCGCAAGTCTGGCGATCTGCAGAAAGTCCGATCGGCTAGGGAGAGCATGAATGCACTCTACCCGCTGACGCCTGACATGTGGCGGGAATGGACGCAAGATGAGGCGAGGCTGGTGCAGGGGTGAGGGCGGCCTGGCCAATCGCTCAGACTAAATATCTTATCCATGTGATTCACAAGTTTGCTGCAAACGAGGGCAGGTGAATCAAGGTGTACCAGAACATGCAGAGGGCACCGAATGCTTGTCTGGCGTAGTATGAAGTTGATGGCGGCACTCCTCGGAAATCTTAGCTTTGAAGAAGAAGTGCTCCAGAAAGTTCCTCTCTCTGTGGACAAGATCGATGTATGGAAAAGTCTTTCCTTCAAAGTAGTGCTTCGAGAAGAAGATTCTTTTGCTTCGAGCGAGCATTGCATTGAGTACCTCCAACTTTGTTGTCTGGTTTCTCTCACTGCGTTCTGTTCTTGATTATCGACTTGCCTTCTCATTGCGTGTCCTGCCTCAGCACTGTGATCAGAATCAAGATTTCCACTTCTGCAGAGAAGAAGACGTTGAGCGCATCCAGCAGCTCTACGAGCGGGCCGTACAGGATTACCTGGTAAGCTGGAAGTAGGTTCACTGGCACAGTCCCCACACAACGAAGCTATGTATGCTTCACCATCAGTTTACAGCGCCTCAGAGCAACAGAACAAGTTGCAGTGTTTCTCTATACAACATGTTGATGGGTAGAACCACCTGTTGAGGTATCGGAATGTCTGCCTTATCTTAGTTATTCAATTTTTATCCCATTCACGTTCACGATAACATGCTCTATCCAAGGCGGCATGGTTCGTTTAGAACTCTTGTTTGATCGTGATTGTACTTCGACCCTTTCTCTGCTCCGACGTTCGTCCTTCTTATCACAGTCTCTTTGCTTTCGTTTGCTTCCTTTGCTTCCTTTTCCAACACCAACTCTCGTTCCTCTGTGCAGTCCATTCCCCTATGGGTTGAGTACCTAGAGTTCGTGGAGGAGCACGACGCCGACGTTGCCAGCTGCGTTCCTGAGGGGATGGCCTGCTTCCGCACGCTCTGCGAAAACGCGCTGGCCGCTGCGGGCTTGCATTACTCCAAGGGCAGCAGGGTGTGGACAGCATATCGTGACTTTGAAGACGCCGTCCTGCCAACCCTGGAAGACGCCAGCGAAGAGGTAGGACAAGCCGATGTCCATCAGCATATTTCAAGGCGTGTTCGTCGAGAGCTTCTTAAATGACGGTTCCAAGGCATATGCTGTTCACGAATCACGGACAGGTGCATGTCACGCTCGCTGATCCGTCCTCGATAGAAGCTCGTTCCTTACATTCATTCCGCTTAGTCTATTAATTCCTCTTTGTCGAACCGTCAGCAAACAATCCTCAGAAAACATTCATGATCAGACTGACCGGAAGACGCGTGTACATTCAGGACAAGGCGAAGCAGGTGGAGCGTGTGAAGAAGCTGTTTTGGCGCCAGCTGCGAACGCCGCTCGCGGACCACGCGGACACGCTGGAAGCGTACGAGGAGTGGGCGTCCGAAACGGGCGAGCCGAAAGCACTCCCGCCGGACGTCCAATCGGAGCTCAAGAAAGCGGTCAAGGTGGTGGACTCACGACTGCCGTATGAAGAGAGTGTGAGTTCCTGGAACGCTTCCCAGGCTTTTAAGAAAATTGTCCGGAACACGTTTGTGTAGGGATTTCGTGCTGCAAAGTTGGAGAACGGACAGCAGAGTTGCTCGAAGATCGACAAATTCAGTCCTGTCACCGTCAATCTGAATCCTCATAAGCTCCGCAATGACTTTTCTTTGTTGCGACGAAAGTCTGCACTTCAGCTACTTGCCGTCATTCTTTTGAAAGGGCTTTGCGAGCTTGTGTTCTCGCAATTCATCTCTACCAACTTCCCTAGTTTTGTATGCTCAAACCTGTAAGGCTTGTTCTTCAAACGCAGGTCACCGACAAGCCCACCGACGCCGCCCTCCTGAGCAGCTACCTCGCCTACATCTCCTTTGAAGAGTCCGCACGCGAGCCGTCCCGAGTCCAGATTCTTTACGAACGCGCCATCGCCGACTTCCCCGTCACGCACGACCTTTGGCTCCGCTACGGCCAGTTCGTCGAAACCCAGCTGAAGGCCCACCAGCAGGCCGTCCGAATCTACGCGCGCGCCATCCGAAACTGCCCGTGGGTGTCCGCACTCTGGGTGCGTTACCTCCTCGCTCTCGAGCGGTCGGGGGCGTCGGAGGAGACCCACCGGGCGGTCTTCGAGTCGGCGCTGAGCGCCGGGCTGCAGGCCTCGGCCGAGGACTACCAGGAGCTTTTTCTTACCCGCGCAGCAGGGCTGAGGAGGAGGCTCGCAGCGGCCGGTGCGAACGCGCCCGCCGGCGACAGGGATACGCTCCGGGGCGTGTTCACACAGGCGGCAGAGTTGCTGAAAGAGTTCTTCCCCGACTGGGTCGACCGCTCGTTCCGGCTGGAGAGATACTGGGCGGGCGTTGAATTGAATGTGAACGGGGACGTGAAAGCGGCGGAGGGCGTGTGGGAGGGAGTGCTCAAAACGCGGGGCCATATGGTGGAGCCGTGGGCAGCTTTCGTCGAGATGGAGAAGGGATTAAAAAACTTCGAGGAGTGCCGGAAGCTGTTCCGGCGGGTGTACGGGCGGGGGCTGGAGGGGAACGGAACGGAAGCGATGTGCCTGGCATGGCTGCAATTTGAGGAGGAGGTGAGCCACTGGGCGTGCGACTGACTAGTTGACTGTCTTGGATCCCACGGTTGGTGCGCCGAGTTAGGATTAACATTTTGCTCGTGATGATGCGTGAAGCGACGGCCTGTCAAGTGAGCGGCATAACGAACCGGAATGATCTACTAAACTATATCGTTCTTGCTCCTGATGCCGAGTTCCTTGCTTCCGCTTCTCGATTTTCACACGATCTGCTGACACGTCATCTCAGGCCAACGTAGTTCCATTGCCTCGCATGCCGATGTCAGTTTGCAGGTAGCGGTCGTGACCTACTTTCTCCTAAGATACTGCTCTATCTGGGTTGTGTCAACACCGAATTACACAACTTTTGACACAACTACACCCCCGTTCCGTTGGCAGGTGGGCACTCTAGACGACTTCGACAAGGCGTCCGCCAAGGTCGGCCCCCGACTGGTTGAGCTCCGCACACTTCAGCAGCAGCGCGACGCGAAGGCGGCCGCCGCTGCCCCGCAGCCCAGCCCGCGCCCAACCGAGCCCGCCCGGGGTAAGCCGAAGCCCCCGGGAAAAGCACCTGCGGCGGCGCCCCCCCCAAAAAGGAAACGGGGTTTAGGGTTCAAAGATGCTCAAGAAGACGGGGGGAGGCCCAAGAAGCAAAGAGAGGAGCCGGCACCGCCCGCGCAGGCCGGAGTCCCGGAGGAGAGCGGGCAGGCGGGGCCGGCGGCTGGGGCTGACGTCAGCATGACGGATGCTGACGCCGGTCACGGAGATGCGGCGGCGGGGACGAGCGGGGCCGGGGAGCAGCCGGAGGAACGGGGGCAGGAGGCGGGGGGGAAGAAGCGGCCGGTGTATTCGGATCAGAGGACGGCGTTCCTCAAGAACCTGCCGTGGGAGGTGGGGCGTTCAGCCACTGTTCTTGTACGGCCCGTTGGGTTTTGATAGTCAAGCTGGTTCCTTTGCCGATGTCTGCGGTGTCGCAAAGGCGCCGACTGACGAGTGCGTCTGCAGATTGGCCGCCTACCTTGGGGCTGGTTCTAGGACTGCCGTTTGCCTCACAAAGGTTTTGCTTTCGTCATGCTGCATGGAGTCCAAAATCCTTTTCTTGCGGAAACCCTGCCGGCCGTAACGGACGCCTGGTGCACGTTGCGATGGCCGAAAGTTGGAAATGGAATCCAAATGCGATATCAGACGATGCGAGAACGAACGAAGGAACGGAATTGAACCGGAACCCCTGCGTCTGAGCATGCGCTTTCAACTCACCGTAATGCTCTGGCGGACTCGCGCTTGGTCCTGGTTACCGAGCTCTGTTTGGAGTGCACTTGATATGAGACATCAGATAGCAGTCTAAGAGCGGAAGACAAGCGGAAACAGGTTGAAGAAGTCGTATCGCCCGCTAAATGCTCATTGTGATTGGGTGAAAAGTTTCGTTCGTTTTGCTGTTGCTGCAGGCGGAGGAAAAGGACGTCGCCGACTTCTTCTCACAGTTCGGGCCGGTGAAGGAGGTCCGGTTGCCCACGGACAAGCGTACTGGCCGGAAGAAGGTGAGGGATGGAATCGGAGAGTCCTTCCGGCTGGGCTGACGTCAGTCTTCTGGCGGCTTGCGAAAGTTTGAGTCTCAGCTGGAGCTATTGTTGTTGTTGTCTGTTACGTGCAAGCCGCTGCTTCCGTCCTGCATTTTCTAATGCTTATCTACTCTGAAGAGCTCTGTGGAATTGTATCTTCCCCGGCTTCATTGTTTGAAGTTAGCTGACGGAACTGAGTGATGGCCATCCCGATGTTAGCCCTTTTGTTCCCCGCCTCGAGAATTATCAGCTGGGTCGGATATTCACGGAGCGCGATGCTTAGTCAGTTTATGTCTTGCAGGGCGTTGGTTATGTCGAGTTTGAGACGGACGAGGGGCTTGAGAGGGCCATCGAGCATAACGAGGTGGAGTTCAGTGGGCGGAAGCTGAGTGTCGAAAAGTCGGACCCCTCATCGTACCCAGGCCCGCAACAACCACGGGGACGAGGGAGGGGGCCACCCGGTAGAGGGGGCCAAGGAAGAGGCCCACCGAGGGGGGGGCAAGGCGGGTGGGAGAACCCGCCCCGTTCAGTTGTCAGCCACCGACGAGGGGGCCATCTGCAGCTAGTGGGCGATCCAACAACATTTGTGCCGAGGAACATCAAAGGGCGAGCAGGGCAAGCAGCGGCGAGGGACGAGACCCCAAAAACTAACGAGCAGTTTAGGAACTTGTTCAGAAAGTGAAGAGGCGATCTTTCGCAAGCCACGTGTTATCCCGGCGGGTATGCTAAGTTGTCTTCTCCCGTGAATGCATTTCTACATTGTGCGGTTGCATGTTGATGGTCCTCAAAACAGATCTGTGTTGCATCAATTGAGCGAGCTCCATAAATTGTGCATGACATTTGACATCAGGTTTGGTTCGGAAGTGACCCCCTGGCAATGTTATGCCTTTTGTTGGCATGTGATTATACCTCGGAGCTCAGGCTAATTTGCTTCATAAACTAGATTAGCGGCTTCCCTCATATTTCAGTAGATTCCAGCCAAGGGCCGCCCAGCAAAATTCAGCCGTGCGACGTGGCAAGTCAATCTGAACACCAAGAATGCAATCAGCCGCATGCGAACATTTCAAGTTCCACTCAGTCACAATAACCATAACAAAATATTGTTGTTATAACAATATGAACAATGGTCGTTGGCCAAGCCAACTCGAAGCTATAGTCGCATGTAAATGCCACATCACCTCAAATGTCACTCCTCACTGCTATGCCTCGCTCTAGCAATCGTGAACAAATCAACGCGACTAACGAAACTAGACATATCGCCAAAGGCCTCGCACCTATAGCGTGCTCTAAACTGCAAGAGCCGATCGATGATGAACGGCTCTGGCCTAGCTGCGCTGAAGACTAATTGAGATGCGCTGATGTTAATAGCGCAACAGACGAGAAGCCTCGTCTCCAACCTGACTCTCATCACCGACTCTCAGAGCTGCTGCGCGCTGGGCGCACATGTGGAGGAGCCGGTCGAACGGACCGCCAAAACAGCCGAAGGTCTTTATGGCTCAGCGGGGATGAGCCTGTCGTTAGCAACGATACGTAGATAATAGAGTCGGAAGTCCTATATCAATCTCCTATACCTGCCAGCCAGCTCATGTTGCGGGCCCTGAAATGATGATTTACCCCGTTACAATCGGGACTCCGAACGGCCGTCGAGGTTTTGGGAGTAGGTAGATCGACGGTGCGCGCGGCCTCTCTATATTTGTGGACGGCGTGGATGTGTGACAAATTTGTCCCAAAACGCCAGCAATCATTCCAACGATATTTTCTTCAGTGTCAATATCCGCCTTTATCCAGTCACGTGCCTTACATGATGTCAGTAAAAGTGGAGTATGCAATCAAGGGGGTCAGTTCAACAGTACTCGGGCCCCCCAGGAACCTTCTCTTTGGTTCGGCTGTCGATGATGACACGTACTTCCAAGTAAAGCCCTTTCTACCGTCCGATGAACCGGTTACAACTTCGCTTATCATGACGCAATCATATGATGATCGTGCGGAACAGTAAATGCTTGGGGTCAGTGTAGGCTGTCCCCACAGTCTTCTGTTCAGGATTCAGCAAGATTCAGGAAGCTGTGGTCTGCTTTCCAGCCTGGAGACTCAAAGGTGATTCACAGTTCAGGTAAAGGTAGGAACCTTGAATCAAATTTCAAAAGCATGGCCGCCCCCTAAACCTGCCAGGAAGCAGGCTGAATTGCAGAGGTCCGAAAAAGTCGGTTTTGTGGTGTCTAGTCCATTTCGATTCGCGCTGTCTTGGCAGCCTGCAAGGCAATGATTCTGAATGACCAGGCCATACGAGGGCCATGCCTTCCTATTAGCTGTAGGAAGAGTGCAGGAAGACGGTGGTTAGCTACGTCAGCAGAAGGTTTGGAAAAAGAGGCTCGAGGTTGAGCGTGTGGGGGTGCAACTGGAGCTGGAGACGGTCGGCAAAGCTCGTCCCATGCCTGTGTCGAGATTGCAGCAGGAGAGAGCGAAAGTTGGACGAGCCAGTCGTTTAGTGAGTTTTCCATGCCCCCCCTGTCCAGTTGCTTGGTTTTCACTCAGACTTGGAGTCAAAGCCGGGGATGTGAGGTAGGAGCACTATTTGTAATGGTTGTCTGAAAATGAAGCTGCTTCATGAGGCTCTTAAAAGCATGATGGACAAAGGATACGATGGTCTACATTATGCACAGCTTCTGTTCTGGCAGCAAGCGTTTTGACAAACTGTTCTCTTGGCCGAAAAGCTGTATATGGCTTAGGTGACCAGCGCATTTGAAGCTGCCACTGATGGTTGTACAGACTCAAGTACTAAAGCTGACTTCCGTATTTCACATTTGCAAGCGTTTAAGAACACTTTGAAATGTTGACGCCTCCCAGCTTCCAGTTAAAAGCAAGTGCACAGCATGTCTAGGACTGAAGACTCAAAGCTGTGCATGTTGAGTTCCAGCTGACGCTTATCTATCGCAGTTACAGCGAGGCTGCCGTCTGAATAAAACCTAAAGCCTTTACTCAAGAGGGAATGGTAGAAGGGTTCCTTAGGAGATGGTTCCCACTTGCTAGGGAGCTTGTAGTAGCAATATGGTTTTTCCCTTGCTAGTATCACTTTGTGGCGGCCAAAAGGCAAAGAGAGCATAAACCCTTCTGAGAAAACTTAGAAGGTTGGAGACCCTGCTTTAACTAGCACAGCAGCCCTTGTTGAGCAGGTAAAGCACCTTCTTTACGCCTCATAATGCAGTATGTTGGACATGTGCTGGCTAAGTGAGAGAGGCTTCCCACTCTTACTTGGAATATACAAGCCATTCTGGACCAGTGTTTCCTACTTTGCTTACACACCAGAAATACAAAAACCACATCCAGTAGTTTTGCTTTCAAGGGACCATTGAGTCTACTAAAGCGGCGCCGCTCTTTGTTCTGCAAGGTTAAATATCGGTCAAGATGAGCTGCGTAGCGTGCCGCGTCCTTAGGAAAGGCTGCAGCGACAAATGCCCTCTCAGAAGCTCCCTGAGCGGCATCGAGGGGCAGGAAGCACAGGTGCGCAGTTTGAAAAGTGTTCGTGCGACAGCAGACGCTTGCTTTTGGCTGCGATTGTTCGTCTGTGCGAGCTGGTCATGATTCCTACATGGTTCCAGCAAGACCCCTTCTCTTGCTCAGGATGGTTTTTGTCATAGTCCGATTGTCCAGCTTCTCTGTTGCTATCTTTGGTGTCCTTGAGCTCCAACTGGAGGGGTTTGAATTTCTGTGTGCATTCCCGTCTCTGACGTACTGAACCGGAAGCGCTGCTAAAACTGCTGAGCAATTGCGGTTGATGTTAGCAGCAGCAGCTGAAGCAGAGTACTTGCATGTCGAGCTTATTGTACTTCCAGATCTTGCACGGTTGACACAGGCTGTCATGCTCCAGAGCTGCTGCCAATAGTGGTGCCATTTTGCGCCTAAAATTGCATTCACTAGCATGTCAAGTTAGGTAGCGGCGGTATCATCGCCTATGTTAGCAGCGTCGTTGCCTAGTGTGTACTGAGGTTGGGAGGGCGGAGTTCATTTTCCTGACTAGATTGTCCTTGTGATAGCTTAAAATCCCATCTGCCATTGTCCACTTTCCGGGGGAGCTCTTCATTTTGCAGACATGACAAAGCGCACTCTACCAACCCACAATATTCAAAACTGTTTCTGCTCTGCGAGTTGGTTGCCAGCTCTGCGAGTTAGTTGCCATTGACATACCCTCTGCAGATTATGCCACTGTCTCCCTGTCCATTAACGTTTGCTTTCACTCGAGTTATGTATAGCTTCCAGGAGATTTCACTGCAGCTGGCCCACGCAAGCTCATTCAAGAAGGGCTCTCGTGCCATCTTCGTTTGCATCGTATCTCACTATTGTCCATGTTGCTCACCTTCTTGGCAGACCGAGCAAAGAAAGTCAAGCTTCGATTGCCCTCAGATGCTGTATACATCCCGATTGGAATCAACCTTTGTTTGCAGGGCTATGCTACCGTGTTCCTGTCCAAGTTCTTTGGTCGGGCCGGCCTGACCGCCTTTTGCAGTGCGGTGCCAGAAGCGCAACGCCCCGCGCTGTTCCAGTCATTGCTGTATGAGGCATGCGGGCGGACAATCAATCCTGTGTATGGCAGGTAAGGAAGACAATGATCTGCCTTTTTCCTTCTCTTTACCCTTCTCTCCTCCCCTCCTTTGCTCTTCCTCCTATTCTGACGAGTCATCTCTCTTTTCCTTCTTCCTGCTTGTTGGGAAGGTACATCTTAACATCGTCGGTCGAAACCAAGTCTGCCGCTTTGCCTGACTTGGAGTTATATTTGGTGTGTAAGTCTTGCACCTGTGGTCGGAAGCAAGCTTTTCCAGTTGGTGTTTGAGACGCTGTTGCTTTCCTTGAATCAACTCCCAAAGTCGTTCACAGCAGCTGTTTGATCCTTTCGCAGGAGTTTTTAAAAGCATTCGGGTTGGTGGTGCTTATTCGGGTTGGTGGTGCTTATATGCCGAAGCAAGCGAAACCTTCTGAAGGATTTGCTTCTCAACGTATGGTGGTCAGCAACTCTTTAGGTCGTCTTTCCAAGCTCGACTTTATGGCCTAGCGTGTCAAGAAACGGCCAAGCCCGGTCTGCATTAGCACCCACTGGAAAAAACCTGTGCAGATCCGAACGCTTCCTTCCTTTGTTGCAGTGTGGGACTGCTTTGGAGTGGCAAATGGCACCTATGCCAGGCCGCCGTCGAAAAAGTGCTTAGCGGGGGGCAGCTGGGGCCTGCCGATCGTGCCCCCCTAGACAGCGCGTGCGCCCCGCTCCCTTCGGCAAAGCCGGGCCAGGCAGCTGGGATGCTAGGGCCTTCTAAAGCGGAGTACGGCACAGCGATGAAGACAGGGTCTCGAAACGGGGGTTCTCACAGCGGCGCAGGTTTGTCAATGTTTGACGGGGGGTTGACGGGGGGCATGTCGTTGCCGATGCATCCGGAAACCATGCGGTTGCCATTGCATTCAGATAGCATGCGCGTGAGCGTCCACTCAGACCCCATGCGGGTTTCTAGAGAGCAGACGGGGATCTCGTTGAGCCCTCCGGGGGCGTTATCGGGCCTTAACCCGATTCTCATGGGCCTCCAGTACCGGGATTTTGCCCAGCCGGAGTCGCGGTTCGGCACAGAGGTCAACCTTGACCCCGTAGTTTACCAGGCCAGCCCGCCGCTCGACCTGGGGGGGAAGCTGCATACTCCGAACCTTGGGGGTTTTGATTCGAACCGGTATGGGAATGGTCAGCATTTCAATGCTATGCGAACCATGGTTCCAAACCGGGGCTTCCCACTTTGATCCGCACGGGTCTGTAAAGGGGTTGTATGTTCTCGAAGATGACTGGCTTCTAGGGCTCATGCAGATTCCATTGTGTTTGCGTTCCTCGACTGAGCAGAGTGTTGAGGACAGCTGTAGACCAAGCACTTGGGAGAGAGGAGCCATACTTCCACTGACGACCTCAGCTGCGGGATCAACGGATTAGACAGGGTGTGTTTTGGCAGTCAAGAACAAACGTTGTGCAGATTTTTTGGGATGCGCGGCAGAATTGTGTTGTTCAAGCCCCAGGGCGGGCCGGGAAATTTAGTTTAGCACATTGTAACCGATCGGAGCTTATCAGAGGATTAGGATAGAAAGAAAGTTTGTATAGACAGAGAGTTAGCCTTAGCTAGCATGCGCAGATTTTGCTTAGGTGCAGCTTAGAAAGGGAACAACATACATTGTAACACATCGTAGGACAATGTTTGGTGTTGAGTGCAGGAGGATAGGTATCGTTGCAATTGTAGATTGCAGAGGGGCCCGATTGGCCAATGCTAAAACAGTCATGAAAATCAGTGAGCTGCAAGTGGTCTCTGAGTTTTTGAGACTCCGTGTGAGCCAGCTGAACCTGAAGCTTGAGCTTTTGAAGATATTGGGTTCCGAAAGGGACGGTCCCACTGCTCAATATATATATAGGTACGTGCGCCGCAATGCATTCAACAAATTTCGACGGTGTTCAAAGCAACGCCTGTGCACTTGATTATTCAAAAACAAACTAAGCTATATCTCCCACGCATCATTGACTTATGTGTGGAACACGTGCCAGCATATGAACATCATGGTGCCTACGTACAGGCAGCCTCACTGGCAGGGCTGCGCGGGCCCCGCGCTCACATGGCACAGGCCGGTAGCTCAAGCTTAACGCGTGAGGTACACCAGCATGGGCCGTGGCATTGAGAAAGCGCGCTCAGCGATTGCATGAGCTGTGAATGAGTCCATATACATGGCACATGTCACATGCGAGCACGCATCATTTGAACGATCTAGCTCGAGAGTCCATACGCGGATTGGCCTCGCGCCCGGCCCCGTTGACAAACTTATGGCTAGTCACAGCTCATGCCACATATGGCAGCCTGCATGTGCTTTTGCTAGTACTAACTTAGAACCGGACTCGCCCATCTGCCCCAAATGTGCACTGCGCGCTCGCCGTTGCTTAAATTTGATGTTAGTATAGGCAGGGCCGCGCAACCTGTGACTTAACAGTACTTTGCGATGCACCGAGACACGACCGTCGCGCTGTCGTTTCTACGTGCCTGCAGCCGGCTTCATTTCGTGGCCACAAAGTGGAGTATAAGGCGGCTTTGAAGCTAGAGAGTCCGCAACGAGTTGCCGGGTTAGCGTGTCCGACATTTTCAATATTTCAGGCACTGCATGGCAGGCGCATCGCTTTTCAAGGCTTACTTGGTAGGCATAGCTGGTCGCAACACATTCGAAGGCGTGTTTTCACCCCTGACGGTTGCAGTCTTGCTTAATCTGTATCTTCACTTCAAGCTAGCAGCAGATACAAGGTCCGTAAGTCCAAGCCCGTGCATGATGTATGCGAAGTGTCTCTCAAACGCCACTTTGGCAACCAGGCATTCACTGCTCACCCACCGCTTCGCATCCGCAACATTTAATGCCCCTTTTGACTCAACGCACGCTTGCATCTTCGGTCTGAGCTCTTCTTCCAATCGCTCCAGATCCGCTCTCGCTTCGGACAACGCCCGTTCCTTCGCCAGAATCTCCCTCCTTGCAGCCTCCGACGGGACCCACTCGACCGCACTAACCTTCTTGATTAACGCATCCCTAACCACCAAGTTTTTCCTCAACCTTCCCCTCCGCCCACCGTTCAACAGCGCCTTCGCACTCGGTTTCGTAACCACCAACCGGCCCCCCGTGATCCCCGAGCCCCTAACCACCTTCTTGTGCTCCTTGACCACCCTTAACCGGGCTGCCAAACCAGTAACCTCCTTCTTAACCCGCTTTCGCACAGGCTTGGACCCCGGTCGCATCCGGTCGTGCGATTGGCCCTCCACAACCGTCGATCGCCCCGCCAGGCCAGCCCCCGCAATCGCGATTCCGTCAACTGACGCAGACACTTCGAAACTGGACCGCACAACTTGAGAAGTCGGAATTTCGATTGCCGCGTCCGAATTTGCCAAGACTGACACTCCCTCCAGTTGCTGGGTCTCCGTGTCCCCAACTCTTTGCCCCACTTTTCTTTTCTTCAGCGGCAAAGCCGGCCGCCCGTTCTCAACACCGGGTTCCGGACTCCGTTTACGGGCGACCTTCTGGGTCAGCGGCCTGGCTGCAGAGTCGCCCTTCCTGAGGGTGTCAAATACGCCGCCAGAGTCACCCGAGAACGCTTCCCCGTCTGACGAGTAGTAGGCGTGCTGCCGCCCGCCGATAGGCTCGTCGTCCGAGTCATAAGTGGGCACGTTGTCGATCTCATATCTGGACGACAGGGCAAAAGCTACCACTTCAGAACAGCGACAAGCGACAGAAACGAAACAAACAGAGAGACGTACGCTTCCCTGGATTGCCACGCTTTTGAGCTTTCAGTTCTGTGGCAAAGTATAGAAACTCGATCCACAAGCACGCAAATACAGCCCTACAGCCGAGCTGATCGGTTGCAAGCAGGCAGTGGCCGCAGAAGAGGAGTAGAGTGGAAAAAGCTCGATACAACCACGCCGGAGAACTTGAGAGACGTCTGTAATGTAGGACGTATCCGGAAGGTTTGGTCGGATATGACGAAGGGCATGCATGCTGATTATGATCGTCATCGTTCAATGACGCGATTATTGGCAATAACCAGCTTTTCTGGCAAGCGACTACACAGAGGCGATTGCAACGGCCGATTAGAACCAACGGCTCCCAGAAACAAGGTACAGCGGAATTGGGGAACAGGAACGACAGCACGAAGGAACAAGAGAAGCGTGGACGAAACAAGGACCAACAATGGGGGAAAGGGAAGACCGATCGCCAAGGGCGAAGCTAAGCAGCGGACGCAGAAATTGATAAACCAGGCAAAAGAAAAAAAAACAACAACGAAAAGAGAACATCTACAAGAAAGACAGGACAATCATAGGGAATACTTAATTTTTCAGATAGGACTCAGAATGTTGAGTCTTCAGATCCTGCACCCCAAGAAGCGGGCAGGCGCGGATGCGAGAGTAACATCGATTCTACGTTGAGTTACGGTTATGTTGAGTTAGGTCATGCCCGGGGGACGGATGGGGTTAATTTGGGGGTTTAGGGTGGGTACAGGTGCGGAGCAAGTTAATTTTAGGTTTAGGTTCATAGTTTGTGTGAGCCCGGGGAACTGATCTAACTCAACATACACCTAATTCGACATAAAATCGAGACTTGTGCACGCGGGCAGCGCTTATCATCGTCGTCCTATGGCACGAGGTCCTCGACGGGCTTTGATACAAAACACAGAATCTGCTCAATGCCCTCAAATTCTCGAATCCTCAAAGTGCAAACCCTAGAACCCGAGTTACCAAAAAGCGCTAAGCACAACTTCAGCTCGTCCTCCACAGCGTGAAGTCCTCCTTGTAGCGCTCAAGGCACAGAGCGAGAAAACAATCTCAAAACAGAACACTGAACAACCTCACAAGAAAATTTAACCCCGAAACCTCTGAAAAGCGACCCGAAAATGGGGCGAGCGCGCACCGTTCGTCGTCGTCCTCCCACAGCACCAGATCCTCCTTGAACCGCTTCGACTTGGCGCCCAGGAAGCCAATGCAGTTGGCCGCGCCGCAGCGGCAGCGCACCTTCTCCCCGCCGTACCACTCGAAGTCGTAGTCGTACGTCAGCTCCTCGCCGCGTGGGATATCGCGGTGCGCAAACACGCCGACGCGCACCTCGCCCAGCACGTTCCACTTCTTGGTTACGCAGCTGGGGTTACTGAAGGAACGGAGGTGGGGTAATGAGTGTCAGACTGACTGGATTTGGGCTGCGGCCGATCAAGAACTTGACACTTAGGAGTATGGAAGTGACTGGTTTTAACAGGGTTTCGAGGTTGGAGATGGCCTGTGCGAGCCTAAGGAGCCGGGCAGGAAAGTCCGAACTAGCCGGACATAGCCGTTTCGATTATCGTACGCATAATCCAAACGGGACCTGCGCGTACGCTGCATCCCGGAACTCAGCAATCGCTTAGCCACCCACAACCCTGGCCCGCCAGAAGGAGTACGGCTTCAAGCCGTCAGCCCAGCAAAGATGACGTCAGCAAGCCAGATGACGTCGGCAGCGCTCACCAGGAGTGGTTGATGAAGCGGCCGTAGCTGCCCTTCTTGGTGGCGTCAATAACCTCCGAGCCGCTCAGAATGAGCATGTAGTGGTCGCGCAGGCCTGGAGAAGAAGGAACGTTTTGTAGGCGCGGCGTGAGAGCTGGAGCACGCACACTTTGCTTGTCGCTAAGATGGGTGCTTTCATGCGTGTATTCAGTAGCAACGGCAATACCTTGCAGTCACGTTAGCCCGACCAATGCATTTGCATTATTTTAGGAACTCTCAATTGATCTTCAAGTGTCAAACGGACCCTCGTCCACCTGTCGAATGCGGCGCGCAGCCTCGACTCGCTGCCTGACCTGATTCAGCTGTGGACTCGTCACCCCTTGAGGTTTACGAAACGCAATATACCCCTCACGTTGTTCTTTCATGCGTTAACTGGAGCATCCGCTTTCAAGCCTTTGACAAGCGTACCCACAGGCAGCGGACGTGTAGAGCAGGCCCAGATGAGGCTGCTCACCCTCCCGTCGGTAGTCCTCGGAGCGCTTGACGGCCTCCCTGTCGTTGATGATCTCCCCGCAGTACTCCACCACGAACTGGCCAGCCTGCGTTCCAGGAGCAGTTTTTCTCTGTCCAACCGCGGATTTCGACCGAGGAAATTTGGGATTTGTTGGTTCAGGATCCACCGCACGGATTGCAACAATGTACTCCGTTCCATTAACTCTTCACGTTGAATTCTGTGAATCAAGATCGAAGCCGCGTGCCTTCCTGGATGTCATGTCTCGGGCAGAGTAAATTGAGAGTATTGTCTTCCAATCCGTTTGTACTACTCACGACCTACCGGCTTCTCGAACAAGAGTTGAAAGAGGAGGAAGAGAAGGGAGGTAGAAAAGAAGGTAGATTCACTTCAAAGTTTCGGGCAAGTAGATACGACCTCACCTTGATATCTTCCTGCGCATAGAGACCCCAACCCCTCCCCTCCGTTTTGCATGGCTTGACGTCTGCGTACTGACATCGCTGAAAGCGCTGCACGGAACGAAGTAATGGGGGCATTTCAAGCGAAGAGGAACCCCCATCTACACGCTTTACAGATTCACTTTGATGTTATTACACCCGGTTTCCAAAAGGATTTGGACCATAGAATGGGCATGGGATGCTCAATGAAATGACACTGCGCCCAAAACGTCCTGTTCCGAACAGGAGAGACAATAGCCGGTTTCCACTCTATGGGCTATCTATCTTTGTCTGGAGAGAATGCACATGAAATGCTGGCACTGACGAGCGAGGAATCAAAGTGGGTTAACGAAGCCTACGAACTAATATCAGGATCCCTCGCTAATCTGAGTATAACGAGGACACATTGACACACAATCGACCCCTGTCCTTGTCTCCTACGTTCCTGTTTCTAAAGTCATACACCATACCACCATCTGCAATGGTCTCGCACCATTTGGATCAGTTCCTCAATTCGAAACTTGTCTCTCACGTTTTTGACGATTACGTGGATCACAGTCCTCACCTGGTTCTGGCACTCTTCCCCGCACGGGCAATACCCCGGCGTGCACTCCCAGTGCGTGACTGCATTCAAGCAGTGGTCCAACGCACATCCCTCGCTCGGGCGGCACTCGCACACCTGGATCTCGTCGGGGGGCAGAACAACATGGCTCCTCCGGAAGAATGTGTTCCTCCTCAGGTGCTTGTAGGCGGGGGGCTTGTTGCCGGAGCCACCGCTCCGACCTATGTTTACAAATTTCTGTCTGGTTAACGTTTGTTGTCGAGAGAATCTGTGGTTCGATAACTTTGAATCGTCTTGGACTTTTCTAAAAGTGCTCAGGAGTGATTTGGGGAGAAGTGTCATTTAGAACAGGGGTAAGACCAGAAACATGGACTTTCCGGGACTTTTCTTCAGGATTTTTCATGGACCAGGGATTGGAGGGATTTCAGAGGGGCATGAACTAGAAAGGAACTTAATGTAGTGGGGTTTCAACGGAGGCGGGACCTGCTACTTGCCAACACCGTAGCTGGGCTACTCTGGCTCCGCGCCAAGGACTTGACTACATGTTCAACGGTGTAAAAATGTCCTGCATTCCACCAGACTTGTAATCATCTTTCAAAGCAGGAGTGACGTAAAACCACCCAGCCATCGACTAACTTTACAACCAGTTAAGATAAAGTAATGTTCTGAAGCCCAAGTCGTAGCACGCCCTCACCTCGTCCAACAATCGCAAGCCCCCCCTCTCCGTTGCTCAACCCCTCCTTCTCCGCTTTGGCCATATTCCTTTCATCTTTGCTTGTGAGCGTCTTTGAAGGCAGGGGCTTGCCCTGCCGTTCATAGTGCTTCTCCGTTCGCTTCTGATACCAGAGGAAACGCTTCTCAAAGTCTGGCGGTAAACTAAAGTCGGACACCCCTATCAACCGATCAGCGCCCTCGCCGAACTGGGGGAGAGGGAAGATCGGCCCAAAGGGAATGCTGTCCTCTTGGCTGATAAAGTCGGACGGCGATTCGGACCGCTTCTCAATTCCTCGAGCCCGTGCAGCTGGTTTCCGTTCCTCGCCATCAGATGCCAGAAGACCAATCGCGTCCGTCAGGAGATCCATGCATGCCCAGAGAAGGACAGCTTTTTTTTTTCTGCAGCCTAGCTACGGCCCCGGGCCATGCAACCCGCCAAGAGCATTTGCATGAAGCAGAAGCTCACATGGTTTGTTTCACATTGCTTGAGCAGTGTTCCAAGTTGCACATGGGCTTCAAAAGTTTAAGGGTTCAAAGGAATGACTCTCTGAGCCTTGAACGAGGACGCCTAGAACTTCCGCTTTTAAGTTGCGTTGCCGGGTCCCGTAGATTTCGCTTGGCTTCTTCATCAGGGGAAGGGGGAAAGAGATGCACTCATGAGTCATGTACCATTTAATTCAAATTATCTTCTCCTTCAAGAGCGCTGCACACAGGAGTACAGGACCTAGGGAAGCATCACTGGAGATCTGAAGTGCAAAGATGGCGCCCCTCGAGGCCGATGGAGCTCGTCCCCCCAGCTCAGGCAAGCGCCCCGCCACGACCCCAGGCTCCCTAGCTGGCTTCGAGTCGCTCGAGCAGCTCCTGAAAGAGTATGTCCCCTCTGACAAGCTCGAAGAGGCGCTGCGCGTCCTGCACGGATCGAAAAGCGGCAAGCCCGTCTCTGAGCTCCCCCTCTCAGAAGAAGTTCTTTCCTCTGCTGAAAAGCAAGACTTCGACATCCAGGCTTATCAGTTCTCAGCAGCGGCTGAGCAATTGAGGGCGCCGAGGGTTGTTAGGGTTGGGGTGGTTCAGAATGCGATCGTGCTGCCGACGACCGCGCCCTACGCGAAGCAGCGGCAGGCAATCTTCAACCGGGTAAAGAGCATCGTTGAGGCGGCGGGGGCAGCGAGTGTGAAGATCCTGTGTTTGCAGGTGAGCTCGCAGGGTTTCTGAAAGAGGTTGAGATTAGGGTTTGAAAGCAGTAACTCAGGGTTGGACTATCCCAGTCAATTGGCGCATCGCCACCGCATGTTTTGCCAAGTTGCCACATGGAAACAGGGACTGTGAAGCCTGCAGAAGGTATGCCCTCGAAGCCAAGGATGCGTTCTAGCAACGGTTTGCCTCAACATCGCTCCCCTGATTGAGTTTCTCAAAACGCGCGACCTTCTAGCCTGCCCCATGTGTGAAGGACAGGAAAAGGTCACTTCCACTTCGCGGAACACGTCCCGCCCTTTCCGATGATTACCAATCTGCACCTTACTTTATCATCACAACAAATTAGTATTTGAATGATGCTCCTGATAATTTTGTCTGTTTTACTGATGTTTTTAATCTTAATAAATCTTACTTTACAGGAGGCTTGGCCGATGCCCTTTGCATTCTGCACCAGAGAAAGGGAGTGGTCTGAGTTTGCTGAGAGTGCCGAGACCGGCCCGAGCACTCGCTTCTGCCAAGACCTGGCGCGAAAACACAACATGGTGTTAGTCAGCCCGATCTTGGAAAGGGACGAAGCGCATGGGGGAACGATCTGGAACACAGCTGTTGTCATTGGAAACAACGGCAACGTGATCGGGAAGCACCGGAAGGTGGGTTGGTGAGAGTTGGTTCTTCGATAATCTGGAGGTTTGTCCGTGGAAGAGAAGCTGGTGTCATGGTAGTGCCTATTCAAGCAGTTCATGTTCGATTGCCTGCAAGAAACCTTTGAGCGCAGCAGAGCCGCAGTTGATTGAACATGGTCCACTCCTATTCATCATTCGAGAATTGAATACCCCCATCTCAATCTTGAATACGCGACAGTGAAAAGATCATAGATCTGCTCAAGCATCCTCGTTCTCCTGTGGCCAAATTGCCCCGATAAAAGTTCTTGCCTTGAATCTGAGCCACAAAACCTCTTCCAAAGCCTTTGATTCAAAAAGTTCGCCATTTTGTGAGAACTTTCCTCATACGCGGAACCCCTTTCTATTCCATGCAGAATCACATCCCACGGGTCGGTGACTTCAACGAGAGCACCTACTACTTGGAGGGGAACACCGGACATCCTGTCTTCGAAACTGCCTTTGGAAAGATCGCGATCAACATCTGTTACGGGCGGCATCATCCCCTTAACTGGATGGGCTTTGGTCTCAATGGAGCGGAGATTGTGTTCAACCCGTCAGCAACAGTGGGGGAGCTGAGCGAACCGATGTGGTCCGTTGAGGTGGGGCTTGGGGACACCTTTTTCTGGTGCTCAAATTGGTCTTGGATGTTGCAATCATGAGGTTTGGCGGTCGATCACTTAAGTGGGTCGTGCAGCAGAAAAGTCCATGTCCTTGTTGACACAACATGGGCTTTACAGACACGATCAGAGTATGAAGGTCGGCCTCGACTTTACTTCAGAGGGTCGATTGGGCCTGGACAAAATCTTATGCTTGCGAAATGACCCGTGGTTTCTTCCTTCATAACGTTTCTTCTCATGTTCCCTTCCTAGGCGCGCAATGCCGCAATTGCCAACACGTATTTCGTGGCCGCGATCAACCGCGTCGGCACCGAAACCTTCCCCAACGCGTTCACATCCGGCGACGGCAAGGGCGCGCACAAGGACTTCGGACACTTTTACGGGTCGAGCTACTTCGCAGGGCCGGACGCTTCTCGGACGCCCAGCCTATCGCGGTGTCGCGACGGGCTCATGATTGCAGATATGGATCTCAACCTTTGCCAGCAGGTGAAGGACAAGTGGGGGTTTCGGTTGACGGCACGCTATGAGATGTATGCGAAGCTACTGAGCGAGTATGTGAAGCCGGACTTCGTTCCTCAGGTCATTAAGGATCCGTCCTTGTAGGTTTTTATGCAACTACTATTGAAGGTGTGAGTATGTACAGGGCTATGATGGGTTGTTTGTTTGTGCGTGTTAAATATGCCTGGTGCGACTTAAGTAGGTGGCAGCAAGATCAGCAAGCTCGCACTAGAAGGCTATAGGACATTATACTCATTGAAGCCGTTGTAGACCGTGACTCGATTGGATCTCATCTGGTTAAATCAAGCGACCAAGTTTTATAAGGGTCCAGCGCAATCATAGAAAAATATAGTTTGTGAAAGGAACATGGTTACCCCAAGCTGACCTCTAAGCTCAGGCTCGCGATTGCGATTGGAGATGTCGCAGCTGACGCTCCAAATGGTACTAGCTTGACCCGGCTAATTCGACCGTTTGCAGCCCAAGTTCGTGGCTTGAATTTAGATGCGCGAGGTGTGGCGGTTCAGATGTTATAACCAAGGCCATCGACGCAACACCCATGACATATGTGATTATGCATACACCGAGGCAAAATCCTTCTATAAGCAATCATGCCAGATACGCACATATCAACGATCCAACATGATCGTTGGGCCATACATTCAGCTAGTCCTTAGCAGACATGCGCTAGTCAGCGGTGTATATATCAACATGCATGAGGGGGCGGAGGACCACTACTAAGCATGTTAGTATCATTCAGCTAGCTAGGCACTGCGGCAGTTGCAGTCCTCGATACCTGTACGCATATGATCGGCAACCGATGTATACTAAGATATGAACCTACACTTTGGTCGAAGCTAAAAAGCTGCTGCCGGCTAGGCTATGAATTAATCCGGCAACGTTTCATAGATGTTGGATCCTCCGACGCACCAGCATGACTGCCCGCGCCGGCCAATCATGATGCATGATACGTGCGCATACGTAACACGGCGACAATGCTTCAATAGAAAGCTAGCCCTGGCCTGGCAGCCCAGCCGCCGCCCAAAACCCAAGCATGATGTACTGGGCCGGCTCAGCATACACTCCACCTGAGCATACGACTCGAACCTTCACATTTGCAGCCCTGAAAAAGATTTATTCCCGCTCGCAAATGAAGAACGAAGTCAGTAGGAAAAACGCTTGCGCAAGTCCGGTGCATGACGCTCCGATGCCGCCCTATCAATTCTTGCCTGAAGCGGCCAAGGCACTCTCTGTCTGCTCTGCCGGCCGCTCGGGCCCCTCGACCAGAGTCAGTTCTACCCTCCCATTCTCCCGCAGTTTGTGTTGCCAATGCCACGACGGTAGGGACTCTCCCCCGACCCCTTTCTCGAGCGGCTCCAACCGCCTGACTTGGCCGCCGTTTGGCGCCCGGGTGATCCTCAACCGGTGTCCCGCTGGCACCTCGATCCTCTCCCCCCCTTCTAAAACAACGTCTCTCGCGTCTAGTTCCGCGTCGCTGTGCAAAACGACCTCTAGCATCTCGTCTCTTTGAAGCCGGTTCTGCCAGTACACGTTGGCCAGACAGCTCCAGTCGATGCCCATGTTCCGAACCGTCACGTTTTCTAGCCGGCACCGCGCGGTGCGCCGTCCGAACGTGAGGATCCGCTCCCGGATCGATCCGGACGTCCGCCGGACGGAAGCCTCGCCCATCACGTTCTCGGCGCGGATCATGAGGCTGCCCTCGACTGACACGTGGCGCATGCACAGCTCGGCAATCTCGAGCTGGAGCTCGCCTCCTCGGGCCAGGGACCCCCCGACAATCTGCATCGGAGCAGAAGTGTAATAGAATGAACGCCCATGCTTCCAAAGGAGTTAGTCTGATTGGAACTGAGGACCGACGTCCACCTTCTGTGGGCAACCGTCCCAACCATTACGAAGGGAGAAAGGACGACTCCAACAAGTTCTTGAGTGGGTTTAGAAAACGGACCCCATGTCTCGTCACATCGCGTTTTAGCAAGACTAAAGAATGAGAACTGGAAAAGCTCCCAAGAGATCAATTCTGCGAGAACGAAATGTACTCAAATCCAGGCGCCCACCTTCTGTCGGGTGACGTGTCAGAGCTACGAATCGCTTCGCAGCAAGATCCACATTTTGATTGACAAATATGTGTAACTTCCTTATAAGAGCGCTCACCTTTTGTCGGATGACGTCCCAGAGCGGCCCGAGCGCGGGGTGGAGCAACACGAAGAACGGCGGCCCCTTTTGGAGGTACTCGGCCTTGGCGCCCACCGGCGGCAGCGCCACGTCACACTGCGTCAGCAGGTCGTGCGCGTTGGCCATCAGGTCGAAGAAGGAACCGTCCGGCGTCTGCAAAAGGAATAAATATCAGGATGGTTAGAACAAGCTCACATTTGGATAAAAACAAAGCAAACACCGACAAAAAGTACAAAGCGAACATTTGAAATAAAAAGCCGAAAACGTGCACCCTTTTGCCCACCCTGAGCCTCCAAGATTAACGCACCAGTCCCACGCAGGTTGTCTTCTTATAACTTGGGCTGTTGTAACTGGTTCAAAACCTGCGGCAAATGGGGCAATACCTCTGGTTGATTTGAAGAGGAAAAGCTGGGGTTGAAGAGATACGAAGCGAGGTAAAGACTTGGAGTCAGGGGCCCTGCACGCAGAAGCGTCTGGATAAACGGTGAAATCTGTTCACCGGACAGACAGTTTTCGAAACGCCAGGCGACCTTATGAAACAGACAAGGGCGATCCAGCGGCGTCTGCCTCAGGCTGTCATAAACCCCCTCTAGAGTCCTACGAAGTCTGGATCTCCAAGACCGGACGTTTCGAAGAGCATGGAAGCGCAAAATAAAGCTGGACCTACCGCCGCTGAACCCACTGAAGAGCTCGACAGCCTGTCACCGTCAGAAAAAAGTTATCGACCGAAATTCTCTCCTTCCTAAACCCCCGCTCACTTGCGCCTGACCCAATTCGTGACCCACCTGATGCAGGTTCATCTCCCCCGGCTTTCTCCTCCGCTTCGCGGACGATGACACCTTGGTCCGCGAGTTGTACACGACAAACGTGTCCAAATCTTCGTACGCTTCCGGCGAAAGGCGCTCCGGGAACGTCTGCGCAAGCTCGTCCGCAATGTTTTGCATCGTGCACTCAAGCCGCCCCGCGCGTGCCCTGCAAACACATAGTGATTGTAGGTGGCATGCAGTCGACGATCATTGAAAAGTAGGAGTCGGGAAGTTGACCTTCATTACCCGTTCTGGTGACTTCTTAAAGATTCGCCAAAATCCTGAAACTTTGGAAAGAGCACTGCACACTCGAGCCGCCCGCGCGCGCTCTACAAGAAAGTGGTGGGGATCGTGAATCAACGCAGGCGAAGATTCATAAAAAGGCGGCGATCCGGAACTCGAGTTTCGTTGTCTCGTGCTGGTAACTTGCTTTAAGAAGTGCCAGACTCCTGAAGCTTCGAATAGAGCGGTGCCAAACTGGTTATATTCCAAGGCTGAGCAGGTCAGGCTCGTGGACCAAGAAACATTGTTCCTGCACCACAGCGTGTCAAATAGAGCCGACGCAGAGGGCTTGTCGAGCCAAACCATACTGCGAGTCACCGCAGTCTTTGAACTGGTTCTTTTCTTCCCGATATTTCGGAAACAAGACGCTCAGCCCACGCCCACTCTTCAAATCTGCAGTCGCCTCATATGATCCTCATACTTTGCCGTCTTCGTCGGGTATTCTAAAGCTGAACGCTCACCGTTCCATGAGATTTCGATTTGAGATTCTCGTAGAAAGCCAGTACAAAAACACGCCTCTCACACCCCATCACCTCTGCATTCGCCCCGTGTGATCCTCATACTCTACAAACTTTTTAGATTCAAACATTCTTGCACAAAGTTACCTGAAATCAAAAACTTAAGCGCAAAGACCCAGAACAAATGCGCTCCTCCAACGCCCCCTCACCTCTGCAACCGCCCCGTGTGGTCCTTCTACTCCACCGTCTTCTTCAAATATATGAAGCTCAATGCAAGGGTGTTCCATGACGTCAAAGCGACATCGACATTTTCCCCATGTCTCAGGACCAAAAGACGATCCTCTCGCGCCCCCTCACCTCTGCAACCGCCCCGTGTGGTCCTTATACTCTACCGTCTTCTTCAGGTTGATGATCATCCCCGGAAGCGCCGCCCGGCCCTCGCTCGCCGCCACCCGGTGCGCCGCCCCGAGGTCCACGTACAGCACGTTTGTATTGGCCGGGTACTGCGACCGGTGGGAATCCCCGGCCACTGCCACGTCGCAGACGCCCATTCGTTCGAACTCCGTGTACTCGATGTTGCTCACGCCGTAGCGCCACTCGCCGGACGGCGTGCGCACCTCCTGCGCGATTTAGTTCGGGAAGGAGGTTAGAGATACGATAAGCTTGATAGAGTCAATCTAAGTCAATCTGTTGATCATGGACTGCAAGAAGTCGCGCCGAAAGCTGAATGAATCGTGTTTAGAATCTCGAATCTCATTGTTCAAACCGTACACAGCAATTCACCACGACAGACTGGAAGGTCAGCCTACTAATTTTGGCTGTGAATAAAGCGGGGACAAAGAAACGAATCCCAATGTCGACACTTATAATTCAAACGGTATCCAAGAAGTGGTTGAGAGGTGGCAAGGTCTTTTGCATCAACTTATTGGTAAACGGGTCAGCGCAAGTTTGTCCAAATGGATCGAACCACCTTTCACAGATCGTGAGCGTACCTTGAGCACGTTCATGCCCTCCGACGCCCCCACTCGTCGCTCGCACGACGCAAACCCGAAGCGCTTGCCACCTTGCAGGCCGACCCCAGAAAGCGCAAGCAGAGTCGCGTCCATAGCCGCCATTGGATTGCTGCGTGAATCATGACAAGGTCAGAAAGCGGGTGTGCGATTCCCTCGCAGGAAATGAGTAAAGCGGAAACCAGTTACGTCCTCGCTTCTCCGACCTGTCGTTCCATGTTGAAACGGCGACCAACACAACTGGAGTGGCTGCGGTCCGCTGCGAGTTGGCCACAGGAGGCAGACAATTTTCTCCAAGTAAACGGCCTATGAGGAATGCATGTTTTGCCAGCAGAATTGAGTAGATCTCTCCGTGCTCTGGCAACTCCGACCTGACGCAAGCTCGACCAGCATGCTGGGAACGGAAATCGAGACCCAGCGCGCAACTGATGCTGGAGAGACTGGCTAACCATTCGGCACCAACCGACCTCCTGAAGCTGGCGCAACAACTCTAGACTTCCTCCGATCAGCGAGTTTCTACCGTCGCTCACGAAGGAACGTTAGGGCGCACAAGACTGCAATAGCGCCTCATAAAGCGGAATCTTCCTCCATCCAGGACCCAACCGAGTAGACCTGGCTAACAAGTGGCGACGCAAGCGGAAGCAGTCAACGGACCCCTTTTGTTCACTGCTGTTAGACGAAACGAGCTTTCAAGAAAAATCCGTGTCCTCAGTACCGAGCTTTCCTCCCATATCCTGACCCACCAATCGGGTTGCCTATGGCCAAATCAGGCCTGCGCTCAAGAGCCAGTCAAACGCGCGTTTCGGTTACTGTTCCCAAACAGTCGAGCTAAACCTGTCCTAGGTGTCCTCCAGGTCTAGGTCCCTTTTTCGGCAGCATCAGATGGAGCGACGCGTTGCTAAGGCAATGCTTTGGGCAAAGTTAAACTTTCACGGAAGAAGCCACCCACCTGATCTGGCGCACGATGGCCGCCTTGCGCCCCCGCTCGTGGAACCAGTCAAAGATCTTCTCGTCGTGCGCCAACTTCCAGATGACGCCATGGCCCCCTGGTTTCAGAATACATTGGAGCGGCTCCTGCATCAGCCACCGGCCGTCGTCCGCGGCAACCACCGGAACCAGTGGCTGCAAATGTAAACGAGTCGCCTTATGAGAATGCTTATAGGATTTGGTCCAGAACGTGCAATAGGACGTGTTAATCATTACATTCTGAAGATTGCACTAATGCTTTGGATCCGGGGGAGTGTACTGTTATAGCTACCGGCTGTTGTCCGCAGCCACCGCGACCACGCAGCAGGTATAAGCGAGTAGCCTTTTTAGAACTCGTTTCTGAATGTCACCACCATCCTTTAGCTGCTGATGTGCGGGCGACACTGCTTTGAACCAGTCCGCCACGAGGACCCCAGCTTTCATGAAGCCATCGTGCATGCCTGCCCTTATATCTTCTGTTCGCCCCAGTACCGGTCAGAAACTTTAAGCATATTCTGACCCTCCCAACATTCTCCGATGCTCGATGATCCGAACTATGCCTCCAGAGCCACATTGTGGACTCCTTTGGCTGCTCTTGACCAATTAATGTGATTCTCGAGTGTTACCTCCTTCTGGAATCAGCTATCTTCATGACACTAATCTCTCTATCCTTCTAACGTTGAGTACACCAACAACGAGAGACTCCCCTTCTGACATCACTCATGCCCACTGCCTCCTTACCTGACGTCAAGTACGCCAGAGTAAACGACTCCTTCCCCTTCTCACGTCAACTATCCCGACAAAAAACGAATTAGGGAGGCTGACCTGCTCAAAGAGGCGGAAGCTGCCCCGCCCCCGCCCGAACCAGCCCTGCTGCTTGCATAGCTCCACCACTCGCCGGTGGTTGTCCTTGGCCGCTGACGTCATGATTGCAACCGGCGTCGTGTGCTGGACACCGTACAGCCGGAAGTGCAAGTACTCCCGCGCCTGTGCAAAATGGAGCTTGTCAGTTAAACTAAAGTCTGACCTCGGCTGAGGACCCTTAGTTTAGTTGGTTCACAAGATGATGCCCTTCCTCCTTCACCGTGCTCGATTGATGTATTGTGCTTTCTCCTCCCACACATGTCGACTCTTCCACCAAACAACCACAATCGAAAACCAACGTGCAGAACCGCCACCTTGAAATCCATGGCGGATGGTTGCTTAGACAGGGGAAAGGCCCAGATTATATCCAGCTGTCCAGATCATAAGCATCATTAGCCTTCTCTTTCAGCTCAGAAGTTCCGACACAAAGCAAGGGCCTGGCAACCTCCAAGCCAATCAAGGGCACACAGCGGCTTCCTGACCGCCCATGATTGCATTCCGCAGACTGTTTAAACACTTCAACATCACAATGTTCTAAGTCCTGACATTCTTGCGGATTCAATGCGGCCTTGCCTGCAGGTCCCGAATGAGGCCCTCTAACAGAGTCCGTCCGCAGTACGGTAGCATTGCGACAGGCAGGCACTCGCCGCTCCGCTCGTCCACAAGGCCTAGCCGGTCACCCGCGCCGCCGAGGGGGTAAATCTCGCCCATTGACGGCAGCCCCTGGAAGAAGACTGGGTGCATCACAAGCAGTTTCCTTGAAAGATGCAGGTTTTGACGACCGCATTTTATTTGACGGAGATGATAAGCTCTCGTCAGGGGTGAGCCATAGGAAGAAGTGTACGGGTCAACAGTGGTTCTTAAAAAGAGAAGAGAAGATAACTTTTGGGGGATTGAGCATGCAACAAGTCCTCATCTTAGAGACATCGTGTGAGATTTCTTCTCCTTAAGGTCATGATGTTTGAAAGAACTCCTTTGGCACTGCCTTCCGCATAAGCCACTTTAGAGGAACCACACCTTTTGTGCAATCACATCCCATGGATTCCAGACCAGAAGGTGCAACCCAAATTGAGCTTAGCCTTTGTTCAACATTGTCAATCTCAGGTCAGAACAGCGCCATTGAACTTTGCAACGATGTCATGTTCGCCCCGATTTGCATTGCTGAAAGAACCAGCACAAGCTGCATAGACAGGGTAAGTGGCGCCCATCTTTTCAATCTAGTCGGACAATACCGAGATTAGGGTTTTGGGCCTCGGTGGACCAGTGAAGTAGGGATTATAGCAGCATCTAGAATGCTTTAGCCAGAGCCAAGGTTTTGGAATCCAATGCTGCCAACATAAATGGTGGCATTTCAAAAGTTACAACCAATTGGGGCGGAAAACAGGTTGTGTGCACCTTCCTCACAAGAGGGAAGAAGCACGTGAGTAAGAAGTGGCAGCTTGAATTGCCATTTGTGAGAGCATGGTCAACCGAAGGAGAGTCTCAAGCATCTCCGGAGTGGAGATTACAAAATGCAACAAGCTGCGACGCAATGTGCTGATCGGGCGCCAGCCAATGAATCAAAAGCGGATTCTTTTGCGCCCCAGAAATGCTGGTAGCCTTTTCACCACCACAACTTTCATAATGTTGGCGGCAAGTACGTGCACGTTAGACTCAGCTAGTAATGCATCTGAGAGAAAGTAAAGTCTTGATCACCCGAGTGTAACAAATATATGAAACAGTCACTTTGGACTCTCACCGTGATCCCCCAAGCCGCCGCGCGCTGTGCGAAGCCAGGATCGGCTGCCAGGTCCGGTCCCACCGGCATGTGGTAATTCGTCTCCTCGCCCGCTTCCTCCAAAAGCTCGGACCCGTCCCAAAGCGAACTTTCGGACAGTGGCACGTCCGAATCCCCCGCCAAAACGCTCTCCACCTCTTCGACGCACTTCTCCCGCTCCTCGCTGGCGCGAATCAGTTCCAGCGCCGCGAGCTGGTACCCAACCACACCCCCGATGCTGTCGTAGAACTTCTCAAGCCGCTTGAGCATGTCCGTTAGCTTTTGGATGGCGTCGATCCCGCTTTTGGACTGTCCGGCCAGTCGCTGCTCCCAGGCGTGCGCGTTCGCGGGCGCCAAATGCTCGGGGGCCAAGAGAGGGGTTAGAAGCGCAGGGTGGTTTGGGGCGTCCGGCTCGCCGTCCAACTCTAGCTTTCGGACGGCGTCCGCCAGCATTTGAAATGCGTCTAGGTAGGGTGCCCGGTCTGAATGCCCGTCCAAAAGAGAGACCCCAGTGTCCGACTCTTTGAGGGCGCCGTTCGAATGCAGCGCGCCATTTGAATGCTTCCCGTTCACCCGCTCCTTTGAGGGGAGAAGAGTGGGACTTTCCAGAAGATGCCCCTGCCCCGCCGCAATCATGCAATCGAGCAGGTACTTCCCGTGCGCTTCGTCCAATCTCAATGCATGCCGCGAGTCCCGATAGGCCTTCCAGACTCTCTGAACCTCCGGATCGCTCTCCAAAACAAGACGCCGCTCGTCGATGGACACCGCAGCCCTTAGCCGTTCTCGTAACCCCCTAAGCCGCTTGATCTCCCTGTCTATGTCAGTCACACGTACAGCCGGGGACTCTTCCTGAACAAGAGTTGCCCCCCCCGCCGCTGCACGACAGCTGGCGCCTCCGGGTGCTCGACAGTTGACGCCCCTGTCTGCTTGACAGCTGGCGCCCTTTCGCCAGCGCAGGCTCCTCCGTTGCAGCTCTGACCGAACGAAGTGGCATTTTGCATGGATTGTGCTCCACCAAGCAGGGAAGGTTAGCCTTAAAGACAGGCTTGCATGTTGACTGATAGCGTGCGACGGCGGAGGCAATGTGGTTGGGAGAGGCAGAACGCGTCTGCATGCTTGTCTATGCGCCCTGCCAACGGCGCCCAGCGTTTGGGGAAGAGGCTGCTGCACAAAGGCCACCTCCATGATCTATCTCCCTCCCCCGGACCGTCCGGCACCCCAATCCTTGCAGAATCTGTAGCTAGACCATCAAATCTGCTTTCATGAGGGCCGCTCCGCTTGTAATCAAGAGCATTATGCTTGGATCAGTAAAGGCAAGGACTGGGTCACCTCTAGCATGCGAAGAAGAAGACGCTAGACAAGTAATTTCTAGACACAGACGCTTTCAATGTAGGGAGCATGAGGACCTCGTATACCAATGAAGATTCCTGACGGCGACTTCCTCTACATAGATTGTGAAGCCCAATCCACTTTGCAACTCAGCGCAAGCTAGCAAAACTGGCACATCTGCCCCCGAGTTCAGGGGCTTCTTTTGGAATGCTTGGATACCTCAAAACACTCTCGTAACCCTGTTCCGGGAGATGGATGCGCCTTTCATTGCAACACTCAATGGCGCCCAATTCTAGCTCCTCTATCCTAGGTTTGCCGCTCCACAAAATGAACAAAACAAGCTGACCTGGCGTGGACGACAATTCCTAGCTCTGCATTGACTGGCTGTTCATGGCAGCTCGCTGCGGCTGCGCCCATTTTCGAAGATTCCGCGCAAACCCCGTGTTTGGGGTGCTAAAACCCTGAAGATACTCTTTCGATCGATCCAATCTAGACAGACGTCTTGCGCGAGGCGGCCGCGACACGGGCGGGCCGCGCGCTCGGGGCCGGTACGTTGGCAATGATCAGTGCGTGACGGCCGGTGAGCACATGCGGGCGGCTGCAACCCATGCTGTCGCGAATAGAATAATTAGACATCTGCAAGGCGCTGGCCGCAGCGGGCCCGGCGAACTTTGACCTGCAGTTCTACGCATGACGATCGTTAAGTCACAACCGTCATGCGCAATCTGCACTAGGGATGGTTTCCACATATGGACAATAGCCTTTGATGCATACCTAGATATAGCAATATTCGCGCCTCTTGGCGACCCAATTTACAGGCCCGCATGCGTCCAGCGGCCTCCTCATGACGTGGCCCCAACCATTGCATTTGACCACAGAGGAGTCAATATGTGTCCGGATATACGCGGCCTTCCGCAAGCACGTACATGATCCGTGAGGAATGTAGACCCAATTTTCTTGAATCCAGCCATTGAAAAACACATGCATGGGCTGGCTTTCTACCGTCGCGGCCAGATTTCCTCGCCGCTTCAATCATAGCCATTAAAGTGGGGTTGACGTCGGTGCCGCTCTGGTATACTTCGAGGAAGATGAACATTAAGACTTCAATCCGTTTAAAAGACGGTTCAAAAAGAACAAAGAACAACTATGACCTCACTGGATTGACAATAACCTTCCCAAATGTGCCGACGACACAAGAATATGAAGGTTCAACGCGGGCAATTTGCCCACAGACGGTCTACCTCTGGAGCCTGTCGATAGGTTTGTATAAGTCGGTTGCGAGGCAGCAGCAATATTAGCCACTTCGGTTAAGGTCTTTATACTACGTGCACAATGGGTTGTGCACAATGATCTGCAGGGACCTTCTCAGGGCCTTCTCAGAGCCACAACGTGTCCATGTCTCAGCTCTACAACTAAAGTTGTTACAGGATTTTGAAGCCGAATGCGTTCGAAGAAATCAATGCGGCCCCAACAAATATCGAAATCATCGAAGAAACTTGCGAGAGCTTTTCGTTGATCTGCGAAAGGACGATACAAATTTGTTCAGACAGACCCGACCAGTCACTGAGTTTCAAACAAGCAATTGATTACCAATCGGCTCTGCATTCTCAAGAAGAGGTATGCACACCCCCAGTGGCCGAACATGGAGTGTCCGCTATACCAAAAACAATTTATCCGATCGCCCGAGTCCAAACTATAAAAGCTCTACAAGCGAACAGGCGTATACGAAGTAGCAAGCACGAGTACAACTAAATTCTCCACAGCTCCGCCGAACTCCTCTCCATCGTCCAAGAAATTTGGAAATTGTTTCACATTTGTAACAGATATGTTTTTCATCACGACGAACGTCTCAAACCTTCAAAAAGCATTCAGAGAAGGGAAAGAACGGGGGGGAGGTTGACAACCGGAGCCTCACCCCGGGGACCTGCTCCCCGAGCACTTCGCAGGACGCCCCGATGAACGCCGTGTAGCTCCCCATCGCGAGAATGGTTCCGAGTAGGAAGGTTACGAGGAACGACAGCCCCGCCAGCTTGGACGGGAGTGCGAGAGCGGGAAGGATCATGATGAGAGCGTCGGGCTGGAAGCCGTGGAAGATGCCTGCAAGAACACGCGCGCGACAAGGTCAGACACGAGCCCGGAAGAACAATCAGCGAACGGTTTGACTTTGAAAGAAGAGATGCATCCCAGGTGCAGTGTACAGAGTTCTTGAGGACGTCCTAAAAAACGAGTGATGCCGATGAGCCTATTCCCATAGGTGTCCACACATTCCCTTGAATTTAATACTCGCTTGGTGAAGAACCGTCTCTCCATTTTGCTTGCTTCTACATGGTTTCGACAAGTTGGTAATCAAATATGTCTCCTACTGTTCCAAAATCAAAACACAAATATTGAAGCAAGGAAGGCATGAGGGCCAGGGCATCTCGCCTGTTATGAAGTTTCAACAAGTCGGTGATCAAGTATGTCTCCTACTCTCCACAATCAAAATACGAATATTGAAGCAAGGTAAGACATAAGGGCCAGGGCATCTCGCCTGTTATGAAGGTCGCCACCCCAAATGGCTTGCTCGAAGACGCAGTTCCCCTCGGCGCATCTGTCGCGGTCTCTTCGGGTCGGTACTCCTCGGAGGCGCCGCTTGTAGACGCGCCAGCGTAGGCTGGCGTCAGCGGGCGTTCTTCCGGAGGCGGCTCGTGTATCGACGCGCTCAGCTGTCGCGACTCGTACAACCCGAGCGCCCCGATGCCGCAGAGGGTCACGCCGATGACCACCCCGCTCCATTGCTGGAAACATGGAGATCTGGAGTGAGCGACTTACAAGACCGGTAGAGATAGTAAAAGCGACGAAGGGACTGTCGGAGTAGGAGTCTATATGAGCCAGAGCCAGAACAGTTTTGAGACTTCTGAAATGAGCTTGAAACCCTGTAGCGAATCCTCCTTCTTCTGATCTTCGCAGGATCTTCGCAGATGCCAAAGGGGAAGCATAACGACCAGGAGTCAAGCCTCAGTCCGCTTTTTGATAACTGGTGCATCATCATCAACTGACTCTTGAGTCCCAGCAACCAAGCGAAACGGTTTCCCTTGAGCTGATTCTATCCTGGTCGCCTCTCTCTCTGTCGACCAGACTTGCAACAATGACTGGGCATGTTGTCCTCAGATAGATAAATCGACAAGAAAGTTGGGCCTCGCAGCCAACGACTCACTCGACCAGACCAACGTGCTCGGTAACTGAGCCAGCACTCACCGACAGTAGGTCCATGTGCAGCCGCTCCTTGAGCAGCAGGAACAGCAGCCCGAACAGCAGCTGCCCCGCATCGTGGCCGCACCCCCAGAGCGCCCCCATCCACGCACTCTGCAGCCGCGTTCGCCCGATCGACATTGGCGCGAGCGCGGCTAGATGATCCGGCCCCGTCAGTGTGTGCAGGCACCCCGCAACTAGGCCCGTCCACGCACTTGCCAACAGCTCCCCAGCGGAAGCTACTCTGAACGCCTCTTTTATGCTCACGAGAGAGGCTACGATACTAAAGCGGGCGAACCGTGCGGGCCGGGCGAGAGTCGCGGTGGCGCCGTTTGCGGCCCAGGCTGGACGGCTTGGGAGGAGGAGGACCGAGCAGAGGGCTGCTATGCAGAGGAGTTTTGGGAGCTTTGCTAGGAGGAGTGCGAAGGCTTGGTTTCTAGGTGACAAGTCTGCGGAGCTGGACTGCAATGTTGCTGCATCCGTTTGGACTTCTGGACAAACCACATGGTCATTGTCTGTCACCGCGGTGAACTGGCTGGTGCAGGTGATTCGGTTCTTGTCTGAACCCCTTGAGCTGCAAAAAACGCCCAACATTGTGAAAAGGTGCCGAAAGTTACATCCGCTGGGAGTCCCATGCTGAAAGCTTGGTGCTTGGGCATGGACGCAGATGCCGAGTACTTCAGTAAGGTGGTCGTAGCTTATCAGCTGATTGCTGATTGCCATGGTAAAGCACACCGATCCTACTTCTCGCCCTTCCTTGCTGAATTACTGGAATAAGCATCGAATTCGAAACTGGGCTCAGAGTGTGTGTATGTTAGCAGGCTATGCTTACGGTGTGCCAAGTCTTGCAACAGGCGCTTTCTTCTCAACAAGCGGCCGCTTGAATCCACAGGGCCGGACGCCCCTTCTGCTTTCCGACGCTCCAGCCCCAACACGCTTGCCGAGAAAAGCATGCTCTGCATAGTGTTTCCTCTGATCAGTCTGTCTCAAAGAAGGGTTTTGTAGAGCGGGGGCGGAACTTTAGGGAGGCAGTTGGACGTTGACGTGATTGACTTGAACCTTCATCCGACGACAAAGATCAGTTGGATGAGGTAAACAGACCAGCAGCAACTACAATTGCCGCTATTATTGAGATTCAAAGCACTGCTTTGCAATGCCGAGCATCCGTTTTGTGATGGACTTTGAATCTCCATATTGAAATCTTGCATAGATTTTATGTATGCACCATGAAGAATGGAAGGTACGAAATGCTGCCAGGCCAACCATCAGACTAAACCTCAGGTTTGGTAAACTGAGCAGCGCATCTGACCAAGATGATTGTGGCCTTCTTCGCTGTCTCCCTTCACTCGTCATTTCAGAAAAGCAAGCAACGAGACCGAACGACTCCACAACCGACAACCGTGACCTCGTGGCGGCCCCCAATGTGAATGTCTGTGACTGCTGGACTTTTTCGAGGAAGCAACGTTTGAATCAATACAATCAGAACCGCAGGAAACATGGATGGAGATTGCAGTTCCAGCACAAACGCGAAGAGCTCTTAGGGCGCCGGAGCCACTACCACAAGATTCTACGACATTGCAAAGAGCAATGCCGTCTCTGAACTTTTGAAGTTCCCGGCCTTATACTGGCATATATCACAACGCATCTAGTGGTGCACTCACCAGAGCTGGCAACCCTCAACTGCCGCTCCCCTGAGGTGCCTACCGGCCACAGAAGTTGCTGCGACGCGGCCCGGCATTTGGTGTCTATAACCGCTTGCCCCCGCAAGCAGGACTTCTGCATCAAAGCAGAAGCCATAGGTACCGATGTAGTCCCCTTCAAGAACTCAGCATTCCCCAATGTTGCAAGGGCCGCCTGCAACCAGGGAACGCTGCCTTCTGGTCAAGCGCCACCACATCCTCTAAAGGGCCAGCCACAGTTAAAACATGGAGTACAACAACGAGTTAGCTTGTCAACTCGCGCCTTGACCTCGGCAACAGCTGCCAAGCTAGTCTCGCTTGGCGGCCGGGAGTAGCTCTTTGATTTGTTACTTTCTCGGTAGAAAGATATGCTGCCTTCGTCGCCCTTGATAAGTGGTGGTAGGCCGTCTGAAACGGAGCGCGACAACGTCGGACCCCGCACAGCTTAGGATTGTCAATCCTGGTTCAACTTCAAGTTCCAGTGCAATGGGTTCTTTCTCAGCCGCAGACCATGTCGGTGACCGTGACGACAGAACTTGGAAGAGGAGAGACGTGTGCTCAGCACGCTTCTTCCAGTTGGCATACCTAGGGCCTATGCACACCTGGGAGGGGGGTTTTTGCCCAGAAACGGGGTTTTGCTGACGTTTGTCGGAGACCCGAGATCCAAGCTCGGGAGCAACCACGAAACCCTATGCACACCGGGTTGCGGGATGTCGGGTTTCCGCTCCTCAACGCGTTGTGTACCTAACCGTGTACAGTTTGTGTACGGACCGATCGAAGCCCGCAAAAGTACGTTCGGCGCGTCCATCTGTTCCCCCGTGACATTCCCGGTGGACCCCGACTTTCGATCGAAACCCCGCCAAAGGGCCGGGTCTCGGATTTTGGAAATTTTCCGAGACCGGGCGGGTCTCCGACACGTCAGCGAGACCCGGACTAGTGTGCATAGCCCGAAAGGGGTGCCGGATGTCGATTTCGAGACTCGGGTCTCCATTTTACCAGAGAAACCCCGACACCCCCCGAGTCCAGGTGTGCATAGCCCCCTATCCGATCCCATGGTAATGGTGCGTTATCCCTTCAATTGTACCCTTACCGCTAGGTAGCAGCCTCGTCCAGCTAGAACGTGACGCTTTGGGCCAGCCCCTACTTTAATCCAATCTTTTAAACGTCCATGCAGTCATCGACTTGCCCGGGCGCTTAACACTTAAAACGGTAGTACAGTTACAACCATATCACCACACTGTACTACCGTAAGTTAACCCGTCTCCCGGGCGCCTATCTTGCACATGAGTTTAAATGATGAATCCCACAAATTTAAAGGGGGAAGAGTTGCCGGACTCATGAGCGGCAGGGTTGTCGGCTGCCGGTTTTCGAGAGCTGTCCAAGTCGTGCACACCTATCAGCCGTCAGATCGCTATGTACGGAACAATCATAGCCATTGCCATTCAGGGCGACCGGACCTGCTTATTGCCTGCAACCCAGCTCGATTAAAATGCACCAAGAAAAATTACAATGAAGGGCTCATAAGCACTCGTATTGATATGTAGGAGGTCCCAATCTGGCAACTGGCTACTCCTTTAACTTTAACACATGAGGACTGAACTTATGCACATATCCAGTATTATAGATCACCATTTGCGGAGCGATATAGAATGAGGGGCAACATCAACAGTCAAAATCCCAACTTTATCGGAGTAAAACCGTCTACGGTTATGGCGGGACAAACAGCTCTTCCACCCTTGAATTCCCGCCAATTTGCGTGAGCCTGAGCCTGCCAGTGCAGTGCTGAGGCTGACTCGGAGAGGCCCAGCTCCGACTCAGACGCCGACTCCGAGTCCTCCTCGGACGGAGTCAGGCCAGGCTTGGCAGGCTGACGAGTCCGAGTCGTGAGTGGCACCTGCCACCTGGAGGATCATTGATGAACCACCTTCCGCAGTCGTGGCAGAGACCACTTTAAGTTTAACACGGTGATGTGAGAGGAGCTAAGCAGGCGCTGCGATTCGGCAGAATTGTCCTATGGCGAGAGCATTTCACCTGGCAAAATACTGCGAGGATCGACGCGGGAGCGCCACGAAGGTGCAGAAAGCAGAGTCAATGCGGGGACCTCAGGGGCATTAATGGTCATTAGGACAGAAGCCATGGCTGCTTCCCTCCTGAGAGCGTCCAAGCTCTTGGGCTTTGGACAAGCACTCATTGAAATGGACTGCAGCCTGGTTGCCACAAAGCAGAATTTTCTGGCGATCGGCCCACCAGATGTCTTACACCAGCTGAAGGCCGGTTTTCATCCAGGTGCGTTATCTACACTTCAACGCTGACCAAAGGTTCAGAGGTCCTTGTGCATTCTACCTATAGGTGCTAATGTTAGAGAAAAGTAGTTGAACTTTGCTTGCTTCAGGAAGACCCCAACGCGACTTTTATGGTTTTCCAGCAATGTGGCTTGCTCAAGGCGTGATGTGACTTAGAACCTGAATGTCGCTGGTTCATTGATGCAAGCCTGTGACTAGCTGATTTTTTGGGATCCCTTGGCCGCAGCAGCCAACAGATATGTCTGTCTGTGTTAGAAGGTAGTGTCTGAAATGTTTAATCTTCTGATTTGAAATGTCACCTTTCAAATTAAGTATGTAGTCAGATGTGGATTTTGTGCCAACCTTGCCACCAATGCGCTGCGCTGAAGTGTTGTATGTACAAATCTGCATGTCGGTCGATTTCAATGTGTAGTTGTCACCAGTCTATCGGTCGCCAAGGCCTGGCTTGGGAATCCGTTTAGACGCTCACTTGCAGCGCACAATCTACCGTACATGCAAAGTCTCTCCTACTCTGCAGCCTCACAGTACACCAGATTCACACTATCTTAAATGAACGGCCATTTGGCACTACCCAGTAGTGCACAGATTGATTCTTTCAATAAATGTGTTGCCATAGGCCGTTTGCCACACGGGGCCCTCGTGAGGACGCGTCGAGCATCTAAGCTAAGGTCCAGGAGTGTCCGGGCAGCAGGCTTCAAGTCGCTGTTCGGTCAGAAGAATGCGGCGGAGAAAAAGAACATGGTGGAGAAAAAGAACATGGTGGAGAAAAGGAATATGCTGGAGAAAAGGAAACAGTAAGCTAATTCTCCAAAGATGCACTGGAACTCTGCACAGATTGTGTAGGTCGGCGAAATCTACATCACACGCATTTGTGTACACTGAGAAGAGCGTCAACCATCTGAGAGGCATTGCTTGGCTGCATAGTCTCGTCCAGCAGGCCTGCTTATCGAGAACGGATTGGATATGTAGACTAGAATGGAAGCGAAGTTGAGCTATGAATCACCACCACTTCGCGGGAAGCATCTCTGTGAAGGAACATTCTCTTGCGGAGCAGAAGAATCTTCATCAACCATGTTATGTTGCCGTCTGCAGATTACCCAAGCGAGAGGAGCCAGAGGTTCCGAAGAAGACTTTCGAAACATGGGTTCCAACCGTACAAACGTTCTTTCCCAGCGACGTCACTTTCCCTCCGGTCAGTCTGTCCCTGCAACTGGATTGTGCTTGTGGATGCATACTTGCAGAAATGCCCCTCTTTCTTTAAAGGGACTGGGGTTAGAGACTCTCTTTGTGCTTAGTGCTAGCAGTCTGTCAAGAATGTATCATCAGTAAGCATGGATGGCTGAGTTCTCATTGTAAGAATGCAATTCTCATAACCTGTGATTCGATTGGCGTGCAGGCATACCGGCTTGGGGCAGCGCTTGCATTGTCAATCTCGGCGTACATTTTTGCGAGCGTGACAACCGAAGTCATCAGGGTGAGATGCCCTTCTACGGCATGTGTAGCGGCCAATGCAGAGTGTGTCATGTATCAGGTTACAAACAACTACTGTTTTTAAGTGCCTCAAGATGGCTATCATTTACCTATTAAACATTAGGTCTAGTTTTCACTAACATGTAAGCAGTACAAGATAGCATGGAAAGGACGTGAGGGACTCACAGACGTTCTTGGCCTCTGTTTGGTGCTGCAGAAAGTGGAGGCCGTTCCGTTCCTGCCCCAACTGGAGTCGCTCCTGGGGGTGCTTTTAATCACCCAGTTCGTGTCAAAATATTTGGCAGCAGACTCCGGTGAGGATCCTGTTGCCCCTTTCTAAGCTTTGACACCGGGGGGGCTGCCGCCCCAACGAGCCCCCAGCTTTTGTTCCATCTTTGGGCCTATGTTCCATTACTTCTGCAGATCAGTTGATGATCTGGAAGGAGAGCTGTGTGCTTTATTGTCCGGCCTTGTTGCTTTCGGACAGGTTGACATTAGTGCAAGCTTTTGGGGCTCATTTGACGACAGCCGGTATGCACCAATCCTGTCCATTCTTCATCTCTCCTCATCCTGGTCGGTGTGAAGGCCTACGGCTATTGCAGACGTCGCTGCAGAACCTCCCAGAAAGGCAGCACACTCCTGGCGACCATCCCTTAAGTGTGTGTCTCCAATTGCAGGCAAAGCCCGCCTCGAGTCGCTGGTCGAGGGAATCGTGGAGAAGGTCGGAGGGCAGGACCTGGAAGAAGGCGAAGAAGTGGGGCCGCGCATGCTGGAGGTATGCCGTGTCTCTTCTACTGTCAGCATCTCAAACATCAAATCAAACCGCCTCCTTACACGGTGCACTTCTTGCCCTGTTCGGTTTGTTACCCCTTCCTGTTTTGCACCTTGCTTTCTTGCCCTAGCTCCACTGTTCTCTTGACAAAACGATACTTTTTCTTCTCAGCTATTTGTCCTTCCGTTCAGTGGTCTGGCTACAGTCTGCATCTCTGACAGTGGTCAATGCCCCGCAAAGAATGTCTCAATACTCACAGGAAGGTTTGGCTGCTAACCAGTTTCGATAACCAAACTCCAGTCTGGTTCTTTGACCAATAACCGCGTTATAGCCACGCTTAAACCTGGTTACTGCTCGAGTCTGGTGATTGGACAGTTAACCAGCTTCGAACCAGCCCGTAACCGAATGTGGTTAACAGCCAAAACACCCTGTGACTGTCTTTGGCCCATTCGCAGGTCCAACTGCGCTCGCTGCTAGACTCCCAGGTCCCTGTTAGCCAGAGCTCTCAATCCGAGAACTCGAAGGCCACCCTACTGAAGCAGACGCTTGTCACCTCCCTCATGAGCTTTATTCTCGAGCGCGAGAGCAAGGTGAGCAGAAAGAGATGGCGACGGTGCACCTTTTCTTCCTTCTTCAGTGAGAGGATATGTGCATTTGTTTGCCGTGCGCTTGGTTGCCTATCTTTTATTGACAAGTACTTGTTTCTTTATGTAATAAGGGTTGTTCCCCCCCTGAAGCAATGCTTAGAAACGAGTCGTTTATATGCAACTTGTCTTATGTTGTTGTGGATGGGAGGTACGTTTACTCTGGAAAGACAGTGAATTTGGGCCTGACACACAGCGGCAGTCGCAGAGGAATCACTTGGCACACAGATGCTTGTTGTTATTGTATCGCAGTCGAAGGGGCCTCGCTTCTTTCCAACGCAGTCTCTTACCACTTTGTACAACGATCGTTCAACACTCAAAAGGCGGGTTTGGTCTTTACCTGGATCAAACCTAGAATGAAACGTGTCAGCTGTGTCAGAGTCGCATTCCGCAACCATTTTCAGGTATTCAGCTTTGACAATCGCAGCTTTCGCTGATTCGTCCGACATGCACTCTTATGCAGGCCCGGCGGATCAATGCGGTGCTAAGGAAGGATGTGGATGAGGAGCGAACTCGTGTTGCCAAGTTGAAACAGGTGAGCGTCACTTCCTGCTTGAGTCTCAGATCTGCAGATACCGCACACGTATATTAAGGCAGCTGATGTTTCATGACTAGAATTGGTGCGTCCTTCGCGAAGATGACCGTCCTGTTGATAAATGCACGATCCTTCTTCGAACCTGCCCAAAAGTATTGATACTCACAGATTGGACAAGCCTCCCTGCACACCTTAGCAGTCGCTTATCATGCCTCGTTTCTTTCTTTGATACCCGAGTCCATTTTGCAGCTCTCAACCAGGCCTGCCTCCGGTTCATTATCGTCTGCACTTTTTCTAGTTAGAACTAAGAAGGCCTTCAATCAGGAACCGAGCTTCTTCAAAGTCCATCGCTACTCGTCTTTTTTATCCTCGCGCATTATGCCTTCCCCCACGGTGAGCGAGGCCTTGAAAGCTGGTCGTGTATACAACTCACGTCCCCTATCCCCGAAGTCACCCGACCGCAGCTGCGAGAACGGCAATCTTCACCCTGCGTCGAAACACACCCGTGCCCCCCTTCCGTGGCGTGCCGCTTACGCACTCACCTACCCACAGGCTGTGGCCCTGTATGCTGAGAAGGAGGCCTCCTCGCTTGCTGAGCTGGCGCGCCTCACGAGCTCCACCCAAGCGCTGCGCGTCGAGCGGGACGCCGCCCTTGCCAGCATTGCATCGCTCAACGCCCGCCTGGAGAACACCACGGGACAGCTGGAGAGTGTGTCGGCAGACAGAAGCAACATGGAGAATCTCAACACAGAGGTAAGGGCGGCCGTTCGACCTGCGTTGTGATTTATTTGTTAAATGGTGATTGTGCTGACCTTTAACACCGAACTGAAAGGCAGAGGTTGAGGGTCTCAAGATCAGTCGCATGGCACGCAGCGAGCTGTTGGTCTTGAGAAGGACAAACTCTCTTCCTCCAGGACCTGCTACCTTCTCACCCGACTCGTCAACCACTTTCTCGACTCGTGTCGCAGCTTCAGTCGCCAGACATCAGTCGCCGAAATCCGTCGAGAACCATTCTGACAGGTTCGGGATTCGTAGCCACAGCTCGCACCGATCCCATCTTCAATAGTTGCCCTCCATTGTGCACCCTCTTTGCCCGTCTCACGCGCCACTCTCCCCATGCGCAGCTCAAGTCACGTGTGGCTGCAATCATGGCGGAGAACAAGCGGCTCTCCGGCCACGTGTCAACCCTGGAGGAGGTGCAAGAGGAGGTTCTGAGCGAGCTGCGCCTGGTCAAGGACATCGCGAACGTCACGCTGTCGGACAACCGGACGCTGCAGGAGCGTGTCCAAACGCTGGAGGGCGAGAAGGAGGAGGTGGTGTCCGCGCTCGAACTCGCGCGAAAGCGGCTTGACGAGGCGGAGCGATACCTGGAGAGGGCTCAGGTGAGGGCTTGTGCATGGAGCGGTTGCGATCGACTTGACTGCGCGGCTTCTGAAAGCGGAGTTGCCAACAACGACTTCGATTCTAACGTTCGTGAGTCGGTGAAACACAGGGAATAGGTCGAAGCACGGGCGAATGGCAAGGTGGCCAGATATGTAAACAAAAGAGAACGGCAACTCGTGTGAAGTTCGTGGAGAAAGACACCATCATGAGGGCCTCTATTCGCGGTGGCAGGACTGTAGAACTTCATGATTACCAGGGGCCACTGAGTGGTCCGCATCCATTGCCAGCGAAACACTGCCATACGAAACTCGCCGAGGAATCCAGGTTGCTTCTTGTCTTGAGATGTGTGGCTTGGAGAAAAATCATTCGGCCAGGGGATAGGCTCGTCTTCAAAACGTCTCTGCAGCCTCGTAGTCTTGTGATATCCTAGCATGGTTTGATCTCAATATGAAAAGCAGATGCGGTACAGATTGAGTCCTGAATATGCCTCTCCTTACACACAGGCCCAAGCCCAATACGACCTCGAGCAGCTCCGGAACAGCGTCGACGAAGCGGCCGCAGCGGAGCTGGCCGCCGCCCGCGAGGAACTAGAGCGGACGTTTCGCAGCTCCCAGTCCGACGTCGCCGCCCTCGAGAAGAGCCTCGATACGCTGACCTCCGAAAAGCACGCTCTCGAGGCGAAGCTGAAAAACGTGGAGCGAGTGCACGGAGCGGACGACCTGAGGGTCCAGATCGAGGATCTGGAAGACGCCTTAGATGAGGCACGGGAGCAGCGCGCGGCCGCGAAGGAACGGGTTGCGGTGCTGGAAAACGCGCAAGAGGACGCGCGGAACGACATCGATCAGTTGGAAGCGGAGTTAGAGGATGCGGTGCAGCAGTTGGCGGCGCAGGGGGTGCGGCACCGGGACGAGATGGAGGCGCGCGTGGCGGGGTATGAGAAAGAACTAGAGGCGAGAAAGGGCCAGATTGAGGCGCTTGTGGGGGAGTTGGAGGAGGTGCAGCGGAAGAAGAGAGCGGCGGAGGAAGCTGTGGGTGTTGCCGAGGCGAAGTTGGTGAAGCTGGAAGAGAGCCGGCGGGTGGAGGTTGAGGGGTTGAGGGCTCAGATCGCGTCGCTGCAGTTGGAAGATGAGCGGGCAAGAGCAGCGGCTTTCGAGCTGGAAAAGCGGTGGGGGGAACTAGAGCGGCGGGGGAGAGACAGCGCGGAGAAGAGGGACGCGGACGTGGCGGCGCTGTCGCGGGAGCTCGAGCGCGCGCGGGAGAAGCGGCGTCTCGCGGAGCGCCAGCTGGCGGAAGCGCAGGCGGCGCTGGCCGCGATGGACGGAATCCGCAAGGAGGAGATGAAAGCGTTGCGAGCGGAGGCGGAAGCGTGGCAAAATGCGGAAAGCGCTGCACGACAGTTGGTCAAGAAGCTGGAAGCGCAACTGGAGGACGGGCCCAGTGTGAACGCGTCCCTGGCAGGCTACGAGCAGGAACTAGCAGCCATGCAGGGGGAGATTCACCTGCTCGAAGCGAAGCTGGTAAGCGATGCGGCGGGGTATCAGCGGGCGATCGCGGACAAGGAGGGGCAGCTCTCGGAGCTCAGAATGCAGTTGGAGGGTGCGCAAAGCGAGAGGGGCGAAGCGGTGCAGAGCCTGACGGAAGCGCGGATGCGTCTGTCGGAGGTAGAGAAGCTCGCCGGGCTCTTGGTAACGAAGCTGGAGGCGCGGATTGCCGGGCTGGTGGCCGCGGAATCGAACTCGAAGACCGCGATCGGCGAACTAGAGAAGCGGCTCGCGGAGGTGAAGTTGGGCGCGACAATGGACCTGGCGGCCGCGTCGGCGGACTTCGAAGCGCGGCTGCGGGCCAAGGAAGAGCACATCGAACTGATGACCGGGCGTTTGGAGACGATAAAGGCGGAGAAGGAGGACATCTCGAAAATGCTCGCGCTGGCCCACGAGGAGCTCGCGGGCGCGAAGAACGGCAGCCCCGAAGAGATGCAGGCGCTTGAGACGGAGCTTGCCGCGGTCGCGGAGTCGGAGGCGAAGTCGCGGGGCCAAGTGGAAAGCTTAGAACGGCGCTTGACGTCGATGCTGGAGGAGGTTTCGGAGGGGCGGAAAGCGGCGGAGTCAGCGACTGCCGCGCAGAACGAAGCGGTGAAGAGTTTGGAGGAAGAGCTGGTCGCGTTACGGGAGCAAAAGGTAGAAATGGCGGAGAAAGTGGTGCAGACGAAAGCGGACCTGGCCGCGCAGGAGGCGGCGTTCGGGACGGAACTCGCGGCGCTGCGAAAGAGTCTGGAGACGCTAGAGCGGTCCGAGGCGGGTGCGCGCGACAGGGCTGCGGAAGTGGAAAGAACTTTGCAGGGTGTAGGGAAAGAAAAGAAGACGTTGGTCGCAGAAGCCGAGGCGGCGCGTGCGAAAGCAAAGAAGCTGAGGGAAGAGGTGGATGCGTTGCGGGCGTCCAAGGAGGCGGAGCTTTCCGCGGCGAGAAAGGAGATGGATGCGACGCGCGGAAAGTTGGAAGCGGCTCTGGCGCAGCTAGCGGCAGCGCACGAGGGGAACAAAGCGCAGCAGGCGCAGGTTACGGCGCTCGAGGGGCGCGTCGCTGAGGTCATGGTGACGTACGAAGAGGCTCAGGAGACGATCGAAGAGCTCGGGGCAGCATTGGAAACGGTAACGGGGGAACGGACTGACTTGAGAGAGAGTGCCGTAGAAAGGGATCGGGGGGAGAGAGCGGAGAAGAGCGCGGTGGCGGGGAAACTGGACGAGTCGAGGCGACTGCGCGAGGGGCTCGCGCAGGAGATGCTCGCTCTGCGGGCGAAGCTAGACGGGGCGGAGGCTTTGGCGACAACTAGAGTGGCGGAACTTCAGGCGGAGGTCGCCGCTCTGAGGCAGCAGGAGGACAGCGCTCAAGCGGAGGCGGAGCGGCTGCGCGCCCAGCTGACAGCTGTCACGGTGGGCGCCGAGGAGAAGCTGAAAGAAGTAACGGCGGAATACGCTTCCGGTCTGCAAGTGAAGGAACGCGAGGTTTGCGACCTGTTGGACACGCTTCGGATGCTCAAGGCGGAGAAGGACGGGACGTCCGAGGAGCTGAAAAGCGTCCGGAAACGGGTGGGAGAACTAGAGGCGGCGGCGAAAGGCGACGTGGCGGCGCTGCAGGCGCGGATGATCCAGCTGGAGGAGGAGCGGCAGGAGGGCGACGCGCAGCTCGCGAGCACGCGCGCGCGCCTCGGGGAGTTGGACGGCGCGCTCCCGCCGAAGAAGGAGCTGGCGGCTGCTGACGTGGCGCGGCTCGATGGTCTCCTGGTAAGTGCCCAAGTGCAATTCCAGGAGAGCGTGACCGTCTGGGGCCCCTGGGGATGTTGATGAACGTTGACGAAGTGGCGGCGCCCTTTTCTTTTCCTTCGTCTCTGCCTCCTTTCCTCTGAGTCCATTTCCAGAATGACGCCGTTTTGTTTCTCCCCCTATTTCTGATCCTTATTCGGAGACTGCACACAGTCCGTAGAGCATACATTTGTGTATCCCCGTTGCATGCTTTATGTACCCCTCTTGTTTCTGAGCTCACCCCGTCTCTCTCTCGACCCATAACTGCAGGCTCGCACCCATACATCGCTGCCCTTACATTTCGCAGGCTATCCCTGTCGTTTCCCAATCAACACTTCAGGCCTGCGAGCATGCAGCGTGCCATTTTTGAGAGCCAATCTTGACTTTCTTTACCAATCATCCAAACCTCTCTCGTGCAGTCTTCCCTGCGCGGCGAACAGCAGGAGGTGGCGTCGTTGCACGCCACGTTAGAGTCGAAGCTGGCGCGCCTAGCGGAGGAGCGCGAGCAGCATCTGGCACTGGTGACGCGGCTCGAGGCGCAGCTCGCGGGCAACGAGAGCGACCAGAACACGGTACGGCGCTCGGACGGCACGGAATCTCATTGCCAGTGGACGATGTCTGGGGAAACCACTTTCTTCTTTTTCAGGTTTTTGCACGTTCTTGACGGCTGGAAGTGGACATTTTGCCAATCAATTGGGTTTCAGGAAAGCCCGTTTTGGAAGTGCCGTGCGTGTACTTCTCGTCCTACAGATCGCGCGAAGGCTGAGTTCTTCAGCCCATTGCGTTGGCGTAATGGACAAGTTCTGATTTGTTCAGCCCATCCGCCAGGTAGCGAGTAGAGACAACCTTCATCCTTACTTTCTTTGCTTTCATTGCAGAGCTTGGCGCTGATTGCGGAGCTGCGGAGCGAGATCCAGGCAGCTGAGAAGGGGCCAACAGAGGCGCAGAGATCGGCGAACGGCCAAGTAAGATGCACCGCTGGCTAGTAGGGTGTCACACTTCGCAAGGCTTTTGGTGATTTAACTTCGTGTCCGAACGTGTTCTCTTTTTCGACGTCGCTCATGCCAACGGACGGGCGGACGCCTTGTAACAGCAGCTTCTGATTCTTTGCGGGTGTAACCAAAGAATGACAAATTGACCCTAAGGTCGCATTGCAAACCCAGTTCGATATGCGAGATGGGCCAGAGGGACGCCCTTTCAGGACCGTCCGCTGCTTTGCACTCCCTTTGATGCTCGAAGGAAACTTGTCTTCACATCGCCATGTGGAACGACGGTCTACCGCTCTTGTCCCGGTCCTCCCTGGCAGAGCCCAACCGCCGAAACCGCTGAACCGTAATTCTGCCCTCCCCCTATCTGAATCGAGGAGGCCCATGTCTACAGCTTCTCCGAGCAACCCGCCACTGTTAGCGTTAATTTCACTCAGTTGCAGACTGACTGCGTTACATTACAATTTACACTAATTTTAGCAGGTTGCTCGGTAGAAGCTGTAGCTTTCCTTTGTTAGCTTCACTGGTTTCACCGTTCTGATCCGGGCACCTTCTTTGCTGCCAGATCGCAGACCTTCAGCAGCGGCTGACTGGTGCCAGCTCGACGCCCGATACAACCGCACCGAAGCCGCGGGGTCGTCCTAGAAAGGCGGCCACACCAGCAAAGACACCGCTCGCCAAGATCCCGCAGCCCAGCAATGACAACGGCTCGGATGGAGATATGCCACCCGAGCTGAAGTCAAGGCTAATTGTAAGTCGCCCTCAGCTCTGTTCTTTCTGCTTGCCTCATTCTCGCTTTTCTCATTGCTCCTTGTTGACGGTGGAATGATAGGAGTAGACAGTTGTAGATACAGGTCGAGCGTTTGAGTTTTTGTCCAAAAGGTGGCCCTATTATATGTGGATGCATTGCGTCGCCAGTGTTCAAAAGGACGTATTGTTCAGATTTGCTTAATTTTGTGCAGGCGTATACTCACGAGGTGCGTGAGCAATTTGTGGACCTAACTAAAACCGCCAAGGAGCAGAGCGAGGCCGTCCAGAAACTCATTGAGGTGAGCGCGCGGCATTTATTTTCCGAGCGCAGCCTGTTCCATTATTTCTCTTTGCTCTCGCCGGCATGCTCCTCGCCGTGAGCAGGGTCGTTCCTTGCTCCAAATTCTGCTGAATGTTTTCCTTCTGTCTGATTCGCTGACCGAATTAGTCAAAAGCTCACAAGGTTGTTCTCTGAACAATCTGTTCCTAGATCATTGTTTTTGTGAGGGTCGTGTAACAGGCATGATACCTCGTGACTACAGTAGTTTCTCTGACTGGCTCCCAGATTTGACTGGCTCCCCAAACCGGCGGGGCTTCTCGTGTCCTCGACGCATTTTTCGGAAGGTTCTGCTTACTGGATTGTCTCAACTCATGAAGCCTGGTCAGATTCGAAAACCTCTTCTCTGAAAAGCTGCTGGGAAATTGCTGACTGCGGGGAAGATATGGTCTCTTGTCTACTCTTCTTGCTCGTATAATAACATACGCTATTTTCTGGCCTCCGTAGGCGCTGGTGACGCAAGGCGCCTCAGAGAGCTGGGCCCGAGCGTACGTCATCCGGAGCATGTCGTATGAACGGTCCAAGTTGAGAAAGAAGCGGTGATGGTTGACGTGTCAATCTCTCTTTGACTTCACAAAGTGAACGGCTAGTGCCGACGATTATCGCTTTTGCGACTCGATCGAGCCGCATAAGTTAATTCAAAGCAAGGATAAGTAGTGTACACTGGGCTTCAATATATATATCGTTACCAATCCACCTTGGCGCTTTGCCTATTGCTTTGTCGAGCTGAGCTTGTCTTATTATCGCATAAGGAGCAAGTAGGTCAACCAGTCAATATTTGCTTGCTAAGAAAGCAGAGTTGTACTTACGTAGACACTCTGCTGACGATTGAACAACCTCAAGGATCTGCTGAATCAATGTCAACCTAAAATCCGTCTTTGTCGATTTTCCATGTATATCAAAGCCCCTCACTCGATCCTCTATGTCAAAGCCCCTCATAATGCATGTTGAAACAGTGGGAAAAGTCCCCCCTGGTACGTCCTGCAAAAGATTAAGGGCCCGACTTTGACCAAAGCTTACCATTGATGGTGGGTCAGCACGTATGGGGTGCACAGTCTGTAGGGCAGGCCCGCTCACCAATTGCATGGAGCGTGGGGCTGCCTGGCCATCCTAGGTCCGAGCTCGACTTGTTGCGGTAGCCGGATGAATGCAACGAGCTTGAATGCATCATAGCATGTTCGCCAGACCTGTTGATCACGATTCGAATTTTGACCGACAGTATTGGATGTCATGCATGCAGGACGGTCGGTCAACGCTAATCTGATCACTGCACTTGTACATGCTGATAGCAGCAGAAACGACTCTGAAATATATATTGCAATACTAGGATCCAACATGAGCTAGCAAAGGACCTAGCGTGCATGAACTAGCTCGCGGTGCGTGGGCGCGTGTCATCGAAGTATACGTCACCAAGAATGTCAGGATTGATCTGCGTCCATGCTGATCGACTAGTGCACAACAAGCGGCCACAGAGAAACCATGTTCCAGATCTAGCTCCGGGCTTTGCGGATACATGCATAACCTATAAACCTTGAGTAAGCAAGGCCGCATGTGAAGTTTCAGGGGCGCTATTGGTGATACGTATGCACTGACATGAGCACGTATGTAGAATTCCAACGATTAACAAACTGGAGTCATCATTCTATCCGATCTCGACTAGCAGCTAGCAAGCACACAGCTCACCGTCGATCAAACATGTGAACCACAATCATCGTATCTTGGCCACACGCGCTGGCGCTATACAGCAATGGCGCTGTGAGGCGTTTTGTGTATCTTGTGCACCAACGTTGATTCATGGAGGCTTCGCAAAGCTCCAAAGGGTAGATTTCTGTTTAATGGTGAAGTCAAAACCTTGCTGATGTACACATATTTCGATCGGTACCAATCGGTACCAAGCAATCCTTTTGTCTTCCTTTCTCAATATAACAACCAGTTGTCGATGTCCTAGATCTAGCGCAATCGAACGTTCTGTCAAAGCATACCTGCTGAGGCAAGCAATCACCTTTCGTACCTTCACGCTACGGGAGCAAGCACCGCGTCCTACCTGCAGAAGTCAAGCTCCCTTACCAGCTCGCGGCCGCTTCGTTGCGCCTTCACGACAAGCTCAATTCCAGCCATGAAGGCGTGGAGTCGCTTCGACTCGTAGAGCCTCTAGTAGCTAAGCTTACGAAAGAGCCTGCTTCATCCGTCCTTTCCGACTGAGACGAAAAGAATGTGAGGGGTCTTCTTGGCAACTCAGGGACCCTGGCTTGCATCGACAACATTGCGACGCACTCTTGCATGCTTGGCCTTTGGCTTATCACTGTGTGGACGCACATTAAGCCAACCTGCAAACACGTGATGGCCTGATCGTTGGCCGTACCTTGGGTAAACGGCGCAGCAGAGTCTTACGCAAGGGGTTCGTTGAACATGCTCGACATACGGCCGATGCTAAACGTCGGCACATTACTGAAAGCCCTAGCCAATTCATGGTCTTCAAAAGCTGCTTTTCGACAATTTCGATCAGGTCTTCAAGCCTGCCACTCCATGACTTCGCTTCTAGCGTGGATCATCGAGTGGTAGAGACCAAGCAAGTACTGCTTTCCAAAGAGCTCAGGGCTAGACCGTAAAGTGCCGTTGCTCCTTCTTTCTCAAAGATCACCCAAAATTGCTCACCTTGATGGCTACAAGTATGCTTGCTTCGTGTTCGGGCAGGTCTTGTGCCAGGCCTGGGTCCACCAACGATAGGTAGCTACCCATCTCAGCCATGTCCCAGGCCCACTCGGTCAGAAACGTCTGCAGCAGTGACAACGGTGTTTTCCTGCTTGCTTAAAAAACGTTGGCGAAGTGGAGTGCCGTCCGGAAATTGACCCGCGGTGATGAACGAATGCAGCTTTTGAATCCTTTTTAGAGGTCCTGGCTCCGAAAGCCAGGCGTAAGAATATAATCCTCTTCTGACTGCTACAATCATGTGTTGAGAAAAGCCTTGCAGTCGGATCTGCAGAAGTTGCAATAGCAAAGAGATTAATTGAAGCGCGGCAAAGCTCGTAAGACAAAGGATATACGTTCTAATCCCATGCTCACCGGCTCGTTTGACCTCTCCGTAGTGTCCATTGGCCGCCGTCCCGTTACAAGCGACAGCAGCACAACTCCAAAGCTATACACGTCACTCTTATCAGTGACTTGCCCCGTGCTGACGTACTCGGGACTTATATAGCCCCAAGTGCCGCGGACCCCTGCAAATCGAAGCGGCCACGTTAGGAAATAGCAGCAAGTGCTAGAGAGCTACTCGCAATCCAGATGTGAAAGCAGACAGGTCGTAATGAGCGGAATAAAAGCATGATATACAAAAGTAGGCGATACATCCTACAGCGGAAGGGGTTGAGCCAACAGAAACTATGAATAGCCTTAGCTAGAAGGCACTTTACCTGTCGATATGTGTGTCTCGTCTTCTTTCGAGAACTTCGCCAGGCCAAAGTCGGCTACTTTCGCCTCCAGCTCGTCGTCCAAAAGAATGTTCGACGGCTTCACATCTCTGAAAGCAGAGCAGAGGCATCAATTAATTCTCGTCTTACACTATGTTGCTCGCAGTCTGACATTTGCAAAGCACTTCACCCCAAAGATCAAGCTATAGGTTCAGATTCCTTCTTGATGAAATGGTTCAAAGGAGGTTGATTGACAGCCTCACCTGTGTATTATCCTAGGATTGCAGTCCTGGAAAAGAAAGCCACAATGACTCAGTTGGTCGATTTCGCAAACAACTCAAACGGACAACCAACGATGCTCGAGCGATGGAATCAGCAGGCGGTGTAACTCGTAGGGCGTGAGGAAACGTGGCTCAGACATTGAACTTACTGACCTAAGCTCGCACAGTGAAGGATTTGTGGAAAACACGTTCTTTCGACGACCAGCGCAATGCATACCAATGCAAGCAGAATGAGGCTCACCTCGTGCAAAAATGCCAGTCCCTTTGCAGTCCCAACCGCTATTCTAATCCGCTGTGGCCAGCCTAAGAAGATCCTCGCTTGGGATTTGAAAACGCTGTCACCTCGCGGCGGAAACAGGTGATCTTCGAGAGAACCCTTTGGCACGTACTCGTACACTAGCATGCAGCGGTCTTCCGAGGCATGAACGCCCCTCGGAGCGACGATGTGACGATGGCGACAGGAAACCATAGAGACGACCTCCGTTATAAACTCCTGCATAAGTTGATTGGAGTGTCTTACCCGCAACTCGAACTGAGAATGCAATGCGTTGTCAGTACGTGCCAGCAAAGGGGTGACAGATAGGGACAACCTAAAACCTAAAAGCGTAAAACCTAAAACCCTAAAAAAGGCCGCTAAGTTTTGGCAATCATGAAGCTAGTGCTGACAAGTGTCCAGCCTGTTATCGCACTTGGAAGCATCGAAATTCTTGACCTCGATCCCACACATGTTGTGCACAAAAGGTTTGCCCGTTCTACTTCTCTTCACAAAACAGGTGTCACATCAGAAGCCTACCACGAAAGCCATGCAAAGCTGAACCTGAGTTTGGAACCTTCGTTCTCTGTTGTTCTGCAATGACACTCAGCAGAAAACGGAGCTGAGGTGCTTCCGGCAAGGACAAAGCGAAGTTCTGTACTTGAAGCCATGCTCTTTTGCTCACCTCTACTGCCCCCGGCTTGGACGGTTTCATGATGTCCTTTACGGCGACTAAAAGTCCGCTTGAAAGCCTACCCAGATAGACCTTGCCCGAGCCCCCTCTTCCAAGCAACTGCTTGTCAGAGAAGTTTTGGGTCGCAGTGCGCAGCTCCGAGAAGGAAAACCAGGTCACCTGCTCGGTGCCTCCGAGCGAAGCAGCTCGAGCTGCAAACAGCTCGCGCTCATGGGACTTTCGAACGGAGCTTCTGATCCGGCAAAACCACCAGGCGCAACCGAGGACCATGATCAGCACCACTACGCCTGCCACCAGCGAAACGATAAGCGGCACTTTGCTAGACTCTTTTCTCTTGCCGGGCTGCACTATTGTCATCCCCACGGTTTGATTTACAGAAACCGGCGCTAAAGCGACTTGTATTTCTGGCGGAAGGTCGTAATAACAGTTGAGTCTATCAACGGCCCCTTGTGAGCCATACTGCGGCCAAGCGACGGACGTCAGGAAGAGGATGCATGTCAATTGATCGAGTGGGGACTCGCTGCCTTCTAGCTTCCTCAACGCTTGCGAAGTCTGAAGAAGGACGTCCGTGCAGTCTCCTGCCATGTTACAGTGACCCGGTGCGCAGGCAGCCTCTGTCCGATCCAGAGCTTCTTTTGGGAGAGTTCTCGTGTAATTGCTGCACCTCAACGCAAGCAACGGAATGAAACTAGATATTTTGCACTGGTCGATAAGAGAGCCGGGAAGACCGTGTACGGCCAGTGCGACTCGATATGATGCGATGCAGGCGTCCACCTCAGTCTGCAAAGGTAAACCAATTTTAGAGCCTTGCGCAATGAGATTACTCAGAATCTGCAAGCCTAGGCATTTGCTTCTTATTGATTTCGATGTCGTGCACTCGATTGATCAAATTCAGGGCAACAATGCATTGAATCTGCAGGTATCGGACGAGTCCCCTACTGAACGCCTTATAAGCAAGTTGTCCGCCAGATCAATGGTCTTCTGCATTTCGGCTAATACGTAGTGTCCGGGCCTTCAACAGCGAAGTTGCAAGCCTTTCATTCTGTTAGAAAGTTTCCGTGGGGTCAATCTGGCTGGTAGGTAATATAAAGGAGTGAAAGTGAAGAAAAGTGTCTGAGATCTACTCGATATCAAAGATCAAGAGAGACTTGACAGAACAGGATTGGATCCGATGCTTGCCTGATATTCAATCAGGCCTGTCTTATTCGACCATGCGTAGAAGACCTGGCCTTGCATTGCAAAAAGTATATCACAGCATCGATCACCATGAACTTTTGGTGCCCCGCAAGCCCTGCAACACAACAAGCAAGGAGGTTCTGAACTAATCTGCTTACCCCGTCTGCAATTGCACTTTACATGGGAAGGCATGGAAATGCACTTCATAAGCACATGACAGTCCCGCGAAAGCAGGAAAGGGAGCGGTTCCAGCCCTTCGAAGATTCACCCCCGCTCAAGTCCCCGATTATTTGAATGCACCGAAAAGTATCCTTCTCAATGAGCAGAAAACGGCTTGCTTGGAGGTCCCCTTAATCAAAGCTCAGCACGTCTAAGATAGATCTAACCAAATGCAACTTCGTTACGAGGAGCCGAACCCAGCTCCCGTTTGTCGTGAGTGGACAAAACAGGCGCTCCTGCCAAGAAAGCCGAGTTTTATGATCGGCATTACGTGATTCCAAAAGCACGAGGGCGAAGGAAGAGCAAGGGAGCGGGAACAACGCACTTGTAAGCTGCTGTGTAATCCACGTTGAAGAAGTCCTGGGTTGTACAGGTGGTTGATTGTGGGAGGTAATCAACGGGGCTGTTCCAGAGACACTGCGCTATACTGTTTGCAAGAACGAGCGGGTATGCGGCGGCCACCAACGCCACCGAAGCTAGCTCTGCAAGACTGCAAACAAGCATTACATCTCAAACTTCGAGGTCAAAGTCACTGATAAATCCAGTCAAGAAAACCCGAATCTTCAGATGCCACTTCGTTGCCAGTTTGGCGTAAATTATCTGATGCAAGCGCCTTTTCATCATCAAGAACAATCCGACACGAAACTTCCATTTAGCAAAAGTAAGCTTCAGCAATAGCAAGCAGACCAGCCTGGGACGGGTTAGATAAGCTGGGGGGGTTGAGGGTGGGTACTAGTGCGGAGCAGGTAATTATGTGGGTTAGGTTTTCAGTGTTAGTGTAGGAGCGTACTTTTGCTGGAGCTTATTTCTGCTGGATTAAAGAGACGTCAATCGATTGTTTCCTTTCAACTTGCAGGTTCCAGGCTAGGGTCGAAGGCCGATGATTGGTAGTGACAAAACTTGGATGAGCTGGAAATGACCAGAAGTGTACCTTGACATTCGTCTGTCGCGATGAGGGACCCATTGATGCTGGCGCTTCGACTCAGAGAAGCTATTTTGTTGGTCATTGCAACCTTACAGCCCGTGCAATCCGGCTGATTCCAGCATGCTGCCACCGCAGCCCCTATAAAGCAAGACACGTTCAGTTGAACCTTAGCCTGTTCCCAGCAGATCCACTTAGTCACCATATCCGTGGCAGAGGGAACCAGCATCGAAGCCAATTCGTGCAATTCAAGCAGAAGTGCGGCAGCACTCATCGAATCTCCTAGTAGCTGCAAGCAGTAAGCGAAGTTCTACGCTTTAAGGCTTCCGTCTAACATTTTCTTTCTTGACAGAAATTTTTAGTACGCTGATGCCCGAAAATCTTGGAACAAAGAGTAGGTTACTATGAGCCGAATAAGCCTTCGCGGATGGTATATCGAACGATTTTGGCGTGCAAGAGGTATTCATAAACGTCATCTTGCACAGGCTTCCAACCCAGTCGTCAACCTCACCTGGATATGAGTAATTTGCAGCACGCTTGAAAGCTTCTACCGTGGTCAAGTTCTCTCCGCAAGACTGGCGGTACAGGCTCAGCGTCTTATTGTTGCATTTTGCGAGTTGACTGGGCAGTATGCCGGCCCTCATGAGCGTTGTCGTAAGAAGCTGCAAAATGTTTCAAAATATCCATTTTCGCTGGCCAAGCTCGCTCGTGAATATGTTCGATCTGACATCGTGACGATCTGAGGACGGACCTACTTTGTAAAAGTGCTGCAACAGAGTGCTGCAACTCCTGTGGATGGTCACTGTGCTTGGAGTCTCGGTCAACTTTTCAATCTGCCAAAAGCCACAGAAACATGAATCCAAGAAGTAGCACTCTCGTAGCAAGTTTCAGAATGACTGTTGAAGCCTCCAGAATGTAGGACTCAGAAGCTAAGCTTCAATCTGGAGGGTTTGGTGTCGCACGGAGCATCCCAAAAATAGCAAGCTCATCTCCACTTTACTTCTGGTGGAACAAATCTAGGCGGCTTCCCCATGAAAAACAATTACCGACTCTCTCTATTTGATGGACACAGGATGACTCAGTTATTTGGACAGTCCCAAATTCCGGTTCATAGAAGCGTTCAAGAAACTGACCTCAGTGCATTGCAAAGCTGCTTCTTGGGTCATAAGGAGCTGATCAGTAGTGTTTGCCCAACGGACCTGCGAATCAAGTCACAAGATTAACAACAGCACTGACGAGCAACTAAGCATCATCCGTTTTGAGAAGCAGTCTGACCGCTCGTACTTTCAACGTCAAGAGTTTGATGCAACAAGCTTCTGAGAGACTTCCAGTAAGATTTCGTCTTACCCAGCTTTGATACAGTAGACCAGCAACCCGCGTGCAGCAAGGAACATTGTAGACCAAGCTGCTGGGATCGCTCCCTGCAAGGTCCAGCCAAAGAGATTCCTAGGAAGATTGTCCAATACATTGGCAAGCTTTAAGGAACATGTACTCAGTTGAGACCTTTATGTCAACCTTTGAGACAATTGAAAGGAAACGGCCTGGGCTCAAGGAACCTCTCTTTCATTTTCATGGTGCAAAAGCTCAGCTCAGCTAAATCAGTGTTGATATAAGCGTTGCCTCCAAGTGCACTAAGAAAATTCTGCTCTTCCCTTGGATCTCGGAAAAGTTATACTCCTGACTATTGCTTGTACTTGCCTTGTCACAAGCCACCAGGCCCGAGATGGACTTCAGAAACAAGCCAAAAGCCTACTAGTACTCCCTTTGAGAAGTTGGGAAAGTATCACGGTCTTTGAAGTGTTCTTTCCCTGATCAGAGATGGATTTTTCCAATATAGATAGAGTGACCTTACATATGCATCAAACATCGGAAGCATGAGGTGACCTTTTGGAAACATGGGACGATGCAAACATTTCTTCCGGAATGTAGCTATACCGTCACGCACCAAGGAGCGGCAAACAGTGCTCTCCTTCAGCCCCTTACTAGGAATGCATGGTAATTGATAGGACAACTTACCTCTAGCACAAGCTATGACAGTGTCGTTTATGTCGCTGGACTTCAAGAGTAAGGGGCACAAGGACCCTTGGTCATCTAGAAGCACTTGTGCTACAAACGAAAATGCACTTTCTTAGAGGGTTTTTCTGGAACAACGCAAGATATACAGTTCCACACTCATCTTAAGAAGTCAGTTTATAATAAGTTTTTAGAGATCAGTGAGAAAGAGACAGAAGATTCCAAACTCCCGAGAGGGAGCATGCAATCGCACTACCGTTCAAAGAAAGAAAGGGCAAGTGACTCATATCTGAAGAGGCATGTGCTTAACAATCCAGCCTCATCATGGTGAGAGTTTAAGAATGGGTTAAGAATAATCAATCTGATGCAGATATTACATGCCATCTATACATAGCCTGGTCTCTCATTTAGATGAGCGAATAAGCCAGATACAGACTTCGACGAAAAAACGTGAGAAATACCTAATAGACGGGATAGACTTCGACGAAAAAGTGAAAGCAGATGGATGTCCAAAGAAAGAGAAAGCCTTCAAGGAGGATGCAAGGTCGAATGGCAAATACCTCACTGCATCACTGTTGGTGCTTGTCTGGGACGAGCTGGTAAGGATAGGATTTGCTGTGACTTGTGGTTGGATATGCACGAAAGACTGTAAGATCAGGGCGGTTGGATTACCTTGCGCCTGTGTTGGGAGGAGGGCACAACATGCCAGCCACATCAGCATCATTACTACCAGCGGCTGCAAGCTGGTCTTGGATTGCAGCATTGCGGCCAGCAGCATGATCGCGTCTTACAAAAGGCTCCAAGACATTGATGAGTCACCAAGTTAAACACCTGCAGCGCAAGTTGCCATATAGCCAGGACGTAGTCACATATGTGCTAATAGGGAGCTCATGACCATCCTAGCTGAGTGACCTGGGCAGCATTGCAGATTTAGCAAAGCTTATTACAGTCCCTCCTTTGCATCCTTTGGCTTTCTTTCTTGTGCGCACAGTCTTTGCGCCGGGCTGGCCAGTGGCCCCTGCATACAACTGACTGATTGAGACTGCCCTGAGTCTTTCTGAAATTGCAAGAATCTAATATTGTCTGGCATTCAATGCTTCTCCTGTGCTAAGCCGAATACGTTCGACTCTTCCTACTTCAAGCTAGCTTCCTTCTGCGGCTCTTGAAACTTACAGGACCACTTTCTCGGTTGAAGGACTTCTATACAATGTCCAAGACATCCGAGTCCCTGTAAAATGTAGACCTCGCTGTAGCAGTTCTGTGGTAGGTAGACTCCAGCGCGGGCCAGGCAGCCTCACATCAGTCTGGTGACTCTCTCCCTTTGAGCAGTAGGATACGGTATCCCTGGCCCTGGCCCTGGGCCTAGGTTTCTACATTGTAGTCTGTAGAGGGCTCAGGCCCAGGCCCCGGGCCAGGGCTGGGCCGGGGCCGCCGGGCTGGCAACTGCTGATCATCATCAGCTGTCGCCGGGCTTTTGTTGGCGACGAGTCAAATGCCGTACGCCGATGCCAATTGTCACAAGGAAGTGTTACCACGTGTAAAGTCTGTAATAAGTACCAGGTGGAAGTACCCATCATGGCGTACGGAAAGAGACCATCCGGCCCTGCACAGGGCTGAGGGCACTCAGGCTCTGGAAGCTTTTATATGGCCTATGGCCTACGGCGTTGGAAAGGAGACCATCACAGTCACGATGGTCAGGTGGGCCGATCCAAAATGAGCAGATCAAGCTCAAGATTTAACAGGCTACTTTTGCCACTCATGTGTCATATGTTAAGCCCTTTGAGTAGAGGTCATATGATTGCCGGAGAACAAAGGCACTAGATTTTAGTGTCCATGTGCCACGCATACTTTTTTACGCAGCGCACTTTGAGTTGATTATTGAAACAGGTTAAGTCACATGCTATAGGGATGTAAAGAGGTGTGCCAGGTCATCTCGACCTTGACAATCATGTTAAATCCCCTCAAGCATGAGTTGGTCATTTTATACCCGAGATTTTTCGGGCTCCGCCGTGATCACAATCCTGGGGTCACGTTCTGGACCATTGAAGGTCCTATACGTAACCAGATCGAGGAACGAGTCTTTTGTACTGGATCGCACTGGGTTCAAATACCAAGGGAGTCGGGTCTCAAACCCTCAACGAAAGAGCTTTTGACGCCCACCAATCTTTCATAACCCAGCCAGACTTACGTGGATAGTGCAGTTTCCAATCCCGACCAATGCATAGTCAAAGCATAACGTAGTGTCAATGTCAATGTCCAAAAAGTACCTCGATATCTACCAACTCGATCCGAGGTTTCATAATAGAGTTTTGAACTGAAGTATACCTGCAGCAGTTATGGGACCATGCCCAAGTCGACTGAAATACCTTGACATGCTGCATGCACACCAAGCATCTCCAGGACGTACAGAAGTCTTTCAATATCGGCAACTAAGACTGCATATCCCCCCTCCTTTCTTCCCGCCTATCCATGTTCCGACATCCGTCCCAGTCCCGGATCGCGGGGCTGCAGACGCAGCTGCCGGTTCGCCAGTGCCCGAATCTGGGCCGCATGCTCCGCCAGCTGGCGCGCCTCCCCCTCCACCTTCTGCGCCATCTCCTGTATCCGATCCGAAGGCTTTGAGAACGTTAATACCAAAAAGCTTCTGTGTGACCTTTTCAAGGGACGTCATGGCATTGGCTGAAGTTGACAATACGTCCTACGGCCTGTTACCCCGGTGCGCAGGAACAAGCTCTGAGAAAACGAATGAACAATAGAACGCGCTACGTTCAGCACCTCAACCTGCTTCCAAACCCGTATCCACATCGTTAAACTCTAGCATCAACGACCCCATGATATGGTCTCGAACAATTAGGCTTGCCACAAACCTGATGCTCTCGGACGTCCGACCGCAGCCGCTCCGTCTCGTCCTTGAACCGCGCCGCGTCCGACTGCGCGCGTCGCAGCTCGACTTGGAGCGACTCATTTTGGCCCTGCGCCTGCACCAGCGCAGTGCGGAGCCGCCCCTCCTCCGCCTCGATCTTGTCGCTGTGCGCGCGCAGGCGCCCGACCTCCGCGGAGAGCGCCGCGCACGTCTTCTCGGCGGCGTCCTTGGCGGCCTCCAGCTGCACGGGCAGAAATAACACCGAGTTCAGGAAATTGAGCTTTTCGCGGGTTTGGACTTTCGAAATTTGAATTGCTTTCATTTGGCCGGAACTGAGATTTTCGATGGTTCGGACCTTCGATGTTTGGACTGCTCTGGTTCGTTGGACTTTCGAGAAACCGATTGATCTGTTTTGACTGGACGGATGCGTTGGTTCGTTCTCGGACTGGAGACTTTTGTTTCAAAGTTGGGTAGCTCTTTTCATATTTGAGACCTCCGTAGTCGGGCGACTTCTGGGCTGTGTAAGATGGCCGACAAAACTAGACCAACCACTTGCGCTTTACCGGGCTGCCCGGCCCTCGGCAAGGCCCTGGGTTCGGAGAAACACCTGACGACAACGAACTCGCTCCTCTAGTTCCTGCACGCTACGACCCACGCATCCCTTCACCTTCACCATCGAATCAAATACAATCACGTGCTCAGTCCGCTAACAATCATCCGCGCGAAAGCTGGACAGGGTATTTACAGCAAGCGCATTCCACCACCCCCTTAGTCAAGCAACACGAGCGCCGCTAGATGTCACGTTTTCCTAACTCTCTGCCCCTTACCTGCACCTTCTCCGTCTTGGCCTGCGTCAGTGCGGCCCGGTGGCTCTCCCCCTGCGCGCGCGCGTCGTCGACCTGCGCGCGGCTGTCCGCGAGCTCGCGCGTCAGCGTGCTCACGGTCTCCTGCAGCTGGTCGTTGCGCGCGCCCGTCGCCTCCAGCTTCACCCGCAGCGCCTCCTTCTCTGCCGCGCGCTCGTGGGCCACCTGAACGAGTTGGATTTATGCAATTCAAGAACATGATTTGCGTTGTGGGATGTAGAAGGTCGATTAGCATGTCTTGAGCTTTGGGTCTGGCATTGCGCTGTTGCCTCCAGCTTCACCCGCAGCGCCTCCTTCTCCGCCGCACGCTCGTGGGCCACCTAAAACCATAAGGTTTTGGTCTTTCCAAAAACTCAGGGATCCGAGTTAAGAGGCTTTGGAAATTGTGGACGTTTGGAGTTGCGCGTGCCCGTCGCCTCCAGCTTCACCCACAGCGCCTCCTTCTCCGCCGCGCGCTCATGGGCCACCTGGAACGACGACGTCAGTATTTCAGGATATTCTTCTCAGCATGCTCTGTGATCCTGGAATGACTCTTTGGATTACGATGTCAAAATAATTGAGACCTCTGGATCACACTCCGCCGTCGCCTCCAGCTTCTCCCGCAGCGCCTCCTTCTCGGCACGCGCTCGTGGGCCACCTGAAAGAATTGACGCTCCCTTCTTTCATGGTGTTCGAGTCAAGGGGTTAAAATCTTCCGATTTAGATTCTCAATCAACAACCTCTCAAGGTTCCAAATTTTTGGCACTGCACTCCGACCGTCCTCTCCAGCTTCACCGGCAGCGACGCGCTCGTGGGCCACCTGAATCGACCGGGTTCCACAGTTTTTGAAATCTTTTAGTAAAGCATGCTTTGAGGTTTGCGTATATCCGGCGTTCTGCCACTATCATCTCTAGTTTCAGGGAGCCTATTCTTTCCGTCGCGGGCTCGTGTGTCACCTGCAATGACAATTATTGGGGTTATAAGTATTCAAAACGTTGCGGTTCGTTTTTCTGAGGGTAACACCTGTAAAGCCGCGGCGACCTGATGGTTCTCCTGTTAGTGGTCTGTGTCGCCTCCTGCAACCACGTTGACCAATTTCTCAACACGTCTCTTCAGGGAAGTCGGCGACAGAACGCCATCTCAATCGTTGCGCACAAAGTCGTCCAACCCCAATGCGCTTGAGCCCGCCCCAATTGAGTTGTAACAGACAGCATTCATCTTTGCGTTCCAACCTGTCTCAGCTCACTCCTGTCCACGTTCTTGCGCGTTGCACGTCTTTTGAATTTCAACAATTACCACACTCAGGATCGCATCAAATTCTAAGAGCCTCGTCTCAATCCCAAACAACAATTGATCCAGACCCCCGTACTTGATTCAGCGTGTTCCGTTCCCGCTCGTGACTCTGCCGCGACTCCGCGGCCCGCTGCTGCTCCTTCTCTAGTTCCTCTTCCAGTCGCCGCGCCGTCCCCTCGAGAGCTTCCCGCCGCAGCGATGTCTCCGAGAGCCGCGCTGAAGCCTCGTCCAATTTCGCCGTTGCCGTCCGCAGCTCCGCCTCGGCGGACGTCCGCTGGCGTTCGGACTGGTTCAGCCGCCTGGAAACCGAGAGAAGGTTGGAGAGTAAGAAAGTCTAAGTCTCGCGCGGAAGATACTGAAGGAACAGTGGGCTCGACACGCAGAACACATCAAGAGACGCACATCTTCTCTCTTCGGCAGCAGGCTGACGGATGGAGCTATGTTCGACAAGCGGAACGCTCGCAACCCGTCTCAATTTCTACAGCAACTAGAGTAGGAAACTCACCACGTCACGAGTTCGTCAAGAAAACGGGTCACTCAGGTAGCGTGAGCGGGGCGCGACGACTGATTGACCTACCCGAAAAGCTAGCGGAAGCGCTTGCCACCATTACTGCGGCTCCCGGGTCCTATTGTGACAAAACTCAGTCGGCATTAACTTGTCGAAGAAACCAGAATAGCTTCGACTCCTTTCCCAGCCTACTCTCGACATCCATTTCCTCGCAGACCTGGGGGTTTCGGGAACTCTAAGGCTCACTTTTTGACCTCATCCAGCTCCCGCTGCAACGCCCCCCGCTCCTCCTTGACTCTCGAGGCCTCATCCCGGGCTGCGGCCCACCGCTGCTCCGCCTGCACCACCTGCTGCGCCAGCCCATCCTTCTCCCCGACAAGGCCTTTCTTTTCTGCGCTTAGGTGCGCGACCGCCGCCACCTTATCTTGCAACAGCCCCTCTAGCGCGTCCTTTTCTTGCTCGAGCTTCTGCACGGTCTTTGCATAATGCTCCCGCTCGAAGTCCGCTAGTCCCGTCGACTTCCCCACCGGCACCATCCCTTTTGCTTGCGGTTTGTCGAAACGGCCCTCCCCAGGGGGGTCCCTCGCAGCTCGAGCGGCCCCCCCCTTGCGTTTACTCCGCCGCGCGCCTTTCGGACTCTCTTCTTCCGACTCGTGCTCAAATGCGAACGCCCCCGCTGGGTGCGCTTCTAAGCCCTCCTCCTCATCCCCCCTTTCTTGAGCCCCCTCTGCACCTGCGTTTCTTTTCTCCGTTCCCCCAATCCCCCTTCCGCCTTTTTCTGCCCCCCCCCCATGCTGGCTCCTTCCGTGGGGGGCCTGCCAACCCCTTCCGCTGACCCCCCCGAACCGTTGCCCCGTTCCCCCCCGTTCCGCCGCACTTTGCGTTTCCGTCACATCCGCATGCTCGAGCGACTCCTCTCCCTCCCCACTGCTACTGGTCTCCGGAGGCCCCCCCCTACGCGCAACCCTCGTTCTCCCCCCCCCGCCGGCCTCCTTTCTTGCAACCCCCTCCGCTGCCGCCGCCCTCGCACTCGGCCCGCCCTTTTGCCGTTTCTTCGCTGGCTCCCCCTCCGTCTCAACCGCGCCCCTCTTTCCCCCCGCTCTGCCCCCCCGCAGGTCAGCGGCGTTCCTCAGCTCGGGTCCTTTATGAGGACTCATTAGTTCGTCATCAGGGCCCCCCGGCTGACTATCCCCCACCACCGACGCCACCGGTTTCGTTGCCGCAAGCACCGCCTTTCTGATCTCCGCCCTTTTGGAGCTGCGCCAACCGGCCCCCTCCTCCACCCCCGCTTCCACTCCTACTCGTTTCGGGGGGGTCCTCCGCCCCAGCGTCGGAGACACTCGGGGGGGGGGTGTGCGGGCCAAATCCTCTGAAGAGTCAAGCGCCGGCAAGTAACGCAGGACGTAAGGATTGGCGTATGTCAGCTTATCCCCGCCGTACCCCCCAAAAACGTAAAGGGAGCGTCTGCGGGCGATTAGTGTGTGAGCGGAGCGAGCTCCCGGGTGAGAGTCTGTGGGTTCGGAAGAGTTGCACGCGGTGCCAGGGAGGGGGTGCCATTGGACGGTGCATTTGTGGTCATTGTCGGACGAGAGGACCTGGCAGGTGGGTAATGAGTCAAAAATTCAGGCATCAGTAGGAGGACACCAGATTGACAAAGACAGTGAATCGATTACGGTAGACGATGGCCTTTGAAAACTACTGCTTGTGGTGCTGTTCTTTTTGCAGAAGCGGAAATCACGAGAAGACAGTGGTATTGAAGCTTCAAATCTTAGGTCGGCAAGAGTTCCCCAGAAAGCCCAGCACGAAGAAGCTTCAACATCTATCAACTCACTTTTCAGATGCCGACATCGCATTCACACCGAAGAAGAGGGACTCACCTGTAGCAAACTGAAGTCCGCCAGCCTCTGTGCGCCGCTACGGCCCCCATACACCAGAACACTTCCTCCCCCCACCGCCATCGCCGAATGCCCCGATCTCGACACTGGCCCGAGCCCCTTCACCTTAACGTCCAACCAAGCATTCATGGCCACATCATATACTGACAGCAGCCGGTCTTTCAGCTTCCCCCCCTTGTTCTTCCCCCCAAACGAAAACACCCGATTCCCAAGAATCGTAAACGTGTGGTACCCCAGCTTGTGCGGCGAGGGGCCCGTGGGCGTGAGCTTTTCGTAGCGGGGGGTATGGGTATGGAGCACAAAGACTTTGTTGGTGAAGTCGTTCTCGTCTTCTCGGACTCGGGCGTACCCCCCGAAAAGGAGGATTGCGTCGGGGATGAGGGAGTGCGGTACTGCGCCATGCGCTGCGATCTCCATTGGCTCACCCTGGAGAGGAGGGATGCTCCACGTGTGGTTGCGGGTGTCGAGGACGTGGATGTCGCTGCAATCAATGTAAGATTGATGGTTGGTTAAAGAGACAAAAGGAACTTCAAGAGTGGTCAAGAAAAAGCACCGGGGGGGTAAACATTTGAGAAAGCCTGGACGAAATGCGATTGCTTCTGGATCCTGGCGCTCAATGTTGACTGCTTCGCTTGATGAGATTGACGCAGAGAAGTAACAAGATGTTCTGTGCGCATCCTGGCTTTCAGGTCTATCGATTGAATGCGCAGACGGTTAGCCTTTGCCCAGTTTTTGATGTAACTATTTGCCGGCTATCTACAGGGGCTCCAGATCCCACCAAAAGAGGTCCGATTGATTGCTGCCTCCGACCACCCAGATGTAGCGGCCCTTGATGAGCGTGGCGGTGGAGTAGGCGCGGGGGGTGAACGGGGCATGTTTTGTCAAGCATGTCCACTCCTCGCTCTGCACAGCAAGAACATGTTAGAGATAGACCAGGATTGTCTGATGCGAAGAAGACAAGCCCTGTTTAAAGTACTTGTTATCGGAAAAAATTGTCATATCTAGGATACTACCAGAACACAATTGAGTGATGGACCAGCCTCCCTCCCCCTTTCCTCACAAGTAATGTAATCAACAGTTGGGGTAACCACCTCTCTGTTGCCTTCAAGCTGCTAACTATGTTGTATAAGACTTCTTTGGGAATGTGCAGGGATCAGTAAGCTGGAGAGCCAAGCTGTGGGGTCAAGGTTCAACTTTTATAGGCGAGCAGCAATTCCTCCTCTTAGGGGCACCGTTGCACATGTTACCTCACAGTCAAACGTCCAAACGTCATTCATGAAAGTTTCGCCCTCTCTGCCCCCCATGACATAAAGGGTTTTCTCTCCCACCAGAGTGGCGGTGTGGCCCAAGCGAGGGGGCAGTGTCGTAGGGGACGGGAGCGCTTCCCAGATCATCTTTCCCTGCCATGTCATGACTTCTCAGGCCTGCTGACAGAACAGCTGGCTAAGGTCTGGACCCCCTTTTGGTACCTGGTTTTCCCCTACTGCCAGTTTACCAAGACAAATGGTGGTTGCTTCAGCACTAGGGCATAGAAGAAGCAGACCTCTCTTCCTTTCTGAACTCTGTCCATCATTGAAACATGTTTTTTATGTTGCAGCTTTATCTGCTTTAAACTTGTAATCAAGAGATCAAGATGTGGAAACACTGCGAAACATCATAGAGGATTTTACCCATTCACAGTTTGGTGTGATCAGGCCTGTCCATTTGAATGCCTGTTGCCCATTTAATCGTGCTCCAAAGTTTCTGAGATGGATCAGAACTCCCTAGATCCTTGACCGTTGAGTCTATTCGTTGGTTTTTGCTCCTCGCAAACCTTCAGCATGCCTGCAATTCTCAGCCCTGTACACTGGGTGTGCAGCAAGAGGGTCATCAGCGTCCCTGCACACAACCTCAGCTTGTAGCAGAATTCCTTCAAATCTGACTTCCCGTGCTGGCTAATAATAGGGCCAGGCTTTAGCCTGAGGGTTTTGACACAAGCTAGGCGGCCCTGTCGGATACCTGCTGGCCGCGCGCGGGGCGCCCAGTCACAATTACGGTGCTAGCTGCATGCTGCAGCAGGTCCGACCGACACTACGGTATATAGGAGCCCGGCCGGGCAATAGTCCGGTCATCCGAATATCTGAGAGCGCCGCGCGGCCGCGCGCCCGTTTAGTGAATCCGACCTTGCCAAACCTCGGAACCTCGGCGGCCGCGCCCGGCCAGCGACGTCGGACGTGCGCGGCCGGCCGCGCCGCGCGGCTTTCCTCCTCATTGATCAGCCAGCTAGCTGCCGCCACATATTGCCAGCGAACTTTGTTCAACGAGCAAGCTTCTTCAACAAGCAAGCTTTCGAGCAAGGGCGAGCAAGGCAGGAGCAAATGCCCACAACTTCAAGTGTGCGGCGCGTGTGCGGCACCGGCGCAAGAGAAGAGAGGAAAGAGGAATCAAGTCTTGCGTGAAGACTCCTGCTTCCCTCTTTTGGGGAGGATTTTGCCGCCTGCAAAACAAATCTTGGTACCGGCCTAAATCAATGACCAAAGCCATGAAGGCCTCATCTGATAATGTGCCATTGTTTGTTGGTCCGCAAGCTGGCGTTTCTCTGGTACCTTTTACGATTGAGGCGGACCCTTGCGGTGCCGTTGTGCGCACAATCAGCTTCAACCCCACAGTCAAGCTCCAAGTAGAGTTGTTGAGTGAAGATGACGAGTACAATCTCCAATGTGTCATTTCAATCCCTGGCATCCCAGAGAATTGGAAGAAGTGGTCAGATAGACCAGTGGCATCGGTCATGTTTCATGACGACTTTCTTGTCGATGGGGAGCCTGTACACCTGCCAAGTCACGAAGGAGACTACTATGCAAGGAGAGTCCCTCGAGTGCTTGCAAACAAACAAAGTATTCAGGGTCACGTGATCATCAACGAAACGACTCCTTTGACTCCTCCTGCCCGTCAGTCGTTTCTAACAGCCTCTGGACTGCGATCTGCGGATTGTGTTGTAATCCCAAAGGACGGGCAGGGAGTTCTCTTCCATCGGCTGATGCTGGAGACAAGAGCAGGGACTGAATGGCAGCGCATCTTTGATGGGACAACGTCACTCATAAAAATCGAGGATGGCTCCAGGATTGTGTTAGGCTGTCTAAACGAGTTCCAGCGCGATGCTATCTTGTGGTACAGGGAAGTGATCTATACAGGTAGACTGAACATGGCAAACATTCGCTGGAGAGAGAGCACCGTTCAGAACCTCGCAGACATAGCCAACAAGATGGCCGAAGAGGGGCTCATCGCAACGTTGAGTCAGCTTCAGACCATCGAAGAGGTGCCAGATCGCGAGGCTTTTCTCAACTGGTATACAGAGGGGAAGGGAGGTTTTGAAGAGCTCTTTTACGAAGCAAGGACGCGTAGCGACACCGACAAGCTGAAGGAACTTCGCAGAGGCTTGAAACGCAAAAGATGAAACAATTCTGCTGATCAGCGGAGGGAGCAAGAATTCAACAGCTTAGGTTTGCTAAATGGAGAATGGTGGCGGAGTTCTAGAACTTACGGTGGCGTCCTTAGTGTTTTCGTGCTGTTTTCTCACTTCAGAGTGTTGGGCTAAGGATAGCAATATGGTCTGACTTACTTCGACAATTGACTTTCAACTTTTCAACTCTCAGGTTGAAGGTATTGTGCGTGTGCACTGCCATTGTGTATAGACGTCGCTGGTGCAAAGCCCCATCATATATAGCTTGATTACTTCCCCATCACCGAGCATCAAACCCTTGCAGATTCGGTCTCTTAAACCTGCTCGTGGCTCTGGTAACCTGCTGTGGTTTTTAAAGTAGGTGCCTATCTGATGGATTTTGCGTCCAGCTTGACCTATGTTGCGTTTTTGGTGGAGGACCTGCCAGATGCAAACAGCAGACTAACAGTCTGCCACCACGATGTCCTTGCTCATCTTCGACCAGACCGTTGACATGGTTGTCTCTTCAACTGTCTGACCGATGCTCGAATAGCCGCAACATCTGGTGCGGGAGTGCATCACATGACAACTAGCATCCAAAGTGTCAAGAAACGTCAATAAAAGCAAGACTCATCACCATGCTTCGAAGGCCACTGCGGTTCCCTTTACTAATCTTGATTCTCGCTCCTCGACCAATCTATGTAGTACGATACTCTGTAATCCTCAGAGCCGTCAAGGATATAATACATGTGAACGTTCCGCATTCTGACCGACCCTTATAAGCCCAGCCTCAGAGCTGTGACAATAGGTCTTTCGCTTCTGGTCGACCCAAAACCCTCAAATCAACACCCAACTCAAGCGCTGGTACTGACATATCCCCTACGCTTGATACCCAGTCTGAAACTAAGAAGACAGGAAGACACGCCACGTCAATACTTTCGTATATACTATCGGAACTCAGGAATTGCCTGCGTTGATCTTTCAATTCATGAAACACAACAAATGAGGAAATTCTCAGCGTCGGGGTTCATGTCGGATCAAGTATTGGACATGCTTTCAGTTCTTTCGATTCACCTTGTTCAAACATCTTGAAGGAGATTGTAATCTTCGAAGAAATTATGTAGTCTTAGAAACGTTGTGCTGGTGAAAACCTCGAAGTTCGTCGAGTATCAAAATATGTCATGCTCGTGGAAACCATCGAGTTCGTCGAGTATCAGTTCTACTTCCGGCTACAAAGACTAATTGAGCTCGTCTTGCAGTCCAAGTCAGGAAACCATCCAAATTCTCAAAACATCGCGCCTGCGAAGCCCCGCGACCAACGCTTGCACGCTACGAGGAGCCGCAGTATCCCCGCGACATCTTTGTTGGGGAATCTGGGCCGTCCGATGGCGTCTGGCTGATCGAACGGCTCACATCGAATCATTTGCACGATCCCCAGAAGGGATCACCTGCCGCGAACCATTTGACATGATTTGTGTCGAAGGCAACATTCTTGAACAAAGCCATGGAGAGCCAGAGAGCCTTGCGGCTCATGCCGCTGGCTGCAGCCAGCTGCGGACTGGTCCCCTTCACCATCGAAGCAGACTCCGCCAAGCCGGTTGTGTGCATCATTAGCGCCAACCCCACTGTGAAGCTTCGCGCCAGAAAGTATTTTGATAATGATTTCAAGCTTGAGCTTCTTATTTGCTTGGATGGGCAGGTTGCGGAAGAATGGGACGAGTACTCTTGGCAGAAAAGTCCCGGGGTGTCCGCCATGTTTCATCACAACTTCCTAGTAGATGGAAAAGCTGTCAACCTGCCGAACACAAGCCAGGCTTTCAATTGGAGGAAAATCCCTAAAGCGGGATTAGAGAAAGCCGTCATCCAAGGTCACGTGATAATTAGCGAGGGAACTGCCTTGACTTCTTCCAGTAACCTGTCGTTCCTTACGGAATCCGGACTAAGGTCCGCAGACTGCGTTGTCCGGACTAGTAACAATGGAGAGGTCCTTTTTCACAGGGTAATGCTAGAAACTCGAGAAGGGACGGAATGGCAGCGAATTTTTGACGGGACCACGCCACTGTGCAAGAACCAGGATGGTTCCAAGTCTCTCGTGACATCCCTGAAGGAGTTCTCCCAGGAAGCAGTTCTCTGGTACAGGGAGATCGTCTACGGTCAAGGCAAGCTCGACATAGCAACACTGAAGTGGAGGAAAAGCGTCGTCCAAAGCCTGGCGGAGATTGCCAACAAGATGGGAGAAGAGGGCCTCATCAAAACCATGTGTAGTCTTCAGACCATTGCAGAAGTGCCGGATCGCGAAGCTTTTTTGGAGTGGTGCACGCTTGGGAAGGGAGGTTTCGAAGAACTTTTCTATGAAGCAAGGATGCAAAGCGATGCAGACAAACTCAAGCAGCTTCGCGAGCAAAAGCGCAAAAGAGACCGCAGTGGACAAAATTCAGGCTAATGATCTATCAATGATGAGTAATCGTTAAGGTTTTTTAAGTACTTTATTCTTCTGCATTACCAACAAGGCAGCTTGCAGAAGTCTGAGTTCGTATAGTCTTCCGTTCCTCCGTATGCAGATTTGTTCTGAATGATGCAAATGAACTTTCCAGAAGCTACATGCTCGAATAGATTGTGATTATTTAGTGCAGTCTTGCAAGCTACTCGAGCTTTCCTGCTAGACTCTTCGTTCATCGGATGGCCACCTTGCTCTGGAAGTGGCTGACCAGATCTCACTTTTACAAACGTCCCGTGTCAGAGGATCGGCCCGCTCTTTCTCATCGATACAGAGTGTTTCTGTCGTAAATAAGGTTCAGATGAGGCTCCAAATTTTGAGCTGGGTCGGGTAGCACCAGTACTTATAGAAAAGCATATAAGCTCACTGCCAACCTTGGCTGCAGTACGATTTAGCAACATAGAGTTCCATCTACAATCCAATTGAATGCATATCCAGGTATTGGATGCCTAACTGCAAATGCACTCTATAAAGCAGCATGTGAAGGTTATTGGTTGTCGAGTTCAAGTGCGCATATAAAAGGCGGCTATATGCTATTTGCCTAAAGACTCACAGTCGTTCAAGTACAACGATGTATCATGCAATGTCGGTCAACGAACCGAGTAAACGTAGAGTGTACATGACATGGACTACAACTGCACCTGTATGAGCAATGGTTTGGCGAACATGCAGCTCATGTGCAAAGGCCGCAGAACCATGTGGGTGCGCAATGGGGTTTTGTCGTTGGCCAATCCGCGCGATTACCACCAGCCCAACTAGGTGGCAAGAATGCGGCCCACGGAGGCGCCTCGATGGAGTGACAGTCTAGAATTTGAAACGAAGACCAGCGGACCGAAACATAGACGCGTTTGAAGCGCTGCCCCGCCAGCAAAAGATGGTTGATCAGCGACAACCCGATTTCACATGCACACGAATCAATGTTTTCCCCTAGAACTTGATTTTGAGTTTGGCGGCATCCATCTTCGTCTTACTCAAACGCATCTACATTGGCAACAAGTCGTCTCCTAGCTCCTCACTCCCCCACTCATCCTCCACGCTCTTCTCTTTCACGCCCATCTTCACCTTCCGTCCCGCGGTCCCCGGCCGCGGCGGCAGTACCGCGGCCGGTGCGAACACCGCGGCCGCCTCCTCCCCGACGCGCTCTTGCCGCACCGCGGCCGCCCCGCTGCTCGGTCGCGCCGCTTTCCCGACCATACTTACCGGGACGCTCGCGGCCGGCTCCTCGGCGGCGGCGTAGACTTGCGCCTTCGCCGCCGCCTCCTGCGCCTGCGCGGCCGCGCGCTCGGCTTTTCGGAGCTGGACCGCGTAGTCTTGGATCTCCTCTTTGTGGCCCAGGTCGGTGCAGATGTGGACCAGGTAGCGCAGGCACTCGATGTTCTCGGGGTGCGCGCGGTGAATCTCCTTGTACTGCCAGGAAAAGTATTACGGGGGTTTGTACTCTTTCGTTGGTTCTCCAACTCTCTAGAAGCCGGTTCGTTGATAACGGATCTTTCCTAAATCAGGGAATTAAGAAAGCAGTCGGTATCTGAAGTCAACCGTGTGCTCTAGGTCTCCGGACTCCTAGACTCGACGCGTGCCTTCATAAAGGGCTCGCAGTCGTTTATATCAGAAGTATAAAGATCGAAAGTACAAAGCATAAAACCACAAAGAATGAAAGTACAACAATTCAAAGTGCAATAACGCCAAGAAGAGAGAAAACTTCCACTCGCAGTTCCGCTTCACACATCACTTCTGATGATTTTAAGCAGCCGCAACCGCCGAATTGTCTTGAGATTACTTAGTGAAGAGTGAGAAGAGAGTCCCTTCTTTTGCCATGAAATTCTAGATTACAGAGGCTTCGTCCTTGAAGCCGGAATCTCCAGGTTCGTTCGCTGATCGTACTGAATCTCCCGTGCATCCTAATTGAGTAGCTGAACCTATTCTTCGTCTAAGGGAAGCGTTAAGCCACTCCCTTACCAACCACCTGATCCGGCGCAAGGTATCGGCAACTTCCACAGACCGGATTTGGAACCTTAACAACTGCAAGACGAATCTGCGACGACCCGCATCACGAGACTGTGCTGATTCTCATAAAAGCACAGGACACATCATTCGAGAGACAATGGAGTGCTAATGCGTGCCTCCTTACCGTCGCCAACGCTTGCGGGTAGGCCCCGATCCGCCGATAGCAGGAGGCGACCATGAGCTGCCACTTAACTTCCGACGGCTGGATCTTGGCGGCCAGGTCGAAGAAGGGCATCGCCTTCTCATACACCTCGTTCTTCACGTGGAAGGCCCCCAGCCACGAGATGACGTCCATATCCACCTGGGCCAATCACAGCGAGGCACGTGTCAGGGCTCTGGAGCGGTACCACAGAAGTCGTAAAAATTCAGGCTTGTTGTCCGTGCGAATGGCGAGTTGGTTTAGATCCTGATGTGCGGGATAGATTGGGAAGCTAACCCCTGGCTATTTGGAAATTTGAATGAACGGGAAAGTTCTTCATAAGTGTCCTCTATTTTGAAGCGCAGACTGGAGGGATAGCATAAGTACCAACGGATGAAACTTGATGTCACTCTGGTACGAGCCATATGGCATACTTGACGTTCTTCTACATCGGCATGCTCACGCAGAATCCGAGTGCCTTCAACCAATTTCCGGGCCATCACTTCGCACTCTGGTCCTGATCAGCTTTCTAGCATCTAACCTTCCGTGCGGCACTTTACGACAGTCTCTCGCTTTCGTGTAACAAACTAAGGATATTCGGACCCGGCCCCTATAACTCGACCGTTGAGCAACCGGAACTATCAGTCCACAAAGGGTATGCTCAGATTGTACACTCAAAAAAGATGAACAGCCGGGGCAACTCACCGGGTAGACTCGGTGCGCCTCGGAGAAGTAGTGCAGCGCCTTGGCCTCGTCGTCGTGCTTGCTGTGGACCGCGCCTAACCGCGCGAGCACGCCGGGGTCGTGCAGCACTCGGGTGTGCAGCATCTCCAGCCACTTGATGGCCTGCTTCGGGGGACCGGTGACCTCGTACAGGCTCGCGATCTGATCGGAGAAAGTGGTCAGAATGTGCGGTAAGTCGGGGTTTGGTTTAAGACCAACAAAGTAAGGAAATGAATCTAACATAACAACCGATACTGAGCTCTATCGCAACATCTTCAGCCACTTGATGGCCTGCTCGGGAGGCCGGTACCCTGATACACGGGTACCTGTGTTCGCCAAGTATAGTGTGATGATAAGAATGTCAGAAGAGGCAGGCCCCTTCAAAGGCAATATTGAGCGGTGGTTTGTGATCTGCATATATAGTGACATGGAAAGTGCAATTATTGAAAGAATCAGAAAAGGCTACATGCTGTCCAAGAGAGACGGTTTATCTCAGCCATTTTGTGACCTTCTCAAACAGAACTAGACCTCCGTGAAGTCTGCTACATGAAATACAATGCTGTCGAATGATGTAGATTTAGCGGTGTCGGTGAATGGAGGATGGCGACCTTCTCTCATTTCCTAGCAATCCAGTGATGGCTGTTAACGAAACCCCTGCCGGACCTCCCGCGAAGCACCCTACCACCGTTCACGTACAGCTGCTTCCGTCAGACTTGCCCCCGGTTCTGAAAAACTCAGAGCCTTCTTGAACTTCAACCCGCGATTGAAGAGCATCTCACGGCTCAAGATTGCTGGCCGTGCCTCAAAGATGGACAAGAGGGTGGCAAACGTGGCGCATCGAATCGTACCTGGTACATGACCTCCGGGCTGTCCGGCAGCATAGCGTGCAGCTTCTTGAACGTGGCCAGGCTCTCGGGAGATTGCCCGGACCGCTTCTGGGCTAGCCCCAGGTTGTACATCGCCTCCACGCAGTCCGCCTCCACGCCGAGCGCCTCCTGGTACAGCGCCGTCGCGCCGCTGACGTCACCCTGACGTCAAGAGGATCATTGCGAGTCTAGCAGAAGGTTCGCGGAAGCCTGGAGAATTTCAGCGGAGGTTTTCAAGCTTTGCCAAAATTCAAACGACACTTTCACGCATTTCTCTCGCATCGAGAATGCTTTGGATACAGAGCCACCATGCCGCTGACGTCACCATCACGAGGATCGTCAATTACATCGGAGGGTCCTTGTGAGATCTTGGTGCGGTGTTGGTAGTCGATATGAGGCAAAGCCTACGACTCTTCTCCTGTTGCAGTTTACCTAAGTTCGTATGCCTCGGCGTGCATACGTCCCGCAATACAAAAGGTGCCCTTCACCAAAACAGCCTCGATCTCGGTGCAATCCATTCCCAACGTAAGGAAAGGATGCAAATCCCCGTCCGCCTCCCCTCACCTTCACATACAGGCAGTTCCCCTTATTGACGAGCGCGCGCGCGTTGTAGCGCTCCACTTTGACGGCCATCTCCGCGTACTTGTCCGCGGCCGCGAGGTCGCCCTCCCAGAAGTAGAGCGCGCTCAGCGTGAGCGCGGCGCGCGCGCGCAGCGCGGGCTCCTTCCGCTCGAAGTCTTTCAGTACGCCGATGGCCGCGCCGAAATCGCGCCGCTGCAGGTGCTGCACCGCGCGGGCCATGTCTGAAGGAAAATGGGAAACGATCGCCCAAAAAAATCATAAATGGTATCAGGTTCGAAGGAGAGTAGAGTCGTCGGCATGTTCCGGATGTGCGTTGTACTTAGCAAGCCTTAAGACGTTTGCGTCCGTCTGTGGTTGTATGGTGCGAAGATTCTCGTAAAATTGCCAGCCGGATGTGGGTTGATAAGCGTTTGAATGTGACCTCTGTCAAATTCGGACACCCTACTTAAGATGCACAGTCGTGTAGACGCTGATATGAGCAACTTTAAAAGACCATTCCATCAGGTATCAACAGCACGGTCACAACTGGAGCTCCGATCAAAAGTGTTAGAGCTCGTTCTGATCAGGCGGAAAAAGTGTAAGAGGAGAGTGTAAGAGGGGGTCGCGTCATTCTGAAAGCCAAGTCCGAGTTCAAGTCTCAGGAAGAAAACCTGGATACCAGTTTTGGTATCGCATGCAATTGTGGGTGCAGACCGCCTCATTGGTAAGCCATACCTAGTTCTTGCGCGAGCACGCCCCGCCCGCTCGCGCGCACCGCGTCGGTCGCCCACTGGAAGCCCTCCGCGAGCGTGTCGCCGATCACGGGGGCGATGAGCTGGGCTGACGTCAGCAGCGCGCGGTGCGCGCGCTTCTGGCGCGCGAGGAGCTCTTCCTTGAGGCCGTCGCTCTGGGAGCAGAAATGGACGGGGGTGAGAAAGGCGGCCGTCGTTTAGCATCTGGGCAATTCACATCCTGGGGTTTTGGAAAAAAACAGCATCGCGATTATTCCTGAAGAGGAATCTACATCGAAAGAGCGGAAAGCAGGGCAAAACCCAAAAATAATAATAATGAAACATCTGGAAAAGTAGGAAGCGGATGAATAAGAAGTATTATAAACCCCAAGTTGGAAGCCTGATTGTAACAAGTGACTTCGGCCGGCCACATCATCGTGAATAGATCGATCGCGCGACTCACAAGCGTTCCTCACGAGCTCGTCAACATATCTGCAGACGTAATGAGAACGAGCTCGCTTACCAAGTTTGTCAACGCGCAAACTCGATTCAAGCGCTGACGACCGCATTGCTCACCAATGGTCACGTCCAGCTCTTCGTCAAAGTCAAAGTACAAGCTTGCCTATCTGTCGGAATCTTCTTTCCAGAAAGAATATACAGATCATTACTATGTGTCAACTGCAGCCTTCCTGATCACGGTTAGCGCCTCAACCCGCCCTCTCCAAACCCTCACCGGGAGTGCCGCCTCCGCGGCCGCGTCCAGCTCTTCGTCCGAGTCGACTTCGTACTTTTTGATGGCGAGCAGTCGGGAGAAGGCCCGCTTCATCTTCTCGCGGTCGCCCAGCGCAAAGTAACACAGCACCAGGTTGAACCCCGACTGGTAGTCGGGGCTCCCGTCCATGATCGCCTCGAACGACTGCAGCGCGTCCTGCGAGGGGCTTCGAAGCTCGTCTCTGGGGGGGCGTTAGAACAGGTAAGCCTCATGGGGTTCTGAGACGGTTGGGGTTGAAGTATGTGAACGTCGCAAAGTTCAAGAACAGACCTCCAAATTTTTGTAACGCCTCGTTTCCTCATGCGTCAACCTTGACACCCATTTCGGGATGTTGCTTTTGACAAAAGGGCATCGGCGGACTCCCTGCAGACCGGAAGGGGAATCCGGCATAATTCCGAGAATTCGCCACACTCTTTTAGTCAGGCTCTAAGAGGCAGCGAGGAACAAGTGGCTCCAATCAGTAGAAACCCAAGCGGTCAATCCCCGCTCTGCTTGCAATACAACACCAGAAGCCGTCAGCAGATGACGCCGCAACGTCACCTGGTAGTGCCGAAGGCGCATGAAGGTGACCCCAAAGTTATGCCGGACCGTGTAAAGTGCTAGAAACTCAATTTGAGTTCTCAAGGAGACCGACTGTCGTCAGCGACGAGAACGGACACGTCACCTGGTACTGGCCGAGGCGCATGAAGGCGACGCCGATGTTGCGCATGATCTTGTAGCGCGTCTCCTTCTGCGTGGCGGGCAGCTGGTCCAGCGCCATGCGGTACATCTTGATCGCCTGCGGGTACTTGCGCTGCTCGCAGTAAATGTTGCCCATGTTCACGCGCAGCCGGCCCGCCTGGGGGAACTGCACCGGGGGGGGGAGGTTCCAAGGTTCAAGGCGTTAAGTTTGTAGAACTATTATGTATTCGTTATTATAAGGCCTTGCGCTGCTCGCAGTAGACGTTGCCCATGTTTACGAATAGCCGGCCTGCCTGAGGGAACTGCACCGGGGGGGATCACAAGGGGTAACTTTTCGAAGTTTTGCGATTTTGGGGTTTTATTGAACACTTTGCGCCGCTTGCAATGTATGTTGCCCATGTTCACGCGCAGCCGGCCCGCCTGACGGAAGTGCGCGGGGGAGATATTGTTGTGAGTAAAGCGGGAGAGAACCGAGACACTATGTACATGAACTATTTACTGAGCGAGCGAAAGGTTGCAGTGGGTGTTGCCCAGGTTCACGTGCAGCCGGCCCGCTTGGGGGTACTGTTCGAGCAGGAGTATCGGACACGGAAAAGGCGGAGACATTCTTATATTTTTATGTGGATTTAGTGCAAGTAGTGTAAGAAGAAGACGTCTGCATCAAGCGACCGGAAACTGTGCGTTACGCCGTTTGATCATCTCGAAAGGGGGAAGGATACTCGTAAGAAAGTGGGAAAAGGACTGAGAAATTACCATCAGGGTGTATGTGGAAGAGTCTGCATCGAGCAAGCGGACTCTCTATTATCCAATCTTCGTATCTCGAAGACACCCTTTCTTCCCTGCTTCTCTTTCCCACTGCCTTCTCTTTCCCTCCTGCCTATACTCATTCCTCATTTTGAGAAGCATCCAGCAACGCACAAGAAAAGCGTGACTGCCACCTGGCGCTCGACGCTCGGTCCAGAGCGAGATTTCAACACAAGCAGTAGGAGACTGAGACACCCACTCGTCGTTTCTATCCAGTCACTTCAACCAGACTCTGTAAAGTTTCAAGATTGCTCGGTCTTCACTTCTCCCCCGCCGCTTGCCTGCTTGTTCTTGACGACCTGCGTGTACGCGTCGAGCGCCTCCGAGTACAGCTTGTTCTGGTGGTATTGATGCGCCAGATTGAAGCACACCGCAAACGTCAGGTCCCCATTGATCTGGTCCGCTAGGTTCGCCTGCTCCCGCTGCTTGCACAGCAGCCGCTCGCGCTTGCCGGCCTCCTTAGCCTTCTCCAACGCCCCGTCGTGGTCGCCCTGAGAAGAGAGGGTTTTAACGGGGTTAGCCAATAACAGCTGGGATTAATCGTCGTGGTCGCACTAGAAAGAGAGGAGTTAGCCAGGGGTTAGCCAGGGTTTAGTCCGCTAGGTTCGCCTGTTCCCGCTGCTTGCACAGCAGCCGCTCACGCTTGCCGGCCTCCTTCGTCTTCTCCAATGCCCCATCGTGGTCGCCTAAAGAAAAGAGGTTTTTACCAGGGTTAGCGGATTGTGAAAGTTGGGGTTAGCCAGGGTTTAGTCCGCTAGATTCGCCTGGCTCCCGCCGCTTGCACAGCGGCCGCTCGCACGTGCCGGCCTCCTTGGCCTCCAATAATACCCCGGTCGTGGTCGCCTTAAAAGCACGGGATGTAATAGGGTTAGTCAAGGTCATCCGATGTAGGCAGTGGCTGGCAAGCGCTTTCAACCGCCTTTGGCCTTCTCCAAAGCCCCGTTGGGGTCACCAAGAAAAGTCCGGGGTGATGGGGTAAGCCGAGAATCGTTGGGGTCAGCCAGGGTTGACGAGGAGGTCAGTGGTTGGGAAGCGCCTCCAGCCGGCTTGACCTTCTTCAGTGCCCCGTTGATCGCCTTTAGTTCGGATCTAGCAAAGGGCTCATGCATATGAGAATGAAAAGTGAATACAGCCGGACCTGTGTCTGGTTGAACTGTTTCCAGCCTCCTGATCCTTCCTAGGCCCCGCCGTTGTCCCTTTGAAGTGGAGGATCCGGGAAAGCTTGGTGTTTTTCTGGTAAGGAACTTCGTCAGGGCTGTTACTGAAAGATGGACTCTTGGCGGAGCCGAATAAGTGTCTGATCATTAGCAAGCCCCCTTCAGTTTTACCTCACCAAGCGGGCTCACCCTGCAGAGTGGGTACTCTGCTTCAGTAAAATTGCGGACTTAACCTGACGTGGTGAGAAGCAGGAAAGGGGTTCCTGGCATCAGTGTTCGGGATAAAGTCTTCCTGGCCTTCTGGACCTTCCTCAACGTCCCATTTTTTGACTGCCTACCCTTGACTCTGCTCCGTCCCCTAACTAACTTACCTAGCTTGTGCCATCATGAGATTAAGCAAAGCTTGACTCTGAGACTCTCCTCCTGACTTGTGGAGATATTACCACACCAACTCCAACTAAAAGCACACTTTCAGTCAGTCCTAGAACCGCACACGCGCAAGAAGCACGCCACTTCCACATCAAGGGAACGGCCCGTCCTTCCAACACCCGTCCAAACAAATCTCCGCTCCAGATCGCACGAGCCCTCCCAATCGACTTACCGCCAAACTCAGTTCCGCGCTCTCCTCCAGCAGCCGATTCACCTTCCTCTCCATCTCCCGGCACTGCTCTTCCGGGCTTGCCTCGCTCTTCTTCTGCAGCGCAGGCGCAGGGCCCTTCGCCGCCTGGTTCAGCGGATCGAACCGCCCCGTGCTGTTCGGCCGCGGTTGCGACGAGAATCCCGCCCCTTTCATCGACGTCATCGGTCGCGCGTTTGGGTCGGAGCCAGTCATTGGCCTGCTAGCGGTCATGGGGACGCGCAGCATCGCTGTCCCGGGGGGGCGCCCCGAAGAGCTGGCGAGGGGTCTGAGGCTGCCCCCCCCTCGCGTGCTGGCGGTCGATGTGCGGGCAGCCTTGCCAGGGGGGACCATGCCCTGAAAAAGGGAGAGGGGTAATTGGAGGTGGTATGAGCAGCGATGAAGACTGTGTGTGGTAAAACCTGGGAACGTGTGCACATGAATGAGAAGAGTTAGCACAGGGGTTGAATGGTGGTCCATACCTGGACAGCAAGTTAGAGCTCACAGTGTTTTGAAGAGATATTGGAAAGTTGCATTAGATAGCTCCGTATGATTGCCTGATATCACTGTGAACTCGAGACTGGCGAGGAAAAAGGGGGGGAAAAAAGGAAAAGGGGGGGAGACAGTGAGCTCAGAATGCTTTGAGCGCTGACCTGCGAACTACCTCGAGATCCTCGGTCATCATATGTGCCGACGACTAGCTCCTCAAAAGCACCATTCGGCCCCTCTCCAGAAAAGTCTGCATACTGCACAGCAGCCAGAATTCCAGGCGTAATCAGTACTGAGAGCTTCATAAGTAAGGGAAGACCCTGACATTGGAATGAAAATGTCAGCGTAGTGCTTCAAGTGACATACCCTTGAGCACGAACAAGATTCTCTTACCTGGGGTAATAATAGATCTCACCCAGACAGCCTGTTCAATTGTTTCTGATAGCAGTGAGAGGGAATTTGCACCACTCACGTTCCCATAAACCACCTCGTCCTCGTTTGCGTTGTTATACCCTGAGTACAAGTCGTCATCCTCTTCAGTCGTGCTGCTTGCACCATTCGCGCCAGCCGTTTCATAGGAGCGATACATGGTGTTACCAAGACGAACGAGCGACTATCAGCTGGCCAGTAAGAAACTGCCGTTTACATGTTCAAAGGCAGGCATTATTCGGCCCGCAGAATCAAAGGTCTCAATACGGAAGAGCTTGAGCAGCCGGCTAGGCCAGAATTTTAGCTTTTCTACCCTTTGTGCAAATACCTAGTCCACAGAAGGCAGGTTGGAAATTGGAGTTCTAATTGAGATCTGCGACTTTGCTGGAACTCTGATTGTTCATCTTGCCAACCTGCACCAGCATCCAGCCACTTTCCCCCCGACAGAAACTTGAGAAAGTTTCAAACCCCAGCTCAGTATGCACAGGCAGGTCAGCTCAGCTCAAAGAAGGTCAGGACTTATGCCAATAGGGTTCCTTGCATGTGCAGCTCAGCTATAGAGTTGAGCTCTTTCTCCGACTTGCAATGATTTGAGAGGGGTTCTAGCGAGTATAGGCTCTAGATACCTAGCGTGTCTTGACGACTTCAGCATGGTGAGCTGGGTAGGTATGTACCATACTCTATCGAGAAACTGTAGCATTCTATGGCCTATTAGGCTACAGGCTACAGGTGCAATATGGGCCGTCGAGTCCACATCAAGCGTCCAATTGACCGTGGATTGGCACTCGCGCACAACCGTCGGCAAGACGTTCTGAAATCAGTAGGTGAAGCACACAATCAAACGGCTTTGTTGCCGGGTGGCAGCTTGCGCGAAGGCAACCGACAGGGTGGATGGAAAGTTTCATGCCGGTTCTCAAAACGACTGAGCTTGACCGGCCATATCGACGTGAGTGAATAAGCCCGCCTCAGGCCTGCTGCAGGGCCGCTGCAAGAAATCTGCGATTACGGTATTGAAACTAAAGCTGGAAAGTAAGATCTTATCCCTCCTCTCCTCTCAACTTCAGAACTTAGAAGAGTGGCGCCCTGCGCCAGCTCTGGTCCAAGGTTTTCTTTGGCTTCTTCGCTTTGCCGTCTGGACGTACTTCTTACGTTTCTTATTAGGCTGAAGCTCGGTAGACATTCATGTACTTTTCATTGCAAGTTTGTTGGATAGCGCTAGGGCTTTGATGAGTTAGGTGCAGCACGGCTTGATCGTTTGCCGGCTCCTGGGCTTTGAAAAAGGTGGTGCAACTTGATTGCGCTTTCACTAGCTGGCTAGGAAAATGAGTAGAGATGAAGCGGCGCGGATGCAACATCTGCAGGACGGAGTGGAAAACCTGGTTGAAAAGATCGAACGTCAGTTCATTCGGCCGGAGAGGGTGAGTGGAAGTTTGCAACACTTCTGACCATCCTCCCCAGTCACATCCGGCACCATTTTCTCAGCAGCATTGCCATCATGCTGGCGCAGAGCGACCGTGTTATGCATACTTTCTGAATGCTGTGTTGAATGAAAGATCAAGCCTCTTTTGGTGGTGCGGAGAGCCCCGCTTTCTTCAAGTTGCAGAACCAGTTCAGGAATCCTATTCTTGGATCGCTTGCATTGCTGCAGTGGTGGTATGAGGGTGGTCCATTGGTTTGATAACTGCTTGTGCTGGCTCAGTATGCATCGCGGTATTTTATACCACCAATGGGTACGAAGCTCTTTTCTTCTCGCACATCTTGTAGGGCTCATTTAAACATATTTGTTTTCGATTGAGCGCACAGGCAGATTGCTTGGTCGAGTTTGACTTTGCTAATAAGCCAGGATGGAAGCACGATTGAGATCAGCATGGTTTCACCAGATTTTCTGCAGATCTTCTCTGGGGTGATTGCCTTGCCTTCGAATGTGTTGAAACAGAGTGGCTGCAGTTTCACCTTTCCCATTGCAGTTCTGGTCTTCCTGCAGATCAAGACCTTTGAGTGCTGCATAGACTGCTGCAAGGACGACTCCTTACGGCAGATTGAGCTGCAAAACTGCCTGACGTCCTGTACAGATGGCATGCAACGAATTGAGGAAGTGGTGAATCAGGAACTAGCAGAGCTGCAGGTTAGCTCCTGAAGTCCATTTCTCCAGACTGCAGTTGGTTGTGAAACTTTGTATTAGTGGCAGATCTCCTTGGATATAGTCCTTGTTGACCACCGCCCTGTCAAATCCAGAACGTCGTGGTTGATTGTGCGTTGAAGTTCACTCTCTTTGCAACAGCCTAGATGTCAAATGCGCCGTTCTGACCAAGTCATTTTGTTAAGGAATTTGGAAAACGGATCTGTTGGTTCTCTCTTGAAGGACAGTGGCCTCTTCCGCAAATCAATGCAAATAGATTTGATTGTAAAGTTGGTCAGCACACGCTGAGAAAGGCCTCTGCAACTGCTCAGACTTCCTTCGCACTCAGTGCGTATCTGATTTCTTTCGAATTGGATCAAGAGCATCGACGATTGATTCCCTTCCTCTTATCCTGAGACGATTTCGAAATGAATTCGTTGATGCCTGCAGAACCGCTTGCAAAGATGCGCAAATCAGTGTCAGGACCAAGCAAAGCTGCAAGTGCCACCCGATGGCAACCTGTCAGCGGACAGAAAGGCAGCACTCCAAGGCGATTTGCAAAGCTGTGTAAATAGATGCGTCGATCAGCAACTGAAGAGTCTACCACAAGTTGAAAAGCGGATCCAGTACGGCATTAGGCGCGTCTCAGGTTAGGAGCTTTGCTAATCGAGGTGGTTCAGAAATCTCGAAGCCAGTGATTGTGTTCTTCGGCTCGGGAAGTGGTGCTTTTCATAGCTGGTCTACCTGGCCGAAGTGCACCTGTCGCTTCCAGATGGCACTTGCGCTCTCCCTTGCTGTAAACTCGAAAATTTTGAGGATGTTAATTGGAAGTCCTACAGGCGGTATGAGCGCCTCAGTGGGCCCCTCGTTCTTGATTGGACCTTTCTTAAGGTCTATACAATTGCAAGTGTCCGAACATTCCTCCGAGCACATCTTACATGCTGTAATACGTAGAAGGCAAACCAAGTGGAGCGCTGATAATATGGTAGTGAGTGGGGCCTTTCCAATGAAGGCAACCAAAGACATGCAAATGGCTTTGGTTTGCATCCAACCATTTTTTTGATATGGGGCCCGTCAAACGACGACATAGCAGCTTTATCCGACATCGACGACAAGCAGCAACTCTTTTGAAAAATGTGTAGAAGTACGCGTGTCACTATCCGTACCATCATACATTTCAAGAACACTGGGCTTTTCGTTCAATCGATATTCTCTTAAATTGCACTTTACAGTACATCCGATCGACAACGTACATACCGTTGATGTATTCGGTATGACAATCCGGGTGCAGCAATTAAACAGGGGTCACTAGCTCAATGAGCTGCACTGAGCGAATGCAGGGCCCAGCGCGGCATAGCCATTGTCCATTGCGGGCCCGCCGGGGTCTACCACAATTAATCATTAGGTGCGCATGCAGTCGCTTCGAATGCTCGCAGTCGATGACAGACTGAACTTGTGATTCAATGCAATTACAACATAGAAACAACAATACCAAGAACACAACAGGCGTTGGCCAAGCCAACTCAAATTCGCATGTAGGTTACAATCGCAAGCTCTGCGTCGGCACTAAGGTACAGCAGCGTATGCATTTGGGACCTCAGTGCTCGGCACTGGCACATGCAGTGTAACATGCTTTCGACATACTGAAGCAGCCTGGGCCCCAGGCTATCTACGGTAGTTCTCATCGTGTTCTCATCCTTGTCAAAACGTAGGCAACCTCAATGTGCTCCCGAGTCCCGATCCGTGGCAGCAGGTGGCAGCCCTCGTGCAGTCACAGTCTACAGAAAGCTTGACAATCTTCCAGATTTTACGAAGATTTGTAGTTTCTTGGCTTGATCGTGACCGCTGAGGTTTTCATCGGACGGCTTTCAACGAATCTTGGAGCTTTTGCTTTCAAGCTGCCATATGTCCACACAATTACCGCACGTGTATATGGAGTCCGTGTGGCCGCCTGTGTGCATATGGGCAAGCTCGGAAGTGCTCGCCATCAATGACGTAACTTCCGGCGGCGTCATCATTGCCTAATCTTTACTTTCTCCTCGGTTCCCTCGATTCCCTCCACGTGGTTGCAGTTCTTGTCGCCGCATCCCAAGTGCTTCGACAACGAAGCGAGCTGCTTGAAAGTTGGTGGGTTAATAACTTAATATGGCTTGATCCACGCGCATATACCACCCGTTTAGCTTCCATTTTTTTGTCGGGAGTAGTTTGATGCTAGTTTCCGCAAGTATTAAACGAGTGCCAAGTAAAATGACGTGAGTCAACAACTTGAGAGATAACCGGGAAATTTTTAAGTCCATTTGTCAAACGACACAAACTTTCTCAGCACACACGTCGAATCGGTACGTCCAGCTTGTCTTCAGTAAGGAAGACGGCTGCAAGCCCAATGGCACATGTGCAATGCCGACCACAGTTTCCTAGATCTTGGCCCGCCAAAGAAGGCAGCGAAGAGTAAAGACGAGGCATCCGAAGCATCTGAGCTGCGACTTTATGCCCTTTGCTCTAATCATGAAGCTTCCGCGTCGCACCCTTCTGTCTTGAATGCCGGCGATGCATGTGTTGGCTTGGGATATCATCTTCCTCCTTCCGTCGGTCCGCCTGCATGCTCCAATCAGCAATTCCTGAGCTAGCTCTTCGTCTGCGAATGATCGCCAGTACTGCTCTAGCTTGGAGTCAGCTGTGCGCGATACGCCCTCTACTAGGCACCGGCAGTACTGTGTCTCTCTTTCTCTCAGCTGGAGCTAGGCAGCTCAAACCAGTTGCCCCCGCCCCTTTTCTCCCGCCTCTGATTCTCGGGAGCCAGTTGGCAGCACCCGCGCTCACTTTTGTTCCCGCCGCAACAATGGCCAACGTCTCGGCTCCCGCCCCGGCCCCGGACATGGCCGCCGTGACCCCTGTCTCCTTTCTCAACAACGGCGACAACTCGTGGCAGCTGACGTCAGCGACGTTGGTCGGGCTCCAGACGATGGTGGGCCTGGTGATGATGTACGGCGGGGTGGTCAAAAAAAAGTGGGCGATCAACTCCGCGTTCATGGTCATGTACGCGTATTCTGCAGTGCTCCTCACGTGGTCCATCTGCGGCTACCGCTTCTCCTTCGGGAAGTACATGCTGCCCTTTTGGGGGCGTCCGGGGACAACTCTCGGGGGGGGCTTTGAGTCAGTCCAGGCAGATCTGTACACTGCACATGTCACCGCGGCCTACGGAATGGCGACGATGGTTTACTTCCAGGGCGTCTTTGCGGCGATCACGCTCGCGCTGATTGCGGGGTCGCTACTGGGGAGGATGAACTTCCTGGCGTGGATGCTGTTTGTGCCCCTGTGGGTAGTGCTCTCGTACTCGGTCGGCGCGTTCTCTGTCTGGGGGGGCGGGTTCTTGTTCAAGTGGGGCGTGCTGGACTACTCGGGGGGGTATGTCATCCACGTGTCGTCTGGGACTGCGGGCTACGTCGCTGCATTCTGGGTAAGAAGCGCTTTCAATCGACCTGGTTCTACTTCTTTATCTAGTGGGGCAATGTAAGTTGTTAGTACAGATTCAGGAACAGCAAATATTTCCATTGTGAAACTTATCCTTCGACTCTCTCATGTAAAGCCTCTTTAGCCGAAGCTCAGCCTGCTGTCTAGTTCTCAGTCACTCTGCTTCTGCCTTCCCACCTACTTGTAAAAGAAAAGTTAGCAGCAAGAACTATCAACTGCCAGCCTGAAAAGGAGCTGCTGTCCTCAGCTGAGCGCTTGGCGTGCTGGTGCACCTGCCCAGACTCATAGTTCCTTTCCTTTGGAATTTTAAGATGCATTCAATTGTGTGATGTAGTGGTTGAAACAAAACGCCACTGGCTTCGTAAGATTCAATTCTACTGCAGTAGTGAGGGGCTCAAGCAGCTTATACTGGTCTTTGTCAGATCCTTTTATGCTAACATGTAAAGTAGTAGAAAAGAAAATGAACGCAGAATGCTGAGAGCCCAAGACACAGGTCAATATTGACTGAGTGAAACCTGAGGCCGCCCTGAGATTGGTCAGTCATTACAGTGGGTCGTCACATTATCCATACAGCAGATTTCAACCAAAACGAAACGGGGACTCAACAACCCGTTTAAACGTCTCTTTATTTCAACTAGAGGGCCATTTTTACATCTTATAAGCACTTAATTTGGCATTACATCTGTGACGCAGATACTTCCAGTTTGTCACAGCAAAGGGCAGCTAAGTGGGGCTCCCTGACGAGTGACATATATGCAAAGTTCCAAGTTAACCAGGATTAAGTTCACCCCACCAGGAGTCCTCGAATAAAGATAACTGCTGAGCTTGATCACTCGTCCACATTGCCTCAAGATCTGTAACCCTGTTCATTTTGAATTCCACCTCTTACCAAGCTCAGGGGCCCAGTTGTCAGTACTGTCATCGGGTTTCTTGTTATCCCCTCTTGACCCGTTTCTGATTACATCGTGAACTTCTTCGTCGAGCTTGTTGTTGTTACTCTATCCACTAACTCGACCTCATTCTGCAGCTCGGCCCCCGTCTCCTGCGTGACCGCGAGCGCTTTCCCCCCAACAACATCATCTTCGTTCTTGCGGGCGCCGGCATGCTTTGGCTCGGCTGGAACGGCTTCAACGGAGGAGATCCGTACACTGCCAGCGTTGACGCCGGCATCGCCGTCCTGAACGTGAGCTTGAGTATATTGCATCTCTGGTGTCAATCGCAGCTTGTCGGTTGTTCTGGACGTCTGTGCAGTAGGCTGCATCATGTCTCGAAGTACGGTCAGTCAGGCTGTTTTTAACTCGTGCGCCAATAGTTTCGGGTGCCATGCTGTTGAGCCTTTTTCAGACTCTGACTTCCTTTCCGAAAGTCATTATCTGACTTATTTAGGAGCTCGACGAAGTCTTCCCGTCAAGCAATGAAGTTTCTATTTGCAGTGGCTGACGACATCGAGGTTCATGAAGCGACTGACATAGCTCCGAAAGAACCTCAAAGCCGCCCTATGAAACCACAGCCACCGCGCTCAACCAGGTTTGATGAAACCCCATTCTTGACCAATCTTCGCTCAACGAGCCCCGGTTCCATTAAGAATTCTCACTTAGTCAGACGAGGACTTTCCAGAAAACTCACAATCAGAGAACCCCTTTGTTGACCAATCCTCGCTCAACGAACCTTGGTTACCAACCAACCACCTTTTGAAAATCGACGTTAACTTCCACTTTGGGTTTGCAGACCAATCTCGCCACCGCCGCCAGCATGCTCGTGTGGACGTGCCTCGACTACGCCTTTTTCGGGAAGCCATCCGTGATCGGCGCCGTGCAGGGCATCATCACCGGCCTAGTTGTCATCACACCAGGCGCCGGTAAGCAGCAGATTCCGCCCAGAATCCACCGGGAGAGGGTTGTTTCCCGGTCGCTTTTCGAACGGAGTCGCGAGTTTGTTTGCTCCGACTCATAAGGGCATCTGAAGGCAAAAGAAGCACCTGTGCTCTTCACGCAACGCCAAAGGTCCAACCGCAAAGCGTTTCTTGTCACATCTGGACCTGGGATCTAACTCAAAAACCAGAGGTTGTCGGTTTCCGGTCGTACTGGTCATGAGCTATTTTGTGCCCAATCTCGTGGTCAGATGTTCGGAGCTGCCAGCTTACTATCAGAAATGCGTCTTGAACACTTTATCTCCCAGCTCGCAATCCAAACCCGTCGGAGTGTAGACGGAAACACGCAATCCCAAAACAATCCAGTCTTCGCACTCCCAAACAGGTGCTCCTCGAGGGTCCCTTTATATAACATCGAGGGCGACCTTGTTTAGTCTGTGGCGGATGTCTCTTCCTTTGCTTCCCGAGAAGAGTTAAAGACGAGTTTTGATTCGGTTTATACTGGTAGTTAAACTGACGCTCGGAGAAAAAGTGGACGCGATTGTCCTGCTCGTAGCGATAGTACAGTCTCACGTCCGGCAGAGAAGAAATCTGCAATGCGCTCGTTTGATACTCAGTCCATCAGTGATCCCGGTCCACCGTCGGCAAAGTTTGTAAAAGGTCGATCAGAAAAATCTTCTCAATGGCGGTTCGTTTTCGTGGCAGGTTCCATTTAGCGGAAGGTCGACGGTAGAGGTGTAATCATACCTTTCTTAAAGACGAGGGCGACAATTTTGTGCCAGTCATCTTTGTGCAGGCCTCATCTTCTTGTGGGCCGCCAATTTACGGCTTGAACCGCCAACCCCCGATCGAGGCACTGACGACGTGCAAAGAACGCTTTCTCGATTCGAACCTGCTAACCCAATCCTAACGTACTTGTTCCTTCTGGGGAAAAAGGGTTGTTATTCATGGCGCCCAACTTCATAGCAAAGAAAAAGTCTTTTCAAACGCTTTTCTGAGCCAGATTTGCTAATCCACTCTCAAAACCAGCAGTTCCGCAGGCTTCACCTGGGTTGTTTACCGCGATAGTAGATACGCCTCTGAAATTGCAAACCTGATTTAAACAGATTCCATAAAGAACGTCTTCACACCGCGTTCGAAGATTTGAAATGTTAGCTCACCCTTAACCCGCGTTTCCCCGCAGACTTCTCCGCGGGTGGGCCGCGATTGTGGAGGCCGTCTCCTCCGACTCAGTCCCTGCTTGGCAAAGTTCTTGGTGGCACCAGAATCGTCTTCCCACTGATTTCAAGATCCAAACCGGCGAGTTAAGTTGACTGAATTTTAACCCGCAGGCTTCATCCCCGGGTGGGCCGCGATCGTGGAGGGCATATTCTCGGCTCCACCCCTGCTTGCAAAGTTCTTGGTGGCACCAGATTCGTCTTCTCAGAGTTCTTAAGATCCGAACCGGCTGACCCACCCTTAACTGATTCTTAACCCGCAGGCTTCATCCCCGGGGGGGGCCGCGATAGTGGGGGCATCTACC